CTTGACGTGGCTGCTTTTCAGTGCTGTGATGGCTTGTAGAGCGACGCGTCTTTGTTGTTGACTCTTGTCGCATAGAGTTGTCTGCGCGCATCGAGTCATCCGTCCCAAAGGCAGGTATAGGGAGACGTGCTTTGAGCGTTCCTGAAGGCCTAACGGTAGAATGCAGTGCGCTCGGGCTGGAAGCGATGCCCCGCCTGACATTGGCATGCTTGATTCCTGGTGCAGACACAAACATGTCTGCATCGAGTACGAGTCCCTGGAGCATACTTTCATGTGCTGAATGCGCAGTGGAGAGACCACGCAGCGTTTCCCCTGCAGCGCGACGATCGGTATTGTCCTTGAATCGTTTACGCAAGTCAACTTGAACATCGGGCAGCTCAAGTCCGTCTGTGACGTCTTCAGAGTCAACGGTGGACGTGACAGATAGGGAGAAACTGCTGGATCCTGTTGATTCGCGACCATGACCGGATCTAGGGTGTGTCTTGTGCCGTTGTGGATGCGACGGCTCATCCCACTCATCAGTCTCGAGGGCACGCGACCGTAGCTTGTTGGTGATGAGATGACCTTTATCCAAGACGAGATGTTCAGGCAACTCAAAGTCCTCATCAAAGGACTCCTCCTTGCCCACACCTTGCTCATCCGCTTGCCATGCAGAAATGCGACCAAGATCTGATGGTGTAGGGATATGTCTTCGTGGTTGCAGGCCTTGTCTCAACCTATCTTGTACACGACGAGCACGTTCATTCTTGGGCGTACTGACGACATCGAGGCAGTCGAAATCGACATCATCGTCTGCCGTTTCTGAATAGCGCGACAGGACACGTGTCGGAAGAGACACACGACTGGGAGCTGCAGTCTTTGCAATGTGGTGTACTCTGTCGTTGCCAGCAGAGCTAGGTAGTGGACGCGGTACTGTGCGATTGACGGGTGGTTTAGGTAGCGTTTGTACACCCATGGAGCCCGGCCCGTGACGTGCAGAATTCGACCGGATCGTCGCGTCCTTGTCAAGTGACGTGGCTTGACTCTTGTCACTGTGCATGGAGAGTTCATCTAGAGCGATGAAGCCACGCCCACTGCTTGCGGTGCTCGTGTCGCGCGCGTGTGTTGATGGTAGATGCCTTTCTTTACTGATGGACTGCCTGAGACTTGAAAAGTCAATCTCGCCCCAATCATCTTCATCCTCCTCTCCAGCCATAGGACCCTGCCACTGCCTGTCTACAAGAGCAAGAGGGCGTGTTCTTGTACTTGTGTGTTGTTGGGCGCCAAAACAAAAACGCGCGACAGGTCTGACTCCATACAACCCAAGCCACCAACACATTCAGGCTTCAGCCGTGTGCTCAATGCGCCAGTAAATGAGCTATTGCTTAAGCTCCTCCTCCTGTTCTATTTGTCACTCTCAGGGACTTCCAATATACCGGGTCTAAGCAGTGAGCTGGCTGTCTCCTGGCCGGAAGCTATAAAAGAAATACGAAGCTAGTCTCCTTGCCAAGCTTCAGACATGGCTGCTAATGCCATTTTCACTTCCGTCAAGACAAAACTTGGAGGTTACGTGACGTGTTTGCTTGAGAGACAAAAGCATGGCTTGACCATCACTGCTACAGATGGTAGCTTAGCTTTCTATCGCAAAAGTGAGCATCTCTCATCCTATCCAGCTTGATACAGATTCTGATCCTCTAGTGTCGAGGGAAGAGATTGAGTCTTGCAAGCTCAATCATGTCAAGATGTCTGGCTCAGACTGGCACGACTTATTTTGGAAAGCCATGTGTCATGATGCCACGGAGGACATGCTCGTGGAAGCAGCCGTCGAAGAAGGACACATTCAATTTGTGCTCCTCGATCGCTCGGCAGACTCGAGGATCAAGATGGCAGCATTCACTGTTGACCAGGCTTCCATTGAGATTGATCTTCAAGACTGGCTTCATCAGTCCACACAAAGTCTCGATCAACGACGACAGGCACTGCTTGCCAAGGAGAAGCAATTACTCGAAGCGCAAGAGGCTCTCAAGCAGTGCCGTAGGGAAGCAGCGAGCCAAGCAGACGCATTTGCCCAGCAAAGTACGAGAACCTTGGAACTGACATGTCTCCTGCTCAATGCGAAGAAGGACAAGATCAAGGAGCTCTCTGGTGCTGGTAAGGCCCCTGGCACGGGTCAGAAGCGGGCCAAGGTGGAAAGCCCTACTGAAGCGATAGATTTGAAGGAGGAGGAGGGCAATGATGTGGAAGAGATGTCTGATATGCAGAGGACGCCGAGTCACGACGATGATGCCACGACGGATGGCACAACAGATGGCGAGTAGCTAGCCAGACCATAGGTTCTGTTAGGTAGCCACAGATAGGTGAGCTTGTCAGATGGCGCCCTTTGTCCCGATGCGGCAGATTCACGGAGACGACAAAGTGACATCGACGCAGAGTACACAAGATCTAGAACGCGTTGCATGGCCAGCAAGTCCAGAAGCAGGCCTCTCGTCATCTTGAACGTCTACCACAGCATCTGTATGCGCACAGGTGAATGAATGAAAGTGTCGTACAGAGACTGCAAGGCCTTCGGACCCGCTTCTCCACGCCATTCTACGAAAACGCATCCTACGGATACGGTAGCTTCGTGCCGGAGGAGTTCATACCAATGTCACAAACGGCCGTTCGAGCGCACAAGGTGGATGCGCAGCAGGTATCACGTCGGCAACAGCAGGCGAAACAGAATGAGGTGACGGGTGCGACGACAACAGGTGCACGGCCCAGTACTGGGCGAAGCAGCTCTAGCACTGCAATAGAAGTCAAGAGCCCTCTTGGAAAACGTAAGCGAGGCGCGTCAGAAGCACCCATTGAGTTGCTCTCGCCCTCGCTACCGCCGCTTTTTGAACGCGCTCTTGCTGCACGCGAGCAGGATAGCCATGCTGGTTCATCACCGCCGCCTTTGTTGCTATCGCCGACGCTACCGCCTAAGTTTGCAAAGCTAGGGAAGGAAGCAGACTCGCCTGATGCGTCAGACTTGTTGACCTCGGCGACTATATCAGGAACGCCAAAGTCGGATAGCGTGCAAGCGCGGCAGGAGCGACTGGGAACTGGATCGACTGTGAGTGCGACACCAGCGAGAAAGACAGACCAAGATCCATCGGCCTTGTCGAAACTGTAAGGACCCACCTACACGAGGATACTAAGGGCTAATTAGCAGCATGTCAACGCGTGGTAGAGAATGCAAGCATGCAGCTCAAGAGAAAAGCCCGCATAGCAAACTCTATGGCGTGGATGCAGTGCTATGCTTTCTAGCTCAGTATCATTTTGACGAACAGATCCGGATACGGCAGAACAAAGCGCCGAGCCTTGCCTTGATCAGGTCATTCGAGGATTTTCTTGTTTGGGTGAGCTGTCTCAAGGTCAAGACAAAGACGGACGATATCCTGCAGCTGATTTGGTAAGTAGCCTTCTTCCTTCCCAAGTGAATGCCAGCTGACTGCAGTCATTTGACGCTGGCCGCCATGCACTATCATATTGGCAGGACCGAACAAAAGCATGCCAAGCTGCTCCTCAAGTCGGTGGATGCTAGTACAGAAGGCGACGTCACGATCAAGCGCGACTTGTTTGATTTGCTACGAAAGTCAGTCGACTCTTCAGAACGTGCCCTCGTCTTCTTTCGCAAGACTGGAGGTCTCCTGGAACTACCCTACCTGAAGGAGCACTTCTCAGGAACATTCACAAAACTACAGGAACCGGACTGTCTCGCTCAATTTGTGTACCCGATCCACTTCTCGTCGCCTGTACGGGATGTCATCAATTTCTGTCGGACACTGCTGGAGGAGTTGCCTGAGGTGGGTGCGATAGGCGGGCTCAAGTCTGTGGCTCTGCTATGATTGTTGTTGCTGTGTGAATGTACATCTCTGTAGACAGCGTAGGGCCTTTCTTGTATCGATCTGCTTCCTCTTTCCTCCCCCTGAGCTCAAGTAGCAGCAGAAAAGGAAGAGCAGCAGCCAGAAAAATGAATTTTTGGTCAAGTGCACAGACACAGACAGCAGCAGCAGCACAACGCACACAGGAATAATTGCACCCACACAACCAGGCAAAGACAGACACCACAGAAACCCCTACTGCTCAAGCCTGCTCATCCAGCCAGCACTCTAGGCATATCCAGAGGTAAGTTCATTGCATCTGGTATCTACACAAGTCGTCTCATCTCTGCCGCATGCTTCCTGCACCCGCAGCAACGGTGGCAAGTGCAGGATCACTTTTTGACATATACCCTCCAAAAAGAGCATCGTTGGACGAGGCTAACACAGCGCAATAGGGTCAAGCACACTGCCACAAGCAAGTATCAATCATCTTACCACTGACTCTCCAAACGCACCCATTTGCCACAAGGCTTTTCACGTAAAGACCGTTGGTTGAAGATGAACAGTGATGGTGCCAGTGCCGCTGGTGGACGGACACCCGTCTCTGTGGGCAAGTTTGACAAGACCAGGGACTTCCTTGGACCCCGGCGATTCACCACAGACGTCCTTGCAGAAACACCATCGACGATACCTCTGGAACATACACGTCAGGTATGCCTCATCCCACTCCCTCGAGTGACGTACAACACAGTTGCTAACAACGCTATCAGACACTGAATGCAAAGGACAGGTTGCTCGAACAAAAGCGTGCAGAACACGAGCTCGCAAGGCAAGAACACCGTCGTCGTTTTGAAGAGCAGATGCAGATGCTTGATATGAAGCAGCGTCGTGATGAAGACTTGTTGCTGGGCGTCGATGAAGAAGCACTGCCTACCATGTTCAGCACCTATCCAGTCACACCTTTGCGTACACCTGCTCAGTCAGAGTCGCGCAGTCGTGCAGAGACACTGGCGAAGGGTACACCGCCGCTCAAGGTATTTGAACAGCAGCAGCAACAACAGCGTGGTACAGGCAATGAGCAGCTTGCAACGCCACCTGCTGATCATACTGGACTCAACAATGGTATCTCACCGCGCTCATTTGGCGCCAAGTCAGTCCCTGGTAGCCGTCGTCAGAGCTTGTCTACCGCTTTTGAATCATTGGCTGTTTCCGAGCGCAAGCAAGACATGTATGCGCATCTGTCTATCTTATGGCATTGCTAACAAGACAGGGAGGGAAGACGTTTGTCGTACATTGACAATGCGCGTCATTTCGAAGTGCCAAACCCAACGGATGAAGTCCCCGTCAAATCCTACTTGCAGCTCAATACAACCGATGACTCTTTCCCGATTCTCGTACGCAAGGACAGTATGCAGACTTTGCCACAAGGACCCGCTGCAACGACAGACTTCCAGGACTACAAGCAATCTTTTAATGCGATGCCTCCCTTCAAGACACAAAACGCTGCGCGTGGAGTGCCAGTCAGCTATGCTCAAAAGGACATGCACGATGATCTGCGTTCAGCTCGTCAAGCGCATGAATTCAAGATGCCACCGGGTCAGGCAAAACAGCGCGACTTTCAATCTGCAAATGAACGAGGTCGATTCGCAACTATGCCATCCGGCACACGCTCTCCACTCGGGTCACTCCCTATGTTGCCTGCAGGCTCGCATTCACCCATGGATTCACCTAATTTGTACGCTCAATTTGGTATGATGCCACAATCAAACTGGCAAGCAGGTGGATTTCCGCAGTACTCCTTCTCCATGCACAATCCAGCCTATCAAGCACAAGAGACACGCTTACCTGGCCAGTCTTTTGCCAAAGGTGGTGCTCCATTCTACGCCAAGCGTCCTGCGGAAGATACGAACCGGTATGCAGATGTTGCGCTCGAGTCCCTTGTTGGTGACATCTTCACCCTTTGTAAAGACCAGCATGGTTGTCGGTATCTGCAAAAGAAGCTGGACGAACGCATTCCTGCTAATGTGGATCTCATCTTTGCAGAAACGTACATGCATGCTGCAGAACTCATGATTGATCCATTCGGCAATTATCTGTGCCAGAAGCTACTTGAGCACTGCGATGAAGGACAACGCTTCAAGATTGTGCAGAATGTGGCACCCAATCTGATCAACATCTCTCTCAACATGCACGGTACGCGCGCTGTTCAAAAGATGATTGAGTTCTTGCACACACCTGAGCAAATCAAGCTGGCGACGTCAGCGCTCAATGCTAATGCTGTTCTACTCATCAAGGATCTCAACGGTAATCACGTCATTCAAAAATGCCTGAATCGTCTCAACAGCGAGGAAGCTCAGTTCATTTTCGATGCTGTTGCCAAGAACTGCGTTGAGGTTGCTACACACCGACACGGCTGCTGTGTCTTGCAGCGCTGTATCGACCACGCTTCTGACGCGCAAAAAGTGCAAATCATTAAGCAGATTGACGCTCATGCTCCATTGCTCGTGCAAGACCCATTCGGCAACTATGTCGTGCAGTACGTTTTGGACTTGGGCGAGGCGCGTTTCTCTGATTCACTTATCAAGCGCTTTGTTGGCAGTGTCTGTGTCTTCTCGGTGCAGAAATTCAGCTCCAATGTCATTGAGAAGTGTCTGCGTGTCGCTGAGCCTTCTATTCGCGCACAGTTGATTGAGGAACTCCTCAACAAGTCGCGCTTGGAAAAGCTGCTTCGAGACTCTTACGCCAACTATGTCGTGCAAACTGCTTTGGATTATGCTGACCCGAAGCAACGACAGGAGCTCGTTGAGTGTCTGCGCCCACTCTTGCCTGCTATCCGCTCAACGCCGTACGGCCGTCGCATCCAATCCAAAATCAGTGGAACGCATGGTGCACCTGGCTTTAGTGATTTGCCAAATTACAATGCAATGGGCAACTTTCCAGCATACGGCTTTGGTTATGGTCACAATGCACCTGCTCAACATGCACACCACATGCCGACGCATGGCTTGCCAACAGGTACCAATATGGGACAGCGATTCAATGCCGATTATGAGTTCAAAGGCTTCCCTGTGTAGTGAGCAACCGAATGCCTCAATTGAATGGGTCGATGGATTGGAATATACGCCCTCCCTGGACTCTGTACCACAATCTTGCAGAAAAGCAAAAAAACAACATGTTTGTTCTCTGGAATACTTTCAAGTGAAGACTAACAATTGCAGAGCATTTATTAAGCGGGCATGACGGTCGGGTCAATCACAACACTTGCAACCTTCTTTCTACTGTACGAACGCTACTTACATCCCCTACCTGACGGCTTGTACGACACCAAACCTTGCCTCCAAATCAAGGAAACCTCACTTCACCCTCCCTCTGCCGTCCTCCTCTTGTTACAATCAGCTGGAAGATGGGCATTTTTCACGATCACGCAACGACAAAATCCTCCTTCGAAATTACACGCGACACGTCACTACACCTTTTTTCCATCAACACCCTCAACTGTTTTACGGGCCGAATCTTTTAGAGCATTGTTTTTACTCATTCTCTTTTGTCTTGTCGTTTTCACATCTTGCTCTGTCGATGCTACTTTAGAGAATCATTCTTGTCTTTTGCTCCTGTCCAATCTTCTGTTGCCTCATTTGACTTCGTTATTTTCTGGACGCGCGTCTTTTTGGAGGCGCGTCCGGAATCAGAATTTTCGTGTTGCTGCCGTGCCACGTCGTGGCGAGTGCGATGAAAATCCTGGACGATTTCCAAGGGATCAATCTGTAGACTCAAGCTCAGGCTCAATTTCAAGCTCAAGCTCAAGCCGACCTGCAGCTTAGGTGCTATAATCGAACGCTGTATCTCATGAATCAATTCTGAGCAATCTAGCATCCTCATGAACGCAAGACCCAAAAAGGCAGGTCAGCAAGCGAAAGGCCCTAGCTTGCCTACGCCGCCTCAAGCTTACGATCCTTACCTGATCTACAGAAGCCCTTACTTAAAGACACTCTCGGGACTCAAGCTGATCACGGGCACACTACTTGCATGCGGCTGTATTGCTAGCCCAGCATTGGCATTCATGGGACCTGAGGGCTATCTAGGTGCTTGTGCAGTGGCCCTTGCGAGTCTCTTGCCCCTGGGCGTTCAAAGAGCTGTGATTCCTGGCTTTGTGGCCTCGATACGCATTATACCGCCGTCTGCCAAGGACGTAGAGCACACTGAGCCTGCAACAGCGAGATCCACCGCTCGCTCGGCAAGTACAGCACCTATTGATATCCTCGAAGGCATCACGTCCAACACGATTCTGCAGCTCGATACAGTCAGTCTCCTTGGGCCAATCCATACAAAGCTCGAGACAGTGGCAGATTTACAACTACGAAAGCCGGGTGCGAAGATCTCATGGAGCAATCTCAAGAGCACACGTACTGGAAACCCCTACTATGTTGAGAAGCTCGCCGGTGGTCCAATTTTGCGGAGGATATTCGAGCTCATTGCGGAAGCAGAGAAGAAACGCTCCGGTGCGAGTAAGAATTGAGCCTTGTAAACATTCACTTTGCTTCAGACTCACACTCTAAGGTCACCACAAGACGGGCACTCAATTGTAAGAGGTTGAACTTGATAAGTCTGCCATGCTTCGGGTTACCTCGTCAGCCTGAAGAGATACATCCGCTAGCCATGATCGAGACAGGAGACGATCATGGGTCTATGGCACAAATCGCCAGTAATCGATCCGTCCAGCTAGCTCCTTTCTCAACAGAGACGAGATTCGGCTGAGCCTCTGCTGAACCGTGCTTCTCTACAAAATGCGACTCGCACTTTGAGTTCAGGGAAGGACGTCATTTGCGTTCAACACTGAAGACCTGACTCAAGCGGTCAGCTCATCACAAACTTTACTATAAAGCCATGCTATTGCCTTGTGTATTCGGATACATGTCCAGTAGTCCTGCCATGACATAAACATCCCATGACAGTGATGACTGATGACAGCATCCTTCGCCTTGGCAAGTTGGCCGTCCTTAAGCGTCTAGGCAATCGTCACCAAAGTTCCCGAGCCAATGCTCCTTGCTGATTCGTGCATTCAGTGGGATGTTGGTTCGACTTTAAGAAAGTCGTCTCGGACGGTGGCCTGAAGCGGCGCCGAGCGAAATCCGGGGGAGGGCCAACTCGAAACATGTGCAGCTGTCAAACTTAATCACGCGGCCGGCATGAAGCTATATGGCAATCGGGCTATACAAAACTAGATGACACAGCAGCGGCGATTTCAGGTGAGCGAAGTAGAGCTTGTAGAGTCAGTGTAGACGTTTGCCCTCAGAGAAGCCGTCTTCAATTGCCCTCAAGCCGTGCACCTGTAGGCAGATTTACTACGTAGTACATGTTACCGTCCGTCGGAGTCTGTAGCCCGATGAACCAGCGAAAATGAGCTGATCCCTGGCTGCTCTCGGATTGGACAGCCCACGCTTTCTTGCGTGGGAGAGACCTCGGTGCCTGGCAGACAGTGGCAGTCTGGCGCCAACTGCACATGCTTCTGCGGCAATGCCGGCGGTGCAGCGACCCCTTCTCCGCAATGGGCGAGCAGAAAAAGCACTTGTCAAAATGCCGAGGACCAAAGCTCAATGCCGAACAGCAAGTTCAGCAACGCCCTGCTCTTGAACTAGTGTAAAACCCATGACGAACAGCGTCCTTTGCCCGGAGTGACATACATGCTCCCACGGGCTGTCAAGGGAATAGTTCGGAAGCGATGCGATTCGCAGGGATCCTTCGCCCGCCTTCCCCGTGATTGTGGGTGGCCATCGCGTTTCCATCCTTCCCCAGTATACTTGGCCCCTGGGCCTCTTGTGCTTTGCGCTTCCTGATATACCCGAACATCAAAAGACACAAAACCACAGCATCCACCCTTTCCATCCCTCCACAACTTGATCTGACGACCACCCATATCCGTCGCGACACACGACAGCCTTTCTTTCAGCTTGTACACCATGGCAAACACGATTGCCCAGCCGATGAAGACTTCAGACAAGAGCGCCAAGGTGCAAGCGAAACCATACGCATGTACTTGGCCTGGCTGCAATAATGCCTATGCTCGCAGCGAGCACCTCAATAGACATCGTCTCAACCGTAAGCCTCCCTTCTGCGTATGTTGACTTTGCTGACCCTCACAGATGAGCCAATCAAGATCTTCACATGTGATCAATGTCCGAAGACCTTTGTCAGAAGCGACTTGCTCTACCGCCACAAGGACAGGCACGTCCGTAAGCAAAACAAGCTTGGTGCTACCGCATCAAAAGATGCATCCGACAAGCCGATCAGTCGACGTGCGAGTGCTGGCGGTGCAGTCCGTTCAAATACCTTCAAGACTATTCGACCAGCGAGATCTGAGAGCACCAGCAGCAGAGACGACTCTTTCCTTGCATCGTCACCGCAAAGTCAACCTGCACAGAGCCCGCCATCAGCCGTCACCATCCCACAAGCGAGTGGGCTGCTACAATCGCCCTTTGGGAGACTCTTTTCTGATGCCTCTTCACACAGTCACGGGCATAGCCATTCATTGCCGTTGCCCCTTCCGAGCTTTTCACTCAGCACCGCAGCATGTCTTGCTGCACATCAGTCGTCCGAATATACCAGCCAGGAACGATACCGGTACTTGCCCGGCATCGGACAAGCCCGATCGACCGGGACGCGCTCGCCTCCTCCAGCTGCACCTTCTTCCACAACATCACTCACATCCTCAGAAAGCGCAATGGATTCACCACGCATGCCCTCTTCGTCATTCACACGAGAGATCAGCTTATTGAATCATCCATTGACGAATGACTCGATGCGATTTGGAGGACCGGGCGCGTTTCTGCCGCCGATCCGGGACCTTGCACCGTTGCAGGGACTCTCGAAGCCTGCTTATGAGCCACGCATGTCGTTCTCGATGGAGGGCATGCTCAATAGCGGTGTTTCATCGCATTTGATGAGCGACTTGCGCAGATTCAAGCAGGATAGCATAGCGAACGTGTAGTTATTGAATTCAGCTCTAGCATCTATATGAGCATCGTCTCTTTACCCAAACACTGTGAAAAGTACAGCTGGAGAGTTGTAGCCAGCAGTGAAGTCGTCCAGGGTTAGATTCCTGCAACTGCAAAATCAAGACACGCAAGCAGCAACCACGCACGCAAGACCAGCTCCCTCTCGTCTCTATATCCATACTCAATCATGGTCAACGTAAGAGGCTTTTCCATCTACTTCATTATACTGACGAGCAGCCACAAATCACCAATCTGGCAGTGACACTCGGTGTGATGCAAATCGCGCGCAAACTCGATTTTGAAGACCCAACCATCCTCAAGAGCGTGCGTGCCCTCTACATCGTCTCCAACATCCTCATTGCCATCATCTTCCTTGTTCAATACATGAACATTCAAAAGCGCAATGACATGACCACGCTGAAGTACGTCGAGCCAGCTTCGCCGCTTTCTGGCAAGTCAGAGCCTGAACTCATGACTACCACCGTCAAGGAATACGATATGATCCAGTGGCAGTCAGCACTCAAATCGTCGTTGATGGGATTGGCCATGATGTCTGTGATGCACGGCTGGTTTAAGTTCACGCAACCACTCCTGGTACAGTCCATCTTGCCAGTGAAGAATGCACTGGAGACCAAGTTGGCCATGATTCACTTGTTTGGCAAGCCTGCGACGGGTGAGTATAAGCGTCCCTTCAAGGCTGCTGCGAGCATGTTTGGTGGTGCTGCCGCTGAGGCTGCGACGGACAAGAAGTCTGTTGAGGCTGCTGAGCGTGCTACCGTCAAGAAGGAGGAATAAACTAAAAGAGCACAACTTTAGAGCTTTGCTATTCCAAGATAAGGACGTCTTGATATGCTGCGATTCATACACGTATAGAAAATCGTGCTGGAGTGTTCTACTTAAACTGAAGGTTGTCCATCTTGTCGCACCATCTCAGCCAGTATCGTTCGCCGACGTTCCTCCTCTTGCGTGCCTGCCGAGTCGCCAAAGACCTTGTCCATTTCTTCCAAGCTGCGTCCTGCTGTTTCGGGAACGAAAAAGTAGACCCAAATGCCACAGAGAAAGCAAAAAGCCCCGAAGAAGACATAGGCACCGTAGCCTGTGCCGTCAATCAAGGGTGGTGTAATCAAACCAATAACGAAGTTCCAGAACCAATCTACGCGTTAGCAGGAAGCCCATTGACAAGCGAAACATACTTGAGCAAGTCGCGAGAGCCACACCTTTGGCTCGCAAAGAACTCGATTGAATCTCCGACGGCACTGTCGTTAGCCTGGCTTTGAACTGGAGGAAAACCTACTAGCCCAAGGAATAGGACCGAGTGTGAGACCGAATGCGACCATGTAGAAGAAAATTGCAGCCACACCACCCCAAGCTTTAGCCTCATTTGCAGGCCACTTGTCGTGATACAAAGCAACGAGGACCGCGACGACGACTTGAGAAGCGCAGGTAGCAGCAGAGCCAAGCATCAGCATAGGTCGACGGCCAACATTATCAATAAAGAAGATGGAGCCTGTGACACCAATTAATTGACATACATTCATGACACCAGCCATAGACAATTGCATCTCATAGGAGAGGCCAAGCGATTCAAACAAGGTAGGTCCATAGTAGATGAGCGCATTGATTCCCACCATTTGTTGGAAAAACATGAGTCCCATGCCAACCATGGATCGACGCCAATAGCCACGACGGAAGCAGTCTGCCCACATTGCCAATTCTCGTCGAAGTGCATTGAGCTTGCCGGAACCTTGAAGGTTTGGATGCCGCTCTGCCTGCGTTTCTTGCTGGAATGCCACTTCTGCTCTGATTTGTGTCCATTCAAGACGGACTCGTGGATCATCTGAGGGAAGTTGACGCAGCTTGCAGAGTGCAACGAGAGATTCTTCATCCCTGCCCTTCGATGCGAGCCAGCGAGGACTGAATGGCAAGAAGATAATGCCGCAACCCAGCACGATTGCTGGCACAATTTGTAGCAAAAATGGAAGTCGGTACGTCCACTCCGACAGTCCGCCACCCAAAAGCCGTGTGCCATACGTGACCCAATACGCGAGAACAATACCAAATACGATAGACCATTCTTCAAGCACGAGTAAGATTCCACGAATCTCCGGTGGAGCGATTTCACTCATATAGAGTGGTGCGACCATAGATAGCATGCCAATTGCAATACCGCCCAAGAAACGACCAGCAGCGAGCATGGCATAGTCAATCGCAGCAGTCTGGATGATGCTGCCAATGACAAACCAGACAATGGCAATCAACATAGAATAGCGACGGGAGTATTTGTCGGCGATCCAACCTTGGTTGGCTGCACCAAGAAGAGCGCCAAGCTCAATCAATGCCGTCAACAAACCCTTGTTGAAGGCAGCGTGACCGTCCACAGCGCTGTCAATTTCATGAAAGCGTTTCTTGAAGATGGGTAGAGTTAGGATGATGGCAACCAATCCTTGATCGCAACCAAAGATGAGACCTGTTGTCAGTACACTTGCTTAGAGTCAAGACTGCATACCGCCTATGCTGGCAAGGCCACAGCACAATACAACGTACTTGTTGCTAAAGATGCCTGCGATTCCGCTTCGACCATATGTGACAGTGGTATCAAAACTTGGTTGGGAGGAGAGAGATGACGGTTTGCGCAGCTCGAGATTAGATGCGTGCAGCGGGTCTCTGTGCTTGAGATCAGGTTGATCCTCGAGCGTTGTTGTAGATTCGTTTGGCATGGTTGATAACGGATGATAAGCAGCTTTGCTGGAGGATGGCATACAACTATATAGCGTTAGCAGAAGGCAACAGGAGGTCTTTGAGCAGCTGGAAGTTTCTAGCATCCATGTGTGAAGTTGAGCAGTTATTGTTTGCCACCGCTGCTGGCCATGATGCATGTTTATGCGCAGGGGTCGCACATGCGAAACCCATCTCATCTCATCTTGTCATGGCCGCAAACGAATCGAGCTACTCAGATGCTCAGGAGAGGCATACGTCTTTTTAGAAGTGAAGCACTTGGTCTATCTCTACGCCGGAGCCGGTCCGCTTAGAGTTGTGCTGATTGTGCGCCGAAGCGAGCCTGGTGGAGAACGTTTTGACTGAGGGAGCAGAAGGAGCTGCTCTAGTAATGTATGAGCAAAGATGCAAGCTTGAGCTTATACAAGAGGGAGTGTAGCTATGCTGCTTTAGTACTTAGTAAGTGCTTCCTTGTTGTCTTTCTTGGCTTCGTGTCGGCATTTTCAGGCGTCGGGCGTGCGACAAAGATTCAGGAGATCTGCAGGTGCAGTTGAACATAGTAGGATAGTGCGGCCCAGGTATGCTGTGAGTTCTGACAGTAGGCTACAGTTCAATAGATGCGAAGTTCATACTCTATGGCCTTCTCTCTAGGGGTCGAGCAGTGAAGAGATACTTGTACATTGTGCGGAATTAGGTCTGCGGCTCTGGCGGAAGGAAGTTCATCTCACCCCACACGCTGTCATCATCTGCGGCATCGATCGCGGTCTTCTACAGCAGCTATAAAGAGCAAGGCAGAGACCAGAAAGAGTGTGAAAGTAGTATTGTCAGGAAGCAATGACGGACCCGAGACAAGGCCCCGAGAAGGGCGTGACCTATGCTGCTCAGGCATCACTCAAGAAGCTGCCCATCCCAGCACTGGAAGACTCAATTAAGCGCTACCTATCCTCCGTCAAGCCATTTCAGGTAAGGCACTTCATTCTAGGCTTCTATCTAACTTGAAGAACCCTGCAGAGTACAAGAAAACAGAAGAGGCAGCACAGGCCTTCTTGAAAGAGGATGGCCCTGTACTGCAGCAACGGCTGCTCGACTATGCAGCCGACAAGGATTCCTTCATTGAACAGTTCTGGTTTGATTCCTACCTCAACTTTGATAATCCCGTTGTCCTCAATCTCAATCCCTTCTTCCTTTTAGAAGATGATCCAACACCTGCACGCGCCAATCAAGTCACACGCGCGGCATCGCTGACCATCTCTTCACTTTGTTTCGCGCGTTGCCTCAGAAGAGAAGAATTGCCGCCAGATCAGGTTCGTGGGCAGCCACTATGCATGTATCAGTATTCTCGCATGTTTGGTACCGCACGGATACCAACAGATCATGGCTGTCACATGGAAACAGATGCACTCTCAAAACACATTGTCGTGTTGTGTCGCTCCCAATTCTACTGGTTCGATGTCTTGGATGAGAATAGCGACATCATCCTCAGTGAAAAGGATCTGGCGGAAAACTTCCGAGCCATCATTGAAGATGCTTCTGCCATCCCTGTTGGCGAAGCTGCTAAATCTGCCATGGGCGTGTTGACGTCTGAAACGCGTCAAGTGTGGGCTGACTTGCGGAGTAAGATTCAATCTGACCAAGATGGCTCCAACAACAAGGAATGTCTATCCATTATCGATGCTGCCTTGTTTGTTGTTTGCCTGGATGACTCTGAACCGCAAGGCAAAGCGGCCGTCTCAGCCAATATGTTGTGCGGTACCTATGATATTGCCACCGGTGTCCAGATTGGTACCTGTACGAACCGTTGGTATGATAAACTCCAGTTGATTGTCTGCAAGAATGGTTCAGCAGGCATCAATTTCGAGCATACAGGCGTTGATGGCCATACAGTCCTGCGCTTCGTCTCTGACATCTATACTGATACAATTATGCGCTTTGCAAAGACGATCAATCCGGCTGCACCCAATCTTTGGCCGAGCATGTCGCCTGACCCAGCGAAACGCGATCCCGAGTCCTTTGGCGATGTTGATTCAACGCCACACAAGCTAGAATGGACACTTGACCAAGAATTATCCAACGGTATCCGATTTGCAGAAACACGACTCAGTGATTTGATTTTGCAGAATGAGATTTGCGTTTTGGAATTCACTGGATATGGCTCCAACTACATGAAGTCTTCTGGCTTCTCTCCCGATGCCTTTGTGCAAATGGCCTTTCAAGCTGCCTATTATGGTCTCTATGGCCGTGTCGAATCTGTGTATGAGCCAGCCATGACAAAACAGTTCCTACACGGCCGAACAGAGGCTGTGCGAAGTGCTACAGTGGAATCTGTCAATTTCATCAAACGCTTTTGTGAGAATGTCAATCCGGCCATCAAGGTGGATGCATTACAAAAGGCATGTAAGCGGCATACGGCCATCACTCGAGAGTGTGGACAAGGTCAGGGACAAGACCGGCACTTGTATGCGCTGTACAAGATGCATGAGATGCGCGTTGCAGCAGAAAAGAAGGAAGGACGACACTCACCGGGTGCTTCCGATGTGACTGTACCAGCACTCTTTGCTGATATCGCATGGGAACGCGTCAACAATACAATCCTATCAACCAGTAACTGCGGTAACCCTGCTTTACGCATGTTTGGCTTTGGTCCAACGAGCCCTGAAGGTTTTGGTATCGGCTATATCATCAAGGAGAATAGCATCTCCATTTGCGCAGCGAGCAAGCATCGACAAACTTCAAGATACTTGGAGACCCTCTCGAATTACTTTCTTGAAGTACGCGCCTTGATTCGACAGGTGAGTGAAGTGCGCGGCAGTGCGAAACCACAAGCTCGACCGGAAAATCAGCAACGTACCCGTCGTAGTGGGAGGAAAGTCGCTATTGCAACACCTGCTGCTGGCGAGGAAGAAGAGGAGCAGCAGGATGGGATGTTGGGTGGGTATGGGTACTTTGACATGGAGAGTTTGACGCGCGATATGCAGCGTCAGCAAATGGCGAGACAACAGAGTCGTGAGGAGATGGGCGGGAATGCACAGCGTCGACATGCTGTCGGCAAGCGTCTGCAATTGGGCGAGTATGCATCATAGCGAGCTGGGCGCGTGATAGTAGATGAGATGTTTAAAAGATGAGTCCCCAGAGAAAGTAGAGCGCAAGGACAGCACCGACGACACAAGCGCTTGCTTTGAGCTGCCATTTGAAGCCATTGGTAGAGGCGACACGACCGAGCTTGTTGGCTGTGGCTTTGATGCTTGTGGAGAAGTTGCTGAAGCGTTCGGCCTTGGTCTGTTAGTTTATAGGCGCAGCATACAAATACATACGTTGGCGTCGATGAAAGAATGGTCGGCCGCTTGACGATTAATGTCGATGGTCACGCCGCGCAGGGCAGAGACTTTGCCAGCGAGCTCATCGAGACGCGCGTCGTTCTGCGATTGAGACATGGTGACTGAGCTGGGTGATGTGTGGTTGTTGTCTGTGTGCAGCATCAACAAGCAAGAAAGTCATCTACAAGACAAAAAGAAGACAAGAAGATCCAAAGACAAAACGGCCAGCTAGATCCTGCTACTCCCTCGGCGATAGCCATCCTTCGCCTTCCTCATACCCAATCACGCGGTGCTCAAAAGACAGTCGTCGCTGCAGCATGGCGAATCCATCATCGCTGCTTGGGCGACAGGGAAGCAACATGGAGCGCAATTCCTCCTCGTAGTGCTTGTTAGCCATGGCTGCTGCATCCGCTAAAATCTGAATATTGCCATCATGCTGTTGTTGCTGCTGCTTTGATGCCTCTGTTGGCAAGATCCACGCTGGATCGAAATCATGGTCTTCAACATGGACCCCTTCAGCATTGTCATGCTGTGTCGGAAGAGGCTCATCTTGCGTCTGCCAAGTGTAAGCATGCGTCTGTGTACTCTGTATTCCAGGTGAGGACACGGGAGACGAAGAAGAAGCAGGTGGCGAGGTCAACTCTGAGCTTTCTCGCTTCCAAGCATCCACATCCATTCCTGCAGCTGCAGGCATCAGTCCGGTTGATGGAGACCGCGAGTGAGAGGAGGAAGATGACGCGCGACTGTGGCGTTGTAGGACTTGCGGTGCGGGTCGACGCAGACTCACAGCAGGACGAGGATGCAGCCTTGTACTGGGTAAAGACGTGCTGAGGAGATGCCAATGACGTTGGTAATTCACCTTGAGCACTACTTTGAGCGAGGGTGCTGTTGCTTCCGCTGCTAAAGCTGGTGCTTGCTGTCTCTGCATCGTTGACATGGTCAAGTCACGCAGTTCTCTGGCAGAGATACCCTTGCTCGTACCTCGTTGCATCGCAGTGACTTGCTGCAATCGCTGTTGCTGCTGCTCTTGTATCCAGCGTGGTGGATTACTGGAGAGGTCGTCGAGATCACTCGCTGGTTCGTCTGTCTCTGCTGCTTGCATGCGTCGCTGAATATGCTACCACGTCAGCGGTCGTGTCTTGGTGATTTGCAGGGATGCTTACCTGTGACAGGCGCTGTCTCTTGACCGGATGTCCTTCTTGCGTGGCTGCCATATCCACCGATCGATCGCTCTCGAGGTACTGTACACGCGCCCGCTTCCCTCCTCGCTGCACAGGTGTCCTGCGTTCCTTTGTGCCCGTTGCTTGCATCGACTTCAACCCCGTTGCGCCATATCGCTCGAGGATAGAGTGGTAGCGTGAGCGTAGACTCTGGAAGGAGATGCGACAGGGTGGTTCGGTGGCTGTGGCTGCTGCTTCCTGCCAATTGATGGGATGCTGCTGGAGGTGCTGGAGGCAGACGAGGAGGACGAGGATGTCATCTTGTGCCCGTGCCAGGTCTGTCTTGCGGTCTGCGGCTGCACCTGGCATGGTTCCTTTGGCTGCTTCTATGACTGTGTGTAGTGGTTTGTGTGGTCTGTGCTCTCTCTTTCAGGGGCGAAATGGTGAACTGGCTGAATTGCTGAGCAGAGAAAGATGGAACTTACTCTTTCACGCCATAGACTACTTCCAGCCTAGATGCTCTGGCTTTCTACTGGGCTGCTCCTCCCGCTTTATATCCTGCTCACTGCCTGCTTGCTCCCGCCGTGGTCGCTCCGTGCTGCTCAATCCAAACAGCGCGCGACACCAACAGCCTCAAAGCTCATCTTCCCACATACTTCTCCCGTCTATGCTGTATGAAACTGCTCTCTTGGAATATCAACGGCATCAGGCGTATCCACGCAGACTACAAACGCAGACAGCCACCTGGCAAACCTACTTCTTTCGCTGCACTGCTACACAATCTAGACGCTGACATCATCTGCCTGCAAGAGCTCAAATCAGAACGCGCTCATATAGATCCGAGCTATGTTGATGTCGACGGCTATCGTTCGTTCTTCACCTTTCCTATCGACAAGAAAGCTTACTCTGGCGTTGCCATCTATGTCAAGCACCCATTCGCACCAATTAGGGTTGAGACTGCCTTGTGCAGTCCTAGCTACGATTCATTCAAAGAAGATCCTATGGCAATCGGTGGGTATCCAAGCAGCATCACGCAGGCAGAGGCACGCAAGCTCGATAGAGAAGGCCGTATCCTCCTTCTTGACTTTGGTGCATTCATCTTACTTGGCACATACTGTCCTGCTGGCGCTGAATCAGACGACCGCGTCGCTTTTCGCAGACTCTGGTGGAAAGCACTGAATGAACGCTGTCGCAACCTCGTGGCTGCAGGACGACAAGTTGTCTTGCTGGGTGATCTGAATGTCCATTGCTTCCCGCAAGATACAGTAGATGCAGATGTTGACGAGTACACGCCAGAGACACTTGGCCCTGTCGGACAATGTTTTCGACGGCTGACTGCAGATGATGGGCACTTGTATGGCTCCGAGCCTCGCATCTTTCTCGATACAGCAAGACTTTTGTATCCAGAGCGCGAGGGAATGTACACATGCTGGTCTGTACGACTCGCTGCACGACAAGGCAATTATGGCAGTAGGATCGATTTCGTCCTCATCACAGAAGGTCTACGTCCATTTTTGAGTATAGCCGACACATTGCCAGATATACACGGTTCAGATCACTGTCCTGTGTATGCGACGCTGTCTTTGACAACAGGAGAAGGTGCCACTCTACAAGTCTCTACCGTTGCAGATAATGTTGACCCCGGTATCAGCTCTGCCCAGCAAAAGCTCTCTGCTTTCTTCAAAAAGCGATCCAGTCCGCCACCTATAGCAGCTGCAGCCAGTCCTCCTTCTCTCAAGCGGAAAACGTCAAGTATTGGTGGAAGTGGCAAAAAGTCACAAGCAACGCTCTCTGCCTTTTTGACAGGGTCAAGCAGTAAAGTGGTCAAGGAGCAAGAAGAGGTATGGCAGACATTCGACCCGGGTGCAGCAGAACAAGCCTCACAAACCAAACAGCAATTCTCAAGTCTCTTTAGCAAACCTGTCGTGCCAGTTTGTAGTGGCCATCAACTGCCAGCAAAACGACAACGCACAAAGAAGAAGGGCGCCAATATGGGTCGTGAGTTTTGGAGTTGTAGTGTGCCACTCGGTCAAGGACAATGTGACTTTTGGCGATGGGTCAGATGAAGATGATGAAAACGAAACGCTCTACCTTGTGTCTACTGTCCATAAGCAACCTCCTGCTGCTTGTCAGCTGAACCGCCCTGGCTAAATTGTGTATAGCAGCGTGCCATTGTCTTACTCGACCGCGCAATCGCATCCGTCAAGTAAAAGTTATCCAAGTTGACCGGGTTCTTAAGAGGTGCACCGGAGATGCTCGAGCCCTTGTTTTGCTCAGCAAGGGACTTGAGCCCCACAAGGGCCAGGGAGCTCGGTTCAACAACATCGTAACGTGCAAGAGACGGTGCAATCTCAGCCATTCGATCACGCAAGCTGATCAAATCATCATACTTCAATGGTGCCTCCAAGACTTCCGATAGGGCACGCACAATCTTCCAGTCCTCACGAGCGACACCCGGTGGGTTCGTCGCTGCACGTGTCGTTTGTGTGCGACCTTCCGTGTTGACGTACGTGCCGGACTTCTCAGTGTATGCAGCACCTGGCAGGACAACATCTGCGTACTGTGCGCCCAGATCACCATGATGGCCTTGATAAACGACAAAGGCATCCTTGGGGATATCCTTACCATCAACCTCATCAGCACCCAACAAATAAACAAACTTGGCTTGTGTCTTTGCCGTTGCTGGAGAAGGTGCCGTAAAGCCAGTATCGTAGGCAGCAGCGCGCGACGCAGCACGCTGGAGGACGTTGAAGCCATTCCAGGCATCTTGCTGGAAAAAGACATTTTCATGCTTTGCTGCAAATTGCGCGACCATGTCGAAGAGCGCTTTGCCGTCTGGGTGCTCAGCCAATGCGGAACCCAAAATAATCATGGGTCGGTTTGCGGCGGCGAGCTTCCTTCCAAATGCACCAGCAAGTGCCTTTTTAAGTGCAGCAGCGTCATTGCCGAGATGCTCAGACTGGAAGATATTCTCAGTTTGCTCGCCAACAAGCGCAATTTCAAGAGCATCAGAACGCAACCATGACTTTCGTAGACGTGCATTAAGGACGGACGCTTCGTGTCGCATGTTGCTACCAACAATCAACACCTTGTCTGCTTCCTCGACGCCTGCAAGACGCGAGTTGAAGAGGTAGTTGCTGCGAATGTCAACGCCATGCGCAATTGGTGCATCACCGAGTGCTTGGTCCAGTGCGAGGTTCTCTGACCCAAGAGAATGAACAAGATCACGCAAAGCCACCATCGATTCTGCATCCACGAGGTGTCCTGCGACAGCCTTAATCTCATCGCCCTTGGGTTGCACCTTGTCGAATCCATCCTTGATGGTCACTAAAGCCTGCTCCCACGAGCATGGCTCAAACTTGTCGCCAACCTTGACGAGCGGGTGTGTCAGTCGCTGCATCTTGAGACCATCGTTTGCAAATCGCGTCTTGTCGTTGATCCATTCTTCATTGACATCGTCATTGAGACGGGGCATGACACGCATCACTTCGACACCGCGAGTGTCTACCCGAATATTGCAACCGAGTGCATCGTGGACATCGATTGTCTCCGTCTTCTTCGTCTCCCAAGGTCGTGCTCGGAATGCATAAGGCTTTGAAGTCAATGCGCCAACAGGACACAAGTCAATTACATTACCAGACATTTCCGTCTTGAGTGCCGTTTCAATGTACGTGCCGATTTGCATACTGTTGCCACGTCCCGAGGTACCGAGTTCAGGAGCACCAGCCAATTCATTGGCAAAACGCACACAACGCGTGCAGTGAATACAGCGGGTCATGATGGTTTTGACGAGGGGTCCGATGTTCTTATCCTCAACAGCCCGCTTACCCGTCCGTTCAGCGAATCGAGAACGATCAGATCCATAGCGCATCGATTGATCCTGCAAGTCACATTCGCCGCCTTGGTCACAGACCGGGCAATCGAGCGGATGGTTGGCTAGTAAGAATTCCATGACGCCCTCACGAGCCTGATGAACAAGCGGCGTATTGGTGTGAACCTTCATTCCAGGCATAGCAGGCATGGCACAGGACGCTTGGGGCTTCGGTGATCGTTCCACTTCAACAAGACACCTAGTCATGTCAGCTTTGTCATGTTCAGAAGTGAAGACTTACATCCTGCAATTTCCGGCGATCTGTAGCTTATCGTGATAGCAGTATCGGGGGATATGTACACCGGCCTTGTCGCATGCCTGAATCAATGCCGCGCCTTGCTCAATTTTGACGGACTTGCCATTGATTTCAAGTTCAATCTCGCCACGACGAGAAGTAGTGGCGGAAAAGGCCCTAGGTGTGCATGCATGCTGCTGATGCTGAAGAATAGCGGCCCGGCGTGGCAGCCTGATGGACCGACGGAGCATGACTGTAGCCAGGGAATGGATGGTGAGCTTCTGTGCTGTTGAGTTGTTGCTGGCTGCGGGCGATTTTCACGGCGGGAAACACGCAAACGCTGATTGGCTGGCAACCTCAGAAGCTGGCTAGAAGTACAGTGAGTGCTTTCCACCGGTCCAGTCCGGTCTAGGAGTGTACTAAGGACGTTCGGTACTACTCATGCGAGATCATCGCATAGCAGACATTGAATTCCTCCCAACAGGCCCGCCTTGACAGCGAGGAGCAGGACTTCCACCATCTGATGAATGGTCTCACGGTCTGCACTCAAAAAAGTTCTCAGCCGGTGTCTCCCTCCTGCTCCTCAATTGTAATCTAAGCGCTTTTATTGTCTCTGTTTCCGCTCACTCGTAGTGAAGGAGAGCTATCCAAGTCGCGAGAGAAAGCTCCTTGCTCAAATCGTTGAATTGCTGCATCTTTGTTGCCTGCAATTGTCTACATGACAGCCTACATCACACATACATCAAATTTTGTTGCCTTCTCGTGTCCTTACACTAGATCCTCTTCGCAAGATGCATGCCACTGAGAAGAAGAGCTCTTTTCAGCTGAATCAGGTCAACTAGCCTCACCAGACTGGCTCCACACTGCGTATGATCACTCTAGTAACTCCGCCTTGTTTCGGACTTTCAATGACTGCTGGCCTCCCTTTCTCGCGTCATGCGTAACGCAGCGTAGCAAACCACTGTCACAAAAACACTTAGACTTACGCTCTTGCACTCATTGCTAGTGCCGTGCTGAAATTGCCTGATGTTTGGAGTTTGCGCAGAAGACATACTGGCATTTGAAACTTGCCGTGCAGTATCTCACGCTCATTAACGTTTGCCACGTTGAAAGAGAGCCTCTTTCAGGTACACATACTTCCCAGCTAGTGATTCAGCCAATGAAGTCCCAGACAATGCAACTACAAGTAAAGCCAAGCTCGCATTGTTGGAACCATCAGGTTGTATAGCCTGTGTTTACTGAACAATTGGCAACGGAGTCAGAGGTGAGCAGACTAATTGCGAAATTGCGAAGCTGAGCAATCTCATCAAAAGACCTTGCTGAGGCTTCATTCGCTAATTCCTGAGCCAGGGCCTTGAAAGAGCCACACTTACAGGTGTTGATAGACTGAGTGAAGCCCTCGAGTCATGAACAGATTTGTAGAGGCCAGAAGGAACTGCAAACTGTGAGCGGAAAAACTTCTTTCAGGAGGAAGTTGCAAATGCCGCGTGTCCAAACTGATTTAAGATTTGACGCCGGGGGGAAGTGCTTTGAAGTCTTATTGCGTGATTTTACTATTCATAGACATTAGACACGCGAGGTCGCGAATTTTTGACCACGAGAGTCACACTCAATAGAAGTCTGTTTGCTGCTGACAAGCTATTGCAGAACACGTGGATGTTTGGGAAATTGGAATCCTCCCCCTGCAGGCTTTGTAACTTGAACAAGCAAAATTCCCTCAGGCAATTGCGATCCATTGGATGCCGATGCATGCACATATGCATATGAAAATGCGGGACGTGTCGTTTGTGAGTAGAAGAAGACGCAAAAATGACATTATATTTTCCCAAAACAGTGAAGAACCTGCCACATAATAAGATTGGAAACAAACATGCCACAGAAGCTTGTTGTGATTGGTACTTGAATTGAATCGCTGCCCATTGACTGTCGCTGCACCTACTGTGCCTGACTCAGGCTGACTGCCACGAGATCTGCTGGTCTAGAATAGCTCCATGAATTCTATAAGAACCAAGCAGGTGCCTTCAAATTGGTGCAGACCACCTCATCATCGGCCAGGTACAACACTATCAACAAGAAGCTGTGAGCGGTCTTATACAACTATCTGACCCATCAACTGACGTTCAGGCGACATGTCGAAAGGATTTTTTGCCAACCTCCAGATTGAGGGTTTACTGATTCTCATGATGATGGTGGGAAACGGCGTTTCAGCTGCATTGGACCAACCAGATCAGTGAGTAATGCCATCACATCTGCAGGAGCGACATGCTAATAAGTGTAGACGATCGGGACACCCGGTGATCAAAGCCGATTGCACGGGCTGTCCTTCGACAATGGCGACGTGTTGGCAAAATCTTAAGTGCGTCAAGGATCGTTGCTGCCCGATTGCCGCTCCTTAACTCTAGAAGTCTGAACTCTTTGGAGGTCCCAAGGACTTTCCTTACTTCTACATCTTGAACCTACACTTAGTCTGTGCTTGAAAGCACAGTGACTATCTAACGATCTTAACTACCAGTTTTCTTCAGCTACAGTATCTCCTATCAACTTATAAACTTTTCTTTCCCCATTCTTGTTTTCTTTACTGTTCTTGAACCTCGACCGCGAAAGTTGCTGCCTTCATGCAGCTGTATACAGCAGTAAGTTTGATCTAGCTGGTCTACAGCTCTAGAAGCATATATCAACAGATCTGAGGGGCTTGTATCAAATTTCGCGTCAACTTTTGACGTCCAGCCGAGTGGTCATGTTTAGTAAGATCCAGAAGGTGTATCATGAGGAATGCAGTCTTCCGGTCATCAGTCTGAGATGTGGTCTACAGCTACAGTTGAGTAAAATTGATGCAGTCTGACAACTTTCGCTGTGAGCGAAGGCACGGTCTAGACGCGTATGTTCATCAGGAGATCATTGTTTGGGCGCATGAGCTTTCGATATTTGCGTGTGGGCAGAGCCTAGACCGAGTTGAATGCAGTTCTAGTTTGTTGTGGAACAAATATACATGTCTGGGAATGTGACCAAAGTACCATCATTCAGTCTACCTGCTGATCAGAAGTAACATCGTGTGGGTAAATGATGTTTCCAACCCCTGCAGCTGCAGATGCAGCTCGATTGTAAGCTGCACATTCAGCACGCTTCATGGCCACCCGTAAAATCGCGTCTGCAGGACTTACAACATGAGCAAGCAAAACTACTTCCCACAACTACAAGCCATTGTATATGCATGCATTCACAAGTGTAGGTTTGTTTTCGGATTTGTCCTTCGTCATTAGAAGTCAATGCAAAACCGATACTAGATTTACTCGATACAGCGAAGGCTGTAGCGCCTCATAAGATTAGTGCCACAGGTGCTTGACCCAATTGATTCTCGCGGAAACATACGGCTCGCAATCTCGCAATTGAGTGCAGACTCATTGCAGATGCTGAATTTGCAGGCTTGCATCTTCCCATGGCCAATAAATATTTGTGAAGGTAAAAGTCAATGCCCCTGACTGTGCGTTCATGGATCTTGACCAATTGTGAGTGAGCGTAAGGCGGTGAATCAAAGGATTTCACAGCTACAGCTGGCTCAATTGCAAGCTGCCGACAACTTAAGCTTAAGACTGCGCGGGGCTGTAGCTAGATTCATCGCTGGTCTTCCACGACTATAACAATTGCAAACTACACTGGATTCGATTGGTTCACCAACAAATGCTGCTTCCGCTGCAGCAATTTTGACCTGCAGCTTTGCATGTGCATGCTTATTTGGAAGCAACACGATACCACTACACGTGAAGTCAATCAGGTCCGGGCTGAAACTTCGACGTCCGTAGTACCCGTATGTAGTCGAAGATCTGTTTTCAGAGGTCCAAATCACATTGGACACCCCCCATACTGCTACAATCGACACGATGACCTTGATGTGACTGGTCAAATGTCATCCTTAGCGAAATTGCGGCTTTCTGCTTCAAGCACTGGCAACTTGGTAAGCAGCTTCAGGACCCCTTCTTTTGCAAATTTGGCTAGAGCCCCGTCAGGGGTTTCACCCAATTCCAACTAGCTGCAGGATATCGAGTCTCTTATAAGCCAGCAACTCTCAACAATGCTGAAAAGTGAAAGACACCAGAGAACGAACCTATAGCGGTAAGGGAACCTTGAACTAAGAATATGGAACGCAACTGACCTACAGAGAAAATGAAGAAGATCTTCGCTCTCAGCTGCCCACTTGCGATTCAGCACCTGCTGTTTCTCATCTCTATTCTACAGGGAAGCACACAGTCATTTGCGTTGGCAATTCCAAATCAATCAGTCTCGTCCTAGTTCAATGTCCGAGCTGAGGTCGCTAACCAACACAGATCGTTTAGGAAGGGGTGCCCAAGCGTCTGCTCACTCGTTCGAGAGCACTGTGGCAGGCCGGCTTGCAAGGGATGCTGTCACTAATAGCTATACGCTCAAAGGGTGCTCCTAGGAGTCCAGATTTTCTGAACACCTCAGGTTTTCCCTTTTTACGCAGCAGCTAGAGCTACCTGAGGAATACAATTTTTCTTCTTCTTTAGTATCGTCTATCATTTGACAACCGTTTCTTTCAACATTCTCGATCATGTTCAATCGGTTTGATTCGTGATTGGGCTAGTGTCCGACTCCAACTGTTAACTACGTCTTGATTTCATCTCTTCGCTTATTGTCATCTAGTCAGGCAGACTGAACGTTTTTCTTGACCATTATAAATATTCGCGATCACTCACCTATAGCCACTGTGCTGTATACAATCAACACCTCTACAGCGGCTACGACTGATGCAAGCTGTCAAGATTGTCTTTGTTTCCCAAGATGCAAGTATCTCAAGCCAGGTTGTTTTCTTCTTGTATGCGTCTTCTTCGTCACGCATCCTCTATAGCTATGCGTCGTGAACAAGATTTCAAAAACACTAACAATCTAGACTCCCAAATGGACACTACAGTGACTATATACATGTAGCTCCTCAAAAGCTCCGCTAGCCACCTGCCAATACGTTTCATGCATTGCCACCCCTGAATTTGAATAACAATTGCAGATGCCCGGTGTGTCGATACCTTTGCCAATGAAATTAGCCAAGCTAGAAGAGTCTAGACCAGAAAGAGCTATTTCAGACTGGTTTGTCACTCAAGAACGACCTTGCTGACAATTGACATATTGTTTGGCCAAGCCTCAACTGCAGGTTCGTAGGTCTAGAGTTGCCAAATTCCCATTGAAGGCCTAAGCCGCCCTAATTCAATCTCAAACCTTGACAACCTTGCAATTGTCTATCTTGCTAAAAACCTCTCATTGCTGAAATTGCAATTGGTGATACCAAAGGAAGAAAGTACAAGAGAGGCCAACGCATAGAGTTTCATCTGGACTCAAGTATTACGATGATCAACAAGTTTGCAATGTTCAGACCCTTCTGTCATTTAGTGCTGCCGACTTCTTTATCACATCTACAGTCTAATCATACGTGTCATTGGCTTTAGAGCTCAAATCTTGGGCTCAGCCTTGTCGAGCTTGTTGTACAGCACAAACCTGTACCTGACATCGCCCTTCTCAAGCCTCTCAATCGCCGTCTCGAGATTCTCCTTCGTCATCTCCATCTCCTCAATGACTGGGGTAATAGCATGTCGTGCAAAAAACTCAAGCATGAGCGCATGCACCTGTCGCGAGGCCACCAAAGAACCAGCAAATGACATTTCCTGACTCAGCATCTGACCATATGGCAAGTTGGCTCCTTGACCACTGTGGTCCACACCCATAGCGATGATGCGTCCACGAGGCTTCATAACGCTGTAGTACATCTTCCAATCGACTTGGCCAGACACCGTCACGAGGAGGAAGTCAAGTTTGTTCTCAACAGAGAGCGTTTCCTTGCCTTTTGTTGTGACAAACTCGTGAGCGCCAAATGAACGTGCTTCCTCTTCCTTGTCGTTCGTGCGAGAGAAGGCAGTGACATGGCATCCCCAAGCATGAGCCGTCTTAAGAGCCAGATGACCTAATCCTCCCAGACCTACAACGCCAACACGGTCGGTAGGCTTGATGTTGTTGTTGTACATTGCGCTGAAGACAGTGACGCCACCACAACTGAGCACCGAAGCATGAGCAGGCGAGATGCTATCCGGTACCTTGAAGAGATAGTCTTCGCGAACAACGCCCCCGGTGCTGAAACCACCGAGATCCTTGTCTGCGTAGCCGTACATAGATCGCTTGGCGCACAAAACTTCCTTGCCTGTCCAACACATCTCACACTGATTACAGGACGAGTGCAAGTATCCCCACTGCACGACATCGCCCTTCTTCAACTGCTTGCAGTCTGGGCCAAGCGATTCAACAACGCCAACAGGCTCGTGGCCAAGACAGATATCCTTCTTGAGGAAGTGTGTGTCGGTGAAGCAAAGACCACAGTGGGTCACTTTGACGTGGACCAAGTTCCCAGTGAGTGCATCGCCTTCAAAGACGTTGAAGCGCTTCTGGACGATACCGTCCTTGCCGCCGCGAAGACCAGTTTCTGTGAATTGTGAAGACATGTTGATTTGAAAACGCTGTGTTGTCTGTCTGCGTTGTGGATGTCTCGGCCTTTTGTCAGGCGTCTCTCCTTATATACTTGACAGAGGCACTCTCGATTGCTAAGCTAAATATTTGTCCGAGGCGTCGCGAGTCGCATCAATCTTTTTTTCGCTTCGGAAGATGCCGTCATTCACTTGTGAAAATCCCACCCCGGCGCTACTACGCGCGAGAAAAGCGTGGCATCACTGGCATGGGCGACGGACGGACCTTGAAAGAGGCCGCGCCGGAAGGCCCGTCGGTAGACATCGCACAGGGCTACTTTGACGTGCGGCAGATCTATTTACCAGCATGACGTCTTGGACAGTCGGTGTTCTTGGTAAGCGAGTAATGAACGAGGTGCATATTCTAGAAAGTTGAAAGTCTAATGTTTTGCGGTAGCCTTTTCGCCAGTCAGCTTCTCAACGTAGAGCTTGGCATAGTCTCCCAGGGTGACCATGCACAGTGTCTGCCAGATACCGAGGCAGACACGAGGCGTGACTCCACGGTAGAGACCCTTGATGCCGCTGTTGGAGTAGATGTACTTGAGTGTACCACCAACACCCAAACCAGAGGGCTTTGAGGGATCCTTCTTCATACTCTGCATCTCAACACGGATAATCTCAATAGGCTGGTTCCAGCACGACAGACCACCACCCACGGCTGAACAACCAATCTTCTCCGTCACCGACAGGCCCTGTCCCTTTTCCTTCTTTGTGAGAGTACGCACCCAATCTTCAGCGAGTCGCGAAAGACCAATACGCGATCCCCAATTTGTACATTGCCGAATAGCGACGGCGTTGACACCACGGTTGATACCGCGCATACCTTCTGCCTTCCAGATATCAGCAAACACCTTGAATGTCGAAGGTGGCGCGACACCGGCAGTCATGGCCTTGTGACGCGTGATTTCGGCAGTCTTGAGGTTTGTGCAGAAACCCATGGTAGCATAGGCTTGAGCTACACCACCACCCATACCACCGAGAATACCCGCGGTGAAGGGGGAAGCACCCTGGACGCGAGCGAGATATTCAATCTCGGAAGCGGTGAAGAGGAGCACGGCACCTTTAGAGGAAGCTTCAATCCATGCCCAAGGAATCAATCCTTGGTAAAAGCCAAAGACACCACCACGACCCCAGGTTTTGCTGAATGCCGTGAGGAGACCGTCTGAACGGTTGGCAGCCATGTGTGTCTTGAGCACCTCGAAGGGCTGTCCAAGAGTGGAGACTTCAAACATGTTGAGACCCGCGCCGAGCAACAAATTCGAGTAGGCTGTCGCGTTAGTAGGCACTTTAGAGACGAAGAGATGAAAGGCGTACAAACTGGCTTCTTTTTTGGGATGGTTCCATCGGCAATGGCAGACATGGTGCAAAGAGGGAAGGATGCAGTGAGGGAAGTGAATGCCGGCGACACGCAGGGAGCACTGCTGGAGGTACTTTGTGGTGTGGTGCGCTGAGTCGAGTCGCGCTGTTGAGGTGTTGGGCCCAGATTCACTTCAATCCTCTCAACCAATCAAATTCCCAAATCCAAGGCTCGCAGTGGACCGTAGTCTGTAGATGCTACCAGCAGTATAATGTACCTACTCACACGGACTACTTGACACAGCACTCTGGCAGCATACGCAGACCAAGCGCGGCAGGCACTTCCTCTGCTGCTACAACACCAGCCCTGACCATATCCCCATAGAACAACGAGATGCGCTGTTTTGCATAGGCATTATAGTTGAATCCCTCTTCACCCTCATCCACCCATGACTCTTGTGATTCGTCCCTCAGCAAGACACCTTCATCACCTGCGATACCAGTGTTGGTAGCTTCTGCCGCGCTAGCAGCAGCGACGGCCCGAGCAGCCGGGTCATCCATCGTCAGCGTCTCCAACCGCTTAGCAGAATCAGGTATGGCAGCTTCGCCCAAGTCAAAGTACTCTGGCTGTTCATGCACCACTGCAAACGTAGACGGACTTTTATAGCTTGATGAACGTCTTGCTAGCATCTGCGGGCTTGCTTGAGCCGGTAGGAAGGGCGATCGCATGCCACCTGTCACAATGGTAGGTTTCATCATGGGTGATTGGGTCATGGACAGGGTGCGTCCTTTACTGCCACGTCGCTTGCTGAGCCCTCGATCCACCTTGTCGTCTTGCGGTGACTTGGGCGATTCTACGCTGTTGACATTGGTTGTAACCTGCTCGGCAGGCGGCAGTGCTTGGATGATACCCCAGACTGCCCACTGTGCATGTGAAATGGCACGCCAAAGATCAATTTCTGCTCGCAAAACATCAATTTCCTCTTGCGTCACCTCTTGATCGAGCATACGATCAATCACTTTGCCGAATCGTATATACTCGCGCAGAAAGTTGTCTTGCTCTTGGAGGGTTGGATACAGCTCAGGGAGCATCGTGTGCGATGGTTCTTCATGATAATTGGCCATCCATTCCGCAAAGTGATTTGCCAAGTCAAAGGCACGAGGATTGGGTCCAGCATACTCAAAGTCAATCACCGCAAGACTTGTGTGTTCTTCACCGTCAATCTTGAGGATATTGCCGTATTGCAAGTCATTGTGTCCGAATACAATCTCGCCTTCCTTGCCAATCAGCATTTGCCGATACCGTGCAACATGCTCCAGAAACGTCTTGACGCCTGGAGTCAGTCGATCTGCAGGGAGTGCAGGAATCCAACAATCCAAGTTGGACAGGACAGTCGCTCTGCCGCGTTCAGCAGGCAGCAAACTCACAAAATCATGAAACTCGCGCATCCTTCGTGCAATGTAGCGTGATTGCACCGGATCACGCAGTTCAGCGGCCGTCATTTCTGTAGACTCAAGCCATTGCTCGATACGGCCATTCTTGAATTGACCGAGCATACGTGGGCCGATACGGTGATGCGCTAGACGGGCAAGGACGCTCGTTTCATACTCGCGGTCAATCAGATGCAGCACATTCCGTCCATACACACGCAGCAAGAATTTCTGTGTGTCGAGAATAACTAGGAACACATCATTCGTGAGTGCCGAGGCAATTGTCTTGATCTTGACGTCCTGAGCTTGAGAGAGCTTCCAGCTTGTGAGTTTGAGCTTGATTAGGACCTTCAAAACAGCCAACTGAAAAGGTTCACCTTTCATGGTAGCATCGAGAATCATGTCTGATTCTGGAATGATGCTTGCCACGCTGCTGGAACGACGCAAGGGCGTGATGGAGCCCTTGGAGGACCTGTAGGAGCTTGCACGTAGCATGGGGCTAGATGTCTTGTCGCCTGCTGGAACAAGCCGCGGCGACGAAGCATTGCCATGATTGAGGCTGCCAATCATTCAAAAAAGCACACGAGCAGATGAGAGCCAGAGCAAGCTGAGCAGAGTAGATATAGTCCTGGCACTGAGACTTGGTTACTGCGTGGAGTTGGCTCGAGCCTTGTTTGGGTGCACGTGCGACATTTGGCGCTGAAATCTGCTCCCACGACCTGCAAAGACACAGAAGACCCTATAGCAAGGTGCAGCTTGAGGAGTAGAAGCAGGCCATGACGGACTACATCGGGGCTCGGCTCTCGTTGATTTCAAAGTCAGATATTCGGTATGGCTTCTTTTGGAATAGCAAACGATACTGACCTGCTAGCTACGTGGGCATCTTGCACGAAATCGACTCGCAAAACTCGACTGTTTCGCTTGAACAAGTCCGTTCTTTTGGTACAGAAGGCAGAAAAGGAGACCCAGCGCTTGAAATTCCAGCAAGCGACAATGTCTTTGAGTATATCGTCTTTCGCGGAAGCGATGTAAAGGATCTACGCGTCGAGTCGTCTGTGACGACACCTGCACCTGCAGCCCCGGCCAAACCGCAGGATCCCGCCATCTTGGAGGTAAGCATGTCCCACACAAGCAAGCAAAAGTACCAGGTCCAGTGATGAAAGATTCCGGATGTTAAGAAACAATGTTTCCGAGAGCGCAAAACCGTGTGGAGATTTCCGTTGCCTTCCTTCTGAGGATCATGCTGCATGCTTGGCTTGATGTGCATGTTGTGAGTGCATTGCTAACAAGAAAGACTGGCCCGGCTCCCTCAAGATCGCATGAGCAACCACGCTCAAGTGCACCGCAGCAGCAAGCACAGACCCCTTATCCGCCTCAACAGCAGCCGTACGGCATGCCACCACAGGGATACCCTGGTGCAGTTGCTTATGGTGCGTACCCGCCTCAACCATTTGGTGGGCCACCACGAGGCTATCCTGGCTACCCAGGACCGATGCAAGGTCCGCCTGGTGGCTACCCTCCCATGCCACCTCAGCACCAAGGCCTAGGATTCCCACCGCAAGGCCGCCCACAGCAAGTGTCACAACAGCAACGGCCGCCACAGGAAGCTCAGCAGCAGCAGCAGCAGCAGCAGCAGCAGCAGCAGCAAGCTCGCCCAAGCCAGCCTCAAGCTGTGAAACCAGTACAACAAAGTCCCTTTGCTGCTTCTGTACAAGATGGTTTCCCCGAATTACCAACCTCCAGCAATGTCACTCAAAAAGCACCCGTCAAAACAGATGGCGCAAAGGCTACACAAGGTAAAATTGTGCCTGCATTGCCCTTGCCACAACATGCGAGTCCTGCTCCTGCTCAACAGCGGAAACCTGCAACCATTGCTGAAGTCACGCGTGGAGTCGCGAATCTGCCAAGTTCTGGCCAGCAGCAGCAGCAACAGCAGACGCAGCAGGCACAAGAAGCGCCCAAGACGAATGCTTTGCTGGAGGTGAGGCGTACGATGCCAAAGAATGCACCAACCTCTGCGGAGTCACAGCCAAAGCAGCAACCAGCAAAGCAAGAACAACGGCGAACAGCATCACCTTCTCAGCAACGCACACGCGCACCGCGTGGTCAAGCGCAGAGTAACGTGAATGTCTCTCAGCCGCTTGAGATTCCTACAGATGAGTATGATTTCGCTGCTGCCAACAGCAAGTTTGAAAAACCAACGGAAGCTGAAGCGGAGAAGCCAGCTGAGCCAAGCTACAACAAAGGCTCTTCCTTCTTTGACTCTTTGTCGTCCGAATCTATGCAGCGTGCTTCGTATCAACAGCAAATGGCAGCAAGCGATGGGGCTGCCGGGAAGGGACGCGGTGTACGTGGTCAAGAGCGTGCGTTGGAGATGGAGACGTTTGGTGAGACGCTCAAGTTCACGCCTGGCTCACGACGTGGCGGACGTGGACGCGGTCGTGGTGGTCGTGGCAGAGGCAGAGGTGGCCAGTCTCAAGCACAGTAAGCTGTGTATTTTGCCTTCTCCGTACACTATATATGTCGAATTGTAGACGCAATCACAGAACTGTCGTTCGAAATCAGTAGCCGGGCTTGTAAAGCAGCTGATTGTCTATTTCCATGCTATCAGAGTCTATTTGCCTTCCTCTATATCACAGTTATCACTGCTGAGATTGTATTTTCCAGAGTCTGCAGCTGTCGCGTTTCGAGTGAATTGACCTCGGACTTTCTTCTCCACACAAAGACCAGCACAACACGACAGGACAGGGCCCTTATTACGCGCTTTCCTCTGCGGCTGCATCGTCTGTCGCTCAAGTCAGCCTACAGGAGGGCTTATTTGCTTTGCCGCCTCACCAGGCCATATCAAACACCTCATCTTTCTTGCTGACACAATCCATTGCAACCGCATCCGACACCTAGTCATCCTGCCTGATTTGCCGGTGGCCCATCATGAATGGCATCGATCGAGTCTTTGTCTCTGCATTGAATACCGTCAAACGTCTGCCCTCCACACCAGGCTCACCCAAACCGCCGCTAGACGATCGGTTGCTCCTTTATGCTCTCTTTAAACAATCCACCGAAGGCGACATACCCGCAAGCATGCTAGAATCGCTCGAAGCGTCTCTACGTAATGGTGAAGATCCAGAAGATGATGATGCGAGTCGCGAAAAGACGGAAGCATGGGCGCTCCAGCGTGGACTATCCAAGACTGAAGCGAAAAAGATGTACATTAGCTCACTGATTCGGAGTATGCGGCTTTATGGATCCCAAACAACAGCAGCCAAGGCGCTCATTGATGAGCTTGAGTTTGTGTGGTTGCAGGTGGACGGTAATGCCCCGGAGCATGAAGATGATCAGACTGTCGCGTCGCGTGCGCGGACAAACTCTGGGTCACAGTCGCCTACGAGTGTGCGGCTGAAGCGAGCATACGAGAGCAGTCAGCGGCTCAATCGTGACGCAGAGGGAGAAGATGAAGATGAGCACGAGGATGAATTGGAACGACAGGCACCGAATGCCTATAGAACAGCCCCACCATCACCCGTCAAGGCAGGTCTACCTAATTCTGCGAGTGTCACTTTTTCGGCCTCACAGATTCCAGCACTCAATCTTGCCGCACCACAGCCCTTGCCCAATAGCAAAAGCTTTGGCACGTTACGTGCTCAAGCCGCGATTGCAGGGCGTGATTTGACACCGGAGGAAACCAAGATTTGGCGAAGACAGGTGGAAATCTCGCTTCAGCAGATTCGCACGGAATTAGCATCTGTTCGTGAAACATTGTTGCATGTTCCTGCTGCAGGCATGCTCTCTCGCTCTCATGGCTCTGGGTCGACGTTGTCTCGTGTTCTTGCCAGTTTGAGCGATTTCGCACGTCTCAGCGCTGTTGTGCTTATTTACGATGCCATCTTTCTGGGCTCGCTGTGGTTCATCTTTTCACGCAACGGTGATCCACGAGCGCTCAAAATCAAGGACTGGTGTGGACGTTTGTGGGCTTGGATGCTCAAAAAGGTTAAAGTCAGGATGCGGAGTGCCGTTCGTGATATTGGCGACCGGAGATAAGACTTGGGGACATGTGCATGATCAAAAGCGCTTTTATATTACAACAGGCTTCCTTTTGTCCTTTAAGCCTCCGTTTCGAGTTCCTTGAGAATCTCCTCAAAGGCCTCCTTGTAGTCACCCTCCTTGCCATCTTTGGCCTTACCACCGAGTTGCACCATGATGACAGAAGTCGGGCGCTTCGTACCACCAGCAGCACCGAGTTCCTCCTTACCGGGCGTGTAGATATACTTGATGCCGTGATCCTCACACAGCACAGGAATATGTGAAATGACATCGATGGGTGAAATGTCTCCTGCAATCACCACAAGCGCCTTGTCTGCTGAAGACTCCTTTTTCCTCAAGGCCTTGACGACTTCCTTTACACCGCGCTTGATGTGCTTCTGCTTAGCGGCCTTCTTCACCGTCTTGAGCACTTTCTTGTTGAGTTTCTTTGATGCAAGTGGTTGTGCAATGGCAATGACATGCGCGGCTTTGATGTCATATGCATCCGCCTCATCACCCGCAGACTCCTTCATGACCACATCCTTAACCTTCTTTTCCTTTGTCTTGGCCATGATGCTATGCTTTTGCTTTCTACTCTAGCCTTCACTTGCAGGCCTTGTGTCCTGGCCGCGACAAATTTTCAGAGTCGTCGAGGTCGCACGCGCACTTCAGATGGGCATAGGCTTCCGAATTTCGAACAATGCACAAGTCTTGGGTCGCATTCGCTCGAAGGCCTCGAACACGGAGGAATGGCAGATCTAGATCTTCGTTTGACCTCTGAGACTATGTAATCGTGCTCGGCTCGAACGACGGCCTCAGCAGTCGCATGCTATCAGTCAGCTAGAGAAACATCTGAAGATTGGAATAGAGTAAAAGAAAAGGCATTGACGCTCTTTAGCTACGACGATGGCGTCGGTGACTTGGTACAATGATATAATTCGTCTCTGGCGTTACTTGAGCCAAGCCAACTATCCATACAATTCGGTGAATCAAAACTCGTTGCTTGCTCAATCCGCACGCCTCCTGGCTAATCGTTGAACTGCATCTATAGGTTTGGGAGCTGGAGCGAGGATACTTCCTTCCAACTACTACAAGCCATCAAACATGCATGCATACGCAAGTGTGAGTTTGCTTTCGGACCTGCCCTTCGTGATTGAAAGACGACGCAGAAATAATACTAGATTTTCCTGATACAGCGAAGAGTGTGCTCCTTCACAACTTCAAGCACAAGATTAGTAGCGGCCGGAAACTGGCCACAGGTGCTTGATTTGATTGGTTCTTGCGTAAACACACGGCTCGCAAAGTCGCCATTGATGCATACGCTGAATCATTTGCAGCTTCACATGGCCAACAAATATTTGTAGAGGTGAAAGTCCCAACCCCTGACTTTGCGTTCATTAATATTCACCGTTAACATTGTGAGTGAGGACTTGGCAGCAGGTCTAAAGGCTTCTGCGATTACAGACAGCTCAAACTCCCTACAATGTAAGCCTCAGACCGTCAAAGGCGAACACTGGACTTCAGGTGAACAAAGGCTGGTTTTTTCCACAACTATAACAATTGCAAATAACACGGGACTTGATTGGTTCATCGACAGCTGCTGTTTCTGCTGCAGCAGCTGCGCCTGCAACTTTGCATGCTTGTTTGGAAGCAACACAATACCACTACACGTGAAGTCACAGGTCCGAGTGCGTACTTTGACGCCCGTAATACCCGTATGCAGTCGAAGATCTCTTTTCGGAACTGCAAATCACACAAATCACCCCGAATACTGCAGCAATCGACAGGCTGCAGTCGACTTGACTGGTTCAATGCCAACTTTGGGGGGATAGCTGCTTCCTGCATGAGAGCCTTCAGGGAATCAGGTTCCAGGTCGTATTATGAAGTCCGCATACCCAAATGCAGTCCGGACACCCCAAATACCGCAACAATTGACACAATCTTAACCCAACTTGTTCAATGCCAGCTTGAGGAGATACACTCTTCCTGCTCCAAGCACAGGCAAGCAGCTTCTGACCCCCCTATTGTGCAAATTAGGATAGAAGCCCGTGAGGAGGTCTTAACCAAATTTTAGCCTGCTGCAGGATAACGAATCCTTATTAACCACCCTTGTCGCCATGGATACAAGAAAGTCAAAAAAAAAGCCAGAGAACGATTTCCAGCGGTAAGAGGACCTTGAACTAAGCACAACTGACCTATAGTGAAAATGAATAAAATCCTCGCTCTCAGCTGTCCACTTGTGATTCAGCACCTACTGTTTCTCATCTCCATGCTGCACGGGACCCCTCTGTCGTTTGCGATGGCAATTCCAAACCCGTCAGTCTCGTTCATATCCAATGTCCAAGCTGAGAAGGCTAACCGACGCAGATCGCCTGGGGAAATTTGTCCGAGCTGGTGTCCAGTTGACGTACAAGCCTGCAAACTGCAGCCAGCTTGCGGCCACTGCTGTCCGCATTAGCTATAAGCTGCAAAGGTGTATCCAGGAATTCAGACTCACTCGAAACCTTGGACTTCTCCTCTTTCCAGCAGCTGCCCTGAGTAGTTCAGTCTCGTTTCTTCTCTAGTACCGTCTATCATTTTACAACCGTTTCTCTTACCATTCTCGACCGTGTGGACTTGGTTCGATTTGTGGTGTTGTCCAACTTCAATTGTCAATAAAAATCTTGACATCACCTCTTCGCTCGTTGTCATTCAGTTACACGAACTGGATGTATTCTTGACCTCGAGCTGCAGCGGCCCTACTGCTGCAAGCTGCCAGGATTGTCCTTGTCCGTCAAGTTGCAGGTATGTCAAGTCATGTTGTTTTTTTCTTAATGGTCGCGAGTTCGCCGCCACGCATGCTTGCTCTATAGCTATAGCTCATAGTCAAGATATCTAGACACATTTCTACTGCAGTCACGTAGACACGGCAATCTTTACCAATTCTACCGCAGTCCAGATTAATTGCATTACTTTTGACATGTCGGCGAAGTGATATATCCCTTCTGATTTACTGTTTGGTCAAGCGCATGAGAATTGAATATCAATCTACTTGAGTAAATTGACGACACGAGCCACAGCCTGTACCAAGCTGGGCTCATTTTCTCCTGCACGCCGTTTGTCCAGTACAATCTTGAGCTCCTGCCGCTTGCCAGTCAAGACACCTCCATCAATGGTACTCCATACCAAGTGTAAACGAGGCTCCTTGGGTTGTGTCTCGCTCTCACCCAGCAACAAGTTTGCGTTGCCCTCAGCATACCACTTTGAATCAAGATTGATCCGCGCTTGAACATCGCTTTCGCTCACGGGGCCTTCACGAAACTTGCTTGCAGTCGGCACAGAAAAGTGAAGAGACGACGCTACCTCAGCTTTGATGAAGTTCCAGCGATCGTTGCCTAGTTGTAGCACAGGTTTGATTCGGAAGCCGTCGCGCTGGCGACTTGGAAAGACGCTCGAAGAGATGAAGTCTTTAATGGCTTCGTGCGAAGGAATGTTCTGAACACTAAAGGCTCGTGCTTGAAGATCCGTGGGACGACCAGGACATTTGAGCACCACAAACGTGTCCACTGTTTGCATGGAAGCGCGATACATTGGTTCGTCGCGCAGATTTGGTTGCAAAACTGGAATGTAGAGCAGGAGCTCGTCATTTCCTGCTTGCTGCGACGCGTCCTCTTCATCGCGCGTCAACGATAGCTTGTATACTGTCTGACCGATTGCAGCATTGCCACCCAGGCCTTGAAGTTGTCGAATGATGCCAAAGAGTCCGGCAATGTCGGCAGTGAAGGTTTGGCCGGTGCCATTCACTTGATTGAGTGCATGGCCTAAAGTCACCTCGACATGATTCGATTCTAGTGCTTCCAAGCTCTTCATGATGTCTTCCAGAGATCTTGATGACTCGCCCTCGAATGGCGTCCACTCTGCCAGATCCGGGCGCCGGAGGAAATGCGTCCTCGGCAATGTATTGGCAAAAACGGGATTGGTATCAGCAGCAGTCATCACGTACTCTGGCAATCGCAATCCTTCAACACGAGTGTGGCCTCGCGTCCAGTCATCACCCCGATCAAGGAGGCCAAGTTCAGCCTCGCCTACAGGTCGCTGAATAACTTCCTCAATTGTAGCTTCCTGGTATTCTGGAACGGCACTGGCTAACGCTACTCTGCGCTGACAAGCGGCTAGTATGTAGCGCTTGGCATTGTTGAGAGCATTCGTCTTGCCGCCGAGCCAAGTGATGAGGAGCTGATCCGGGCGGGATGCATCCGGACGTTCGATGAAGCACTTGACAACCGGCATCACGGCGTTGCCATCTATGTCCAAGTCGAAGTGACTGTAAATGGACGCAGAAATGAGCTGGTCATTGACTGAGCCCATTGCCTTGGATACACTCGCAAAGAGCTTTTTAAAGTTTCGCTCGGGACCTGTCACATGAATGACGCCTTGCTCGACATCAACACGCAAAGAAACATGACAAGAGCGAGCCCAAGACTGCAGCATGCGTCCATCGCCATTAAACATGAAGAAAAGATCCTTGTTGGACACATTGAGCTCGCGTGTGACGACAAGATCGCCTTCAATGTCGTCTTCAACTTGAAGTTTCCATGCTTCCCTTAGTAAGCGATGAATCACTTGCTGTTTTGGACTGTCTGAATACTTGACGGTGCCGGCACCAGGCGCTCGTTGCCGAAGATAGGCCCGCAACTGTGGCGTCAAGAATGCCTCGTCCAAATTCTTCACCAGCTGCTTGTACCGTTCATGACTGACCTCTTTTGATCGTAGACCCTTTTGTAGTCGGTCAAGCTCAGCAACAACTGCATCATGTCCAGATTTGACAACCGTGCCTGCAATGCCAGTATCTAGCCTGCCAACCAATCGCTCTGCATTTTCATTGAGGTCTAACAACGGTTTGCGCTTCCGCTTCGGACGTGCAGGTCTCGGTGACGCCTTTTGTTGGAGGTGATAGGATTGTGGCATGGGATGAAAGACGAGCTCATCTCTTGGTCGTGCGACTGAATGTGCTGCGGCTGTCGACTGCTTCATCCATCGAGTTGCACCCAGCCGCGTTACACCATGACTCAAGGCTTCTATGCGGCATCTCAGACACTGCAGCATCTCCGAGGGCCAAGCTACTGGCTGCCTAATGCCTTGCTAGGTGGATGGAGCTGTCATGATTTTTGTGCTGCAGTCTCACGCCGCGCCTCAAATTTTGCCCGCGACCAGATCGCGATCTTGTAAGACTACTAAAGTGCTCACCATTCTCTATGTCGCTGCTTGCTCCAAACTCTGCCACATTAGCTGCAGAAAGCTGTATCATCTGCAATGAACCCCTGCTCATTCAACTGGATGTCGAGGATGTCGAGGAAGGAGAACCAGGCTACATCTATGACGACGTCGAGCTACCATGTCGGCATCACATCCATTACGAATGTGCTCGAGAGGCATATGATGAGTCGGATGGCTCAGTCAGCCAATGTCCATTCTGCTCACAACCGCTTTTGATACAGGGCAAATTCCTCGTTACTGTGCGAAACGAAGGTGGTGTCACTGAGCAGTTTGACCTAGGTGCAGACCTTCAGGAACAGCAATACCTCGCTGCACACCCACAAGAAGCATTGAACGAAGCCCTCCTATCTATGGCCTTTTCCGGCGACTTGGATGCCGTCAAGGAAACGCTCGCTCAAGGCGCTGATCTCGATGCCACCCAAGCCAAAACTGGCATGACGGCACTCCACCTGTGTGCTCTCAATAATGATGCCAACATCATTCGATTTTTGGTCGAAGCGGGTGCAGACAAGACGGTGCGTGCTGGAAATGGGATGGATGCACTGCAGCTGGCGATCAGTGAGGGAAGCCACGATGCTGCGTATGCTTTGCAATGAGACTTGGCTGTTGTTGTCTTGAATGACATGGTACGATGGACTCAAGCCTGGCTCAGTACATTTTCACGAGCCCATTAGCAGCCGCGTGGAGCGAGGCTGATGACTAGCACTCAGGCATTGCATGCTCTTGATCATGATAATTGCACAACTACGCGAGCCCTTATTGAAGCGACATAAGTGTAATGATAAGTACTTCTACAATTCAACTGTAGCCTTGTAGATATGGCATTGTCGTAGTCCTGAGTGTCCAAAGTCTCACGGCCTTTTGCAATTTTATTTTGTGCAAGTCGACGTCGCATCCTCTCCATTACAAGCGACCTCTGTTACCTCATGGCCAAGTCCAAGAAGAACAAGCAACCCGATCCGCCGTCGCTGGTCGAGGCCGGATCTGCCAAGAAGCGCAAGACTGAAAATGGTAGTGCACAGAGACGCAAACGTTCAAAGGCAACGGAAAACACCAATATGAGTAAAATCAAGGGGCAGCGATTCAATGGAAAGCTTGTGGTGCCGGAAAAGACGCGTGTTGCTGGAAAGCTTGTTAAACCGGCAGCAAAGAAGGCTAATGAGGGTGTGACCGAGGATGACTTTGCATCGTTCGGTTCTGACGATGAGGAAGCGGCAAGTGATGAGGAAGGCGTTCCTGCAGCGGAAAAAGCAGCGCTGTTTGACTCTGATTCTGAGCTGGCAGACGAGAATGACGACCCGCTTGCCGATGGATCTGACGACGATGTCATGTTGACGGACGAGGAAGAGGAGCAGGCACGCGGCATGTTTTCTGACTCTGATGACGAGGAACTCTTGACGGCTGCCAACATGGAGGCCATGTCTCGCAAGATTGACGAGGAGGAAGCCGAAGATGAGGAGCTTGCTGAGCAAGAATTGCTCGAACCCGGTATGGAGGCGCCTCAAATTCTGCCATCACAAGATGAATTGGATGCTGGTGGCAGTCAAGACCTCAAGGTGGTCTCATCACGTTTGCAAGAAATTGTGCGCGTGCTTTCAGACTTCAAGTCACTTGGAGAAGCGGGCAAGTCACGGCAAGAGTACGTTGATCAGTTCACACGCGATGTCATCACCTACTTTGGCTACTCGGAGTACCTCGCAGAGCGGTTCATTTCCTTCTTCTCACCAGGAGAAGCACTCGCCTTTTTCGAAGCTAATGAGACACCGCGACCTATTGTCATCCGTGTCAATACTCTCAAGACAACCAAGCGAGATCTCTCAAAAGCGCTCATTGACCGTGGTGTCAATCTCGGCGAAGTCGGCAAATGGACCAAATGTGCCTTGCAAATTCATGAGTCGACCGTGCCGATTGGTGCCACCCCTGAATACATGGCAGGTCACTACATTCTACAAGCAGCATCATCGCTCGTGCCCGTATTGGCGCTGAAACCTGTGTCTGGCGACAAGGTGCTCGACATGGCAGCAGCACCAGGCGGCAAGACCTCGTTCTTGGCACAAGAAATGAAGAATGGTGGAGTGATCATCGCAAATGAAGTCTCAAAGAGAAGACAAAAATCCCTTGTCGGCAATGTCGTTCGCATGGGTTGTCGCAATGTCGTTTCGGTTGGATTTGATGGTCGTGATTTCGGTGCCGGCAAGACTGGTGTCGGTGCCTTTGACAAGGTATTGCTTGATGCGCCTTGTTCAGGCACTGGTGTCATTCACAAGGATCCTTCCGTCAAGACGAACCGTACAGAGAAAGACTTCCAGGTGGTCTCGCAACTACAACGGCAGCTCTTGTTGTCTGCTATTGACAGTCTCAAGGTGGATGGTGTTGTTGTGTACTCGACCTGTTCAGTCATGATTGACGAGAATGAAATGGTGGTGGACTACGCGCTGCGCAATCGCAATGTCAAGCTGGAGAAAATTGAAGTGAACGTTGGTGAGCAAGGGCTTACAAGCTTCAAGGAAAAACGCTTCCATCCAACCCTCAACCTCACAAAGCGCTTCTACCCGCATGTACACAACATGGACGGCTTCTTCGTGTCGCGACTACGAAAACTTGGCAATGAAAAGGCGGCGACACCAGCAACAGTTAAGAATATCGCCAAGGCTGAGGAAGAAATTGACGCAACTGTTTTGGAACAGGTCGAGGAGGATGACGAGGGTGTTCCCGTATTTGACAATTCAGAGGATGATCAGATTATTGCAGAGGGACGTCGGCATGAGTTGCGTAAGAAGGGCAAGAGGATTGGCTCGAAACCCGTTGAAGAGGATCCGGCACCTGTGAAGCAGAGTAAGCCTGAGCCTACATTGAGCAAGCAGCCAAAGAAGCCAGCATTCAAGAAGGACCGGCCGAAGCCCAAGATTATCGATTATGGCAAGCCGCAGAAGTAGTGTTTATAGTGACACTATGCTGCGGGATTTGGATGTTCCTGGTCGCGGGATGACACTATATCCTGATACTACACTTCAATGGTCTATACAATCATCGTTCACCTTGTAGCTAAAGCAGAGCATATCGAAACACTCAAGGCAAAGCTTGTTGAGGCTTCTCAAGTCTACAGCAAGGACAAGGAAACTGTGAGTGCTTGAATATCAACGTCGCTGACGACAGATTTCATGGTTCGTTCACCAATCTGTGCAGAATCCTGCCGAATTTGCCATTATCGAGCGCTTTGATCAAGAGTCTTCCCAAGAAGAACACCTCACCAATCCCTACTGGAAGACGTTTGACCCTTACGTCAAGCCATTGCTTACTAAACCCATGGATTTGCGTCGCTTCGAAGAGCTCGACACGAGCAAGACTGTGCAAGTTCCAGAAAAGACTTGGTCGGCTACGGACTACACATTTTAATACATCTAATTGCCACCAAGCAGGTAGTGCGTTGCAGAACCCAAGTCATAGTTGAACTTTTCCAATGCAGACACGGACTTTTGGCGATCAAAGCCCATTTCCATGAGCTCAACGAGCATAGGATCGTCCGCTGCACTCACCTGGCGCGTGAGATCAGGCTTGGCGGGTTGAAGGGTGGCGCCGCTTGCTTGCACGGGAGTAGTCAATTGACCACCGTGCGAGTGAGGCGGGACAGCTGGTGGTGACTTGGCGTTGGCAGAGTCGACAAAGGCCGAGTCAAATGCACGTCCTGTAGATGTAGGCTGTCCAGTGATACCAAAGGCCTGTGCGGCAGTATTTGGCAAAGAAGGAGCCAGCGTGCTGCTGCGATCGCCAACAACACTCGAGTAGTGTGAAAAGTCGGACCAGTCTTGCGCGGGGCTGCCTGAGCGATTGCCATCGTGCAATGCATTGGGTGGTGGTAGCATGCTGGATCGGGCTGTTGGGGCGTCAAAGGTGGGATCAAACTCTTGTGACATGTAGGATTGATTGACTTCGTCTTCGTCCGCTTCTTGAGCTTCCTCAAGATCATCAAACTCATCCAGGTCGTCTTTTCGAGGTTTGGCAGAGTTTGCGCCAAGACTTGGGCCGGAACGCTCAGGCAGCAGGCCAGATAAGCCTTGTGGCTCTTTTGCTGGGACTGACGCAAGGTGAGTCGAGGTGCTGTTGTCTGCATAAACCGGAAGCCCTGCGGAAACGGGCGCTTCAGGAATAGATGCAGCTGGAGCAAACGCCCTAGCTCCTGGCTGCTCGACAGTCTCGTCATCGCTCGACTCGGCCTCTTCCGCAGCCTCGAGATGCTCAAAGCTGTCATCAGAGGCTGCCTTCTTGTCCTTTGCGTCATCCTTTTTGGAAAAGATGTTGCCCAAGAGCCCAGACAGACCTGAAGACTTTTTGTCTGTGCTGGAGGTGTCCTGTGGAATGGCGCGGTCTTCGTCATGAGGAGGATGGGCCAAGGTCTGTTGAACGGAGTGGGCATCCATTTGTTCTTCTCTAGCCAACGAACTTGGTTCCTGCACGGTCGGTGTACTCATACGCGACTGACTTGGGCTTTGTAAAGCCGAGGCAGGTGGCTGTGCCTGAACAGAAGTCCCTACTGAACCATCATCGCTGTGGGTGGACTTGAAACCGAGCAGACTTGGTCCACGAACGCCTTTGGGTTCTGTCGCTAGGGCTGGGGAGTCGACGCGTTCATCACGGGTAAAGGCATCTTCAGTGCTCCAATTTTGTGCTTGTGCAGCAATAGGTTGAGGCGAGTGAATGGCACGGGATGCTTCCGGTTGCGAGTGCAATTGCGACGCCTCGTTCTCAAACTCTGGAGCATTGTGTTCAAACGTCTGGAATTCTGCTGGTGCCGTATCGCGCGGAGCATCTTGCGGGATGTCACGGTCTGTGAATGCCGGCGGCTGGCTAAAGTTGGAGATACCTGATGGTGGGCCTCCGCTGAAGCTGTCAGTGAAACCAGCAGCTGGCGCAGCGTCGCTCGTGAATGCATCGGCAAAGGCAGGGTGGATCGCTTCAGATTGAGCCGTAGTTGGCGCCGTGTCATAGATTGACTCTGGAGATCTGCGAGCGCTTTGTGACTCGGAGGACTTGGCTGCATGTCCAAAGGCTACAGCTGCGGCACCAGCGCTCACTCCAGCAACCGCAGCTCCAGCAGCTGCCGTCTTGACGAAGGGGAAGGCGGGTCCTATGTCCGAGCCGTCATTGAGTCGTGCAAAGATGCCTGTAGGGCCGCTTATTGCCCGTGTGCTTTGAGTTTCGGGGCTTGCAGCACGATGGAACGGATTCATGCGGGTTGTGGTGGGTATCTCGGAAGGTGTCTCGGCAACAGGGCTATCAGCGCTCTCGGGAACCTGCTGTACAATAGATGGTACATCATGTTCAGGTGCAGCGGCCTGTTGTGCAGGGTGGTTAGAATGAGCTGCAATGGCAGCTCCCGCAGCGACTGGCACGGCAACAGCAGCGAGTGCTGCAGGCACAGCAGCAGATTTGGGCGAAAAGGCGGACTCCTTTTGTTCCTCTAGTGCTTTGGCCCGTTCAGCTTCAACAGCCTTGATTTTCTGCTCCATCTCAATGCGCTCCTTCTCTGCTGCAATTGCTTGTTGCTTTTCCTCTTCGATGCCCTGACGAATCTTTGCGTGCTCAGCTTCAAGCGTAGCGAGCTGCTTGTTGTTGATGGCCACCAGACCACGTTGCTGTTTTGTGTCCTTCTTCAGCGTTTCAAGCTGTGCTTTGAGCGTTGTACTTGCCTCATTTGCTAAACGAATCTTGTCCTTGATGGCTGCATTCTCGGCCTTGTCTTGAGCGAGCTGGGCAGTGAGTTGTTCATGATTTTGTCTGACTGCACCGAGAGATGCCTCAAGCAAAGAGGCTTCCTTGGCAAGCTCCTTATTTTCATTCCTGATTTGACCTTGCTCAGCCTGCATTTGACGGACAGCTGCAACTTCAGCATCATACATGCCGCGGACATTTGCGAGTCTTGCAGTCAAGTCTTGCTTTTGTGCTTTGAGCTGTCCAACATCTGCTTCCACTTGCGCACGCTCTTGCTTGGTAGCAGCATGCTGCTTATTGAGGGAGCTGATGCTGTTGTTGAGGTTGGCCAATTCCGTTGCGTCACCAGCATGGCGCAAGCTTTCCTGTGGTGCAGCGTCGCCTAGCAAGTCTGGATCCATACTTCGCTGGACGGGTGAAAAGTTGCGCGCTTGGGGTGCTTGCTGAATGGCTTGTCCAAAGCTGCTTGATGGAACAAATGCTGGCTTGCCGCCAAAACCACGATTGGAATCAACAGGCGAGACTGCTTGATCAATACCAAAGTTGTTGGCAAAGGCACCAACTGGCGGTGATTTCGAAGGAGCAGGCGCAAACGAGTCATTCAGACCAAACAAGTCTGCTGCGGCAGACGATGGGATGGGTGCTGATTGAGCTTGTGCTTCTGCAAAGACTGCTGCCGTGGGTGCCGCGACTTTTGGTCGCATTGCCGGAGGAATAAGGCTGGCTGGTAGCATATTGGGCAAGTCTTCACCACGCATTCGTATTTTTATGAGGTGCATGGCCACTGCAAATGAATCGGCATTCAGCATGCCAGAGTTGTCGACATCCGATAAATCCCAGACTTGTGCGAGCTCGTCTTCTGGTAGCTTTGACTGCACGAAAAAGCCAACAGCTTCTTCGCCTGTGATGTAGCCTTTGCTGTCCTTGTCGATGCCAGCAAAAAAGGTGTCATAATTGGCCTTATCATGAGGCTTAATATCCCACACTTCAGATCGAGGAGCGGGTGAAGCGCGACCAGGCGGTCCAGTGAGCTGTGTTCGAATTGGGCCCTGTCGCTGTCCAGAGAATTGCTGCTGCAAGGGCTCTTGTAAGCTCGAGACAGAAGGCTGCTGGCGCTGCGAGCGGGCAGAAGGAGGACCCCGCGCGGCCGCTTCAAACAGCGTCGGCGGCAAGGATGACGGAATACTCTTGAGCTGCCCATTCATGACGCCTTGAATCAAGTGCATGGCCACAATGAATTCCACCATATCGAGAGCACCACGTTGCTTTGTATCTGTCAAGGCCCAAATTTGGCCAAGCTGCTCAATAGGTAGATTCGCCTTTTGAAAGACTGTCTTGGCACGGTCTCCATCGAGCAATGGACTGGTAGGATTGACAGCCTGCCAGGTTTGAAGGTACTTGGCTCGGTCCTCGGGAGACAGTGGTTGTACGGCCCGCGCCTTGGGCGGCGCAGGGGCTTTCTGCATAGGAAATCCATCAAACCTTGGCAAAGCTCCAGCTGTTGTTAGCATGGCATTTGCGATAGAGACATACCCCGCTTGGCAAGACTCGCATCTGGGGCTTGTCCATTCTGCGCTTGCCCAATGAGCCGCAATGCGACGGAAAAGGATTGCGGCGTCAAGAAGCCTGTATTGTCCTTGTCTGAGATCTCCCAGATCTGGCCGAGCGTAGAGGAGGGCAGGCCAGACTTTTCAAAGAACTTGACGGCGACATCGCCGGTGATGACGCCGAGTCCTTCGGTATCTGCTGCTTTAAAGAGTTGTCCAAAGTAGCGCTTTTCGTCGGACGTTAGCGAAGGAGATTCTAAGGTTAATTGAGAAAGTGACAGGGCTGCATACCCTCGCCCGGTCCGCGTGCACTCATGGTGTTGTTGGGTGCTGTCTGTTGAAATGACGATACTACAGCACTAAACTGTCAGGTTGAGCCAATTCCTGCCTGTTGAACTTGATGTAGACCACTTCCGCCTGATTGATGAGTGTATAGACGACTACAAGGATAGCTAGTATTCAAGTAGAGATATTATCTCATGAATAGATGCTGACTCAGCAACGGAGACATCAGTCCAGCCCCGACGTCAACATCTGACATCCAGAGTCCAGACACTCCACAATTCGCCATTCAGCGCCTCAAGAACCTCCAACGCCAGCTCTCGAGCCGACCAAGCCGCTCCTTCCCCATTGCAAGCCAGCTCGAGATGACTGACTTGCTCTCCAAGAAGTTTGGCCCAGAAACGATCAACTTCTTCGCCGGCTCGACTCTCAATCGCTTCTCCTTCAAGCGAACAGATCATGCCTTTTTGTCGGCCTCATTGCTGGATCCAACAACGCGATTTGTAACGTTCAATCAACTCGACCCGCTCGCTGATAAAGACGGCAAGCTTGTGTTGCTCGAGCACAAGGATGTGAGGGACATTATCGGCAACCCATACGAAGTCTCGGATGCCGACAAGATTGCGTCGTGGTCTGCAGAGGATGATACGTCCATCGTCATCTTTCTCGGCCTAGATGAAAGCAAGCCTACTGCACAAGGTGGCGAGGCATTTTTCGCTGTGGACGTTACGCCATTGCCGAAGCAAAAGGAAGAAGCCAAAAAAGCCTTTATCGAAACGCAAACAGCTGCTGGGCTGTCCTTTAAAAATGTTCGTGTGGGTGTCAAGATGGCCCAGCATGAAGCAGCCATGGTGGCAATGGGCCGTTCGCTGATTGATTGGAATGCACGAAATGGATACTGCTCTGGCTGCGGCGGCAAAACGATCGGTGTGTGGGCCGGTGCGAAACGACAGTGTCCAGACAAGGATCGTGTTTCTGGAGATCGTCTACCTTGCTTTTCCCGAAAGGGCTTGCATAACTTCCAGTATCCCCGAACCGATGCTGTCATTATCATGGGCATTCTCTCAAAAGATGGCAAAAGAATGCTTCTTGGACGGCAAAAGGTATGGCCTGCAGGCATGTTTAGTTGCTTGGCTGGCTTTATTGAGCCTGGCGAGTCGCTGGAAGAAGCTGTGCGTCGCGAAGTATGGGAGGAGAGTGGTGTCAAGGTTTCGCGGGTGCAATACGCCAGCTCCCAGCCTTGGCCATTCCCATCAAACCTCATGATTGGGTGTATCGGTGTTGCCGAGGAAGAGACAATTGACTTGGGGAATGACCCGGAGCTGGAAAAGGCACAGTGGTTCTCTCGCGATGAGCTGAGCAAGGCTGGTGAGATGGGTATTGATGGTGGTGGCGACAAGGAAGCCACAGTGTCTGTGCCACCAGGCATGGCCATTGCACGCAAGTTGATTGATTGCTTTGTACGGGATGACTGGTCCTTGTAATCACCTTTTGCCGCCGAAAATATTGCGTCCCGTCGCCTCATTTTGTCGTCGTTTTGCGTCGCGTGCTTCCAGAGCAAGTCGTCCTGCTTTTTCTCTTGGATCAATGAGCTCGAGTTCCATCCGTTCTTTGTAGGTCAGGTCCTTGCCGCGCAAGTCTTTAAAGACGAGCTGATGCGATAAAAAGTCGGCGTCGTCTACATCTGCTTCCTGAGTTGTCTCGCAAGATTCGCACTGTGGGACGCCATGGAGTTTACATGGCAAATGAGAGGTTGCAACAGTGTGTGTTGGTCCTGCAGAAGCAAGTCGTGATTGAAACGTAGATAGACGCGCCAATGTATCTTGCTCGCCAAGTTTTGCTCGCGCTTTGCGTCCTCCTACCAATGCCTTTTGTTTGTATGCATTTCGTGCTTGTTCTAGTGCAGAGAGTGGTGCTTGGACGGGTTCAGCTTGTTTTGTTGTGCGTTTACGCTTGAGGGATGCTTCGAGGGCGGCAATTTGGGCTTGCACTGCGTCTTGCTCTGTGTCTTTGGCAATTTGCTTTGCGTCTTGCTTGGGGCCTGCCTTAGCCGCGGCTGTAGTTACTGGTGGTGGAGGCGGTTCACTCAAAGTTGGTTTGGGCATAGGCTGCTTCCGCTTGCCCTTTGGCAATACCAGCTCACTTTCGTCGTCTGCAAAGCTCAGTAGCCTCTTATTGCCAACCACCTGCTTGACAGACTTTTTCGCTTCTTCTTGTACAGGTGCAGTTCTAGGAACCATATCGTCAAATGGATTGACCAAGACTTGTGCACCTGTGATACGTGTCGGGTATCGTGGTCGATCCGACTCCTCCAACTCGCTCTTGCCAATCCGATCGACATTATATATTGTATTTCCAACGACCTTTCCAAAAAGAGTATTCCGCTCTTGCAACTCTGGCGTTGCAGCAAGCGTGATGAAGAACTGCGAGCCATTGTCGTTGGGTTTGCCGGTATTGGCCATTCCCAGCAGTCCACGTCTGTTATACTTTAAGCGAGCGTGGAATTCATCCTTGAAGGGGGCATCCCAGATAGACTGCCCACCTGTCCCTGTGCCTGTAGGGTCACCAGCCTGAATACAAAAGCCAGGGACAATTCTATGGAAGCTTGTTGTTTGCATGTAGCCTTCTAAGCAGAGCTGAATAAAGTTGCGGCAAGCGAGTGGACATTCTTTAGAAAAGAGCTCAATCTCTACGTCTCCCTTGGTCGTCTGCAGCAGGACTTTGCCGTGCGCTGGCGGCTCTGTGATGTAGAGGGAGGACATGCCAGCTCCTGGTCTTGCATAGACTTGCTGCGTGGTTGTGGTGCCCCTGCTGCTGAAATTTGACGTCGAGACTCTACAACTGTGGATACTACACACCATGGACTCCCTTTCGCCGCAAGAGGCCCGCGTCTTTGAGCAGCTCGTCCAGTCAAAGCAGCAGAAGGAGTACATGCGGGTATGCTTCCATTCTAAAAAACAAGTCTAACGACAGATGTACTCAAACCTCGTCGAGCGGTGCTTTTCCGACTGTGTCAATGATTTTACGAGCAAGTCTCTGAGCGGCAAGGAAGAATCCTGCCTGGAGAAGTGCGCAGAAAAGTTTCTCAAGCACAGCGAGCGTATTGGACAGCGTTTCGCAGAGGAGAATGCCAATATGATGGGCAAGTAGCTACCTAGTCTAAGCATCCATCTTCTTTTGCATGTAGAGGCCCGCTGGGTCTTCCTTAAAGGGCTTGTAAATGGGCTTCTTCTTATCCCATGGCTCATTGCCCTCGCGTGTTCCAGGCACCACCTTTTGAATGTTCTGGCGTTAGCAGTCGACATGGTGGATGGGACGCACCATCTTTTGAAAGACACACTTGTTGAGCGCATGCTCAGCCGGCCGACACTGGTGAAACTCCTGATTTCGCTGATCCAAACACTTCCAGTGCGCTTCAAACGCTTCCTTGCACGATGCTTGGACTTGTTCCAATACACCGCTCGCGCATCGGGTGACTTTTCTACCGGCAGCCAGGCACGGCGCTTCGTCCTTGCCGGCGTTTTCTGCCTTGCAGAGCATGAAATCATCGTTGTAGGCACCGCATTTAGCACCGATGAAGAAGGAGACCGACTTGAGAGGAGCAGAGGAAGCGCCTACTTCGTCGACGTGAGGGATGCTGTTGGGCATCGGTGTCGGGTCAATGAGCACACTGTTGTTAGTTGGTTCTTTGTACATGGACTAGACTACTTCTGATTGAACTGCGCTTCTCTGTATGTCGCCCTGCTGTTAGCCTTGATCAAGCGGAAGCAGGCCCGTACATGTTGTGTGTGGTTCTGGTTGTGCGAGGAAACAACGCAGACACTTCACCAGATACCTCATGGCCTTTTCTTTCGGTAGGCTTCGAAAGACGAGCGAGACATGCTGACAGTAGGCACGCCAGCGGCGAGTAATCCAGGTCAATCATCCACCCCGTCCTTCAGTAAGCCGTCTATGACACGTTCTATGCTGATACCAGGTTTCGGCAACAACGCGTCGACGCCAGCACCAACAGGCGGCTTTTCCTTTGTACCGTCGCAGCCTCCTGCTGCATCTCCCGGTGGCTTTAGCTTTGGACAAAAGAGAGAGTCGGACGGGCAGCAACAGCAACAGCAGCAGCAGAAGCCTGCTTTTTCCTTCGGTGCACCTGCTGCGAAGAGCAATAATGTGAGTAGTCCGAGTAATCTGTTTGGCTCGTCGACGCCGGCTTTTGGGACTCAGCAGGCTTCAAGTAACCTCACTGGATCTACGCAGCCTGCCAGTAACCTCTTTGGGTCTACAAACCAAGGACAGACGCAGCAGCCATCGAATCTCTTTGGGTCTACACAAGGACAGACGCAATCGAGTCTCTTTGGACAAGCTCAGCCAAATCTCTTGCAATCTACTAGTTCTCCTCAGCAGCAGCAACCGCTTGCACAGTCTTTCTTTGGTGCTGCCTCCATCCAGCCTCAATTCTCATGGTCGCGCCCTAGTGCTCCATCGCTGACGATGCCTACCTTTACCCCTCAACCAGCAGTCTTGCAATCCTCTATTACCAAGACAGCTCCAGAACAATCCTACGGCCCCGGTCAACCCTCCAGCATCGCTGACCAATTCACAAAACTCAAAGACGCCTGGGATCCGACCTCGCAGGATTGTCGATTTCAATCCTACTTTTACAATCGCGTTGATCCAGGCCTCGCTGCACTCTACACGAGACCCAACAACTTCCCCTTGGGGCTATGGGAAGAAGCTGTTGCGCAACGACCCGATGATTCAGTTGTTCCCGTACTAGCAACTGGCTTTCAAGACTTACAAGCACGCAGTGCGCTGCAAGATCAACAAGTGCATGCCTACCGCGTTCGCATCCACGAAATCGCAGCATCCCTCAAACAACTCGGTGATCGACACGCCGTGTATGCAGAACCAGCGTGCAATAGTCTGCAGAAACGTGGAAGGGTCGCTCAAGCGCGTCTCTTGGCACTGGCTGCACGCGTTCAAGTCTTGAAATCACGCGGCTATGCACTGCGTCCTGAAGAGGCAACGCTGCAAACACGCCTGGAAACACTAAGGTCTGCAAAACCTGGCGGATTGCAAGATCCAGCAACGTTTGGTAGGTTGGAAGAGTGTCGTGCAAAGCTGGTGTTGCTCAAACAACGCGAACAACAGGTTGCCCTGCAAATCAAGTCGCGTGGTCATCAATCACGCGTGCAGCTGGAGGATATCGATGCGTTTGTGCAAGTGTTGCAGGATGGTCAAGCAGGCCTGCAATTCCTAACACGCACCTTACAGCAAGATCTCGAGCACGTTGAGCAAGTGAAACGGCAATTAGAACGATAGGATAAGCAATAGTCTAGTACTCTTCCTGACCTGCCTCTTCCTCATCATCATCGACGGAATCCTGACCGACCTCTGCGTAATCACGCTCCAATGCAGCCAGATCCTCCCTCGCTTCAGAGAATTCACCTTCCTCCATACCTTCACCGACATACCAGTGCACAAATGCACGTCGCGCATACATCAAGTCAAACTTGCGATCCAATCGCGACCAGGCCTCAGCAATAGCAGTGGTGTTGGACAACATAGTAACAGCTCGCTTGACTTGTGCCAAATCACCATCCTTGACTTGCACAGGAGGTTGGTAGCAGATACCAATCTTGAAACCCGTTGGACACCAGTCAACAAACTGAATGGTACGTTTCGTCTTGGTGGTAGCAACGGCAGCTTGCACGTCCTTAGGAACGACATCACCACGGTAGAGCATGACACATGCCATGTATTTGCCATTACGCGGATCACACTTGACCATTTGGTTTGCAGGATCAAAGCAAGCATTCGTAATCTCTGCCACAGAGTTGGCTTCATGGAATGCCTTGGCTGCTGAAATCACAGGCGCATAGGTGACCAATGGGAAGTGGATACGTGGGTAGGGCACCAAGTTTGTCTGGAATTCATTGAGGTCGACGTTGAGGGATCCATCGAATCTGAGGGAAGCCGTGATGGAGGAGACGACTTGTGCAATGATGCGGTTGAGGTTTTCAGTGGATGGACGCTGAATGTCGAGGTTGCGACGGCAAATGTCGTAGATGGCTTCATTGTCCACCATGAATGAACAATCAGAGTGCTCGAGCGTTGTGTGTGTCGTCAAAATCGAATTGTACGGTTCAACCACCGAGGCAGAGAGTTGTGGTGCAGGGTACACGGAAAACTCGAGCTTGGATTTCTTACCATAGTCCACAGAGAGACGCTCCAGCAGCAATGCACCAAAGCCAGAACCGGTACCACCACCAAAGGAGTGGAAGGCAAGGAATCCCTGCAAGCCAGAGCAGTTGTCTGCCACGCGTCGAATACGATCCATGACGGTATCGACGAGCTCCTTGCCAACGGTGTAGTGGCCACGAGCATAGTTGTTGGCTGCGTCTTCCTTGCCGCTAATCATTTGTTCTGGGTGAAACAAGTCTCGGTACGCGCCATTCTTGACTTCATCAATGACATTGGGTTCGAGATCGACGTAGATGCTTCGTGGGACGTGCTTGCCCTCGCCTACTGTCAGCAGGTAAATTTTTGGTAGGTTGAAGGCGTACCTGTTTCGGAGAAGAAGGTGGAGAAGCCGTCGTCTCGTGGTCCTGCGAGCTTTTCAGGCGAGAAACGACCATCTGGCTGGATGCCGTGTTCGAGGCAGTAGAGCTGTGGTCAGAGAAGCAGAGAAGAATAGGACGCGACGTACTTCCCAGCAGGCGTTTCCGATTTGGACTCCTGCTTGTCCGACGTGGAGGGAGATGACTTCTCGCTGTCTGTTAGCTGAGTAGATGAGATGCACGACGTACGACCATGATGCTGGCTGGAGATGATGTGGTTGATGGGTGTGCTGCGTCTCTTCTCTTGCGTGTTGTTGACTGGCGGATTGCGGGTGCGAGTTGGCTGCTGGACCATTTCGCGTCGACAGGAAATCAAGTGAAGTCAATACTTATAGTAGTATAGTAGTAGTAATAGTAGTATAGTAGCAGCATAAGAGATGAGCAGAGCAGCTACGTCCTCCCAGCTAGCCAGCCACTCAGGTCCATGTTCTGCAACCGCTCAACAGGATTCACCACCTGCTCCCCCTGCTGCTCCCGTGTCTTCTCTCGCATGCTTTCCATCTCTGCAATCCCATCAGGATCCATCCACGCCGTCAACTTCGGCAGCCCAAACAAGCTAAACACCATCACAATCCCAATCCAAACAAGCGGACTCTTGAGCATCTTGAGGGGATTCAAACTCGGTCGTGGCGTGTAAAAGTCAACCGTTCCTTTCGGCATCACTTGTAGTGGCAATGCTTGAAGTGCGCCAACAGCAGACCACGGCGTCCCTACTTTTTGTAGCCAAACCTTGACTTCCTCACCTACATCCACGCGATAGTGTTCGCGATTGAGGGATGGTCCATACAGGCTATAACTGCCTGGCACAATCTCTGTAAATGCAAAACTTCCATCTGCCGATACTTTCGCCGTATACGTCTGTTCAGCGCTTGACAGCCGCAAAGTTTCAAAAGCCTGGAAACCTCCTTGAACAGCAGGTTGCTGTGCAGTAGCAGCTCTACTATAAGCAGTCCCGTTCAGGTGAGCAGCAGCACAAACACTCAAAAGCAGCAAGAATAGCATGTGTCGTCTGTGGTCGTAACATTGATTTGGCTATAAACTTTTTTAAGAAAGTCACAAAGTTGGCATCTAGTCGAGTTCCTCAACAACAGGGCCATCACCACCAGCAGCGGCACCACCTGGAGCACCGGGCATGCCACCAGGCATACCACCGGGCATACCGCCTGGAGCACCACCAGGTGCACCGCCAGAAGCCTGGTATGCAGCCGTCATGATAGGGTTGGCAACACCCTCGAGTTCCTTTTGCTGAGCATCAAACTCATCCTTCGTTGCAGTCTGGTTACCCTCGAGCCACTCGATCGTCTCCTTGATCTTGGCAGACAACTTGGTCTTGTCCTCATCCGGGATCGTCAACTTGCCGTCATCGACAGTTTGCTTGAGTGAGTAGGCGTATGACTCCAAACCATTCTTGGATTGCACACGCTCCACCTCAGCCTTGTCCTCATCAGCATACTTTTCAGCCTCAGAGACCATGCGCTCAATCTCCTCCTTGGACAAACGTCCCTTGTCGTTGGTAATGACAATGTTGTTGGTCTTGCCCGTTCCCTTTTCAGTGGCAGAAATGTTGAGGATCGAGTTGGCATCCACATCAAATGTCACCTCAATCTGTGGAACACCACGAGGAGCAGGTGGAATACCAGTCAAGTCAAACTTGCCGAGCAAGTTGCAGTCCTTGGTACGTGCACGCTCACCTTCAAACACCTGAATCAACACACCAGGCTGGTTGTCGCTGTAGGTAGAAAAGGTCTCCGACTTCTTTGTAGGAATCGTCGTGTTGCGTGTAATGAGGGGTGTCATCACACCACCGGCAGTCTCAATACCCATAGAGAGTGGTGCAACATCGAGCAAGAGCAAGTCCTGGGTCTTTTCTGAAGTGTCGCCAGACAAAATAGCAGCTTGGACGGCAGCACCGTATGCAACAGCCTCATCAGGGTTGATGGTCTTGTTGAGCTCCTTGCCGTTGAAGAAGTCAGAGACAAGCTTCTGGACACGTGGGATACGGGTCGATCCACCAACAAGCACAATCTCATCCACACTCGACTTGTCCATCTTGGCATCACGCAACACCTTCTCAACAGGCTCCATGGTACCGCGGAACAAGTCTGCACAAAGCTCCTCGAACCTGGCACGCGTAATGCTGGTGTAAAAGTCGGTTCCCTCAAAGAGCGAGTCAATCTCAATCGATGTCTGTGCCGATGAGGAAAGTGTACGCTTGGCACGCTCGCAAGCAGTACGCAAACGACGCAGAGCACGAGCATTTGTAGTCAAATCCTTCTTGAACTTGCGCTTGAACTCAGTGCAGAAGTGTGTAACGAGACGGTTGTCAAAGTCTTCACCACCGAGATGTGTGTCACCGGCAGTAGACTTGACCTCAAAGATGCCATCTTCAATGGTGAGGAGCGATACATCAAAGGTACCACCACCCAAATCGAAGATGAGCACGTTTTGCTCCTTCTGTCCCTTCCTGTCGAGACCGTATGCAATAGCAGCAGCAGTAGGCTCGTTGATGATTCGCAAAACATTCATACCGGCAATGAGACCGGCATCCTTGGTTGCTTGACGCTGGGAGTCGTTGAAGTAGGCAGGAACAGTGACAACAGCGTTCGTTACCTTGGTACCGAGGTATGCTTCAGCAGTCTCACGCATCTTTGTAAGGACCATTGAAGAGATTTCCTCGGGTGTGAATTCCTTCTTCTCACCCTTGAACTCCACCTCGATGACGGGTTTTGATGCCTTGTCGATGACCTTGAATGGCCAGTGCTTCATGTCTGCTTGCACCTCGCTGTCTGCAAAGTTGCGGCCAATGAGACGCTTCGCATCGAAGACTGTGTTGTGTGGGTTCATGGCGACTTGGTTCTTGGCGGCATCACCAATCAACCTCTCGGTATCGTTGAAAGCGACGTACGACGGTGTTGTACGGTTTCCCTGGTCATTCGCGATGATGTCGACGTTGTTATGTTGGAAGATGGCGACACATGAGTATGTAGTGCCGAGATCGATTCCGATGGCTTTTCCTGTTTTGGCTGCCATTATGTGTTGTGTAAGCTGATTGGTAGTTGCAGAATGAGTTTCCTCGAGACTGGTGGTATAGGGGAAGAGAGGGAGGGCGGCGGGTGGTGTGGTTATGTATGGCTGCTCTGGTTCTTCCACAGACTTCTTTCGCCGCCCATCTCGTCGCACATCGAATTTTCTGGAAGTTTGCGCCTCAGATGGGCAGCTACAGCATATGCTACTATGTGCTGGAATATGCTACTCATTGCTGGAATATGCTACTCATTGCTGGATCATCGCGCATTTTCTTCATCAAGCCCAGCTCTATTCCTGTCATCATGGTCACAAGTCTATACTATCTCAATCCATGAAGCTCTCCAAGACTACTCAAACTCTTGACGCACCAAGTTGTCAACCTCGCCAGCTTGCATCAGAGAATACCAGTATTGGCATGATGTTGCTGGTGAAATCGGCGTGCGTAAGGGCGGTTTTGAGCGAGACGCCTTGCATCAGATTTCCTACAATACCAAGTGATCGGTCGTGCTGCCAGTCATCATGAATGTGGCCTCATTATGTTGCCTCTCTATTGGCATGAAGCTTCTCGACCTCTGCAGCTGTTGAGAGCAAGGCCATTCTCTTCATCTCATAAGATGAGGGCACCACTATCGTCCCTTTCGATGGCCAAGGTCGCAGCTGAAGAGACGAATCAGCATGCGTTCACCAGGAGCTTGCAATGCCGTATGCCAGCTCTCGTGACGCCACCTCTACGGCAAATCCTTAGGTTCTCTGTTGACGAGTCAGAAGGAAACGGGATTGTAGTCAAGGGTCTATTGTCAGCAATTCACGTCAGGTACGCAGACTAGTGCATACAACACGAGCGGGTTCTTCTGCGCACAAGCAACAACATCGTCGCGAGGTGCAGACGCGATATACTGACGATTTGACCTGGGAAGCCTGGGAAATCCGATGAGTCATGCCAGTCGACTTTACTGAATTTGACACAAGATGAGTCACTGCAGCAGGACACACCATGACTCATCTGAACACATGGCAACTCACTGAACATAAAACGAGACTCGATCCAAGCATGCTCCATCTTCACAATACATTACTCTATCAGTAGATAATGGCTTCTCCTCCACTTGAAACAAGCTTGAGCATATCAGAGGAACGAGCAGCAGAAGCTCCGCGTACCTCGGTTGACAAAGCCAGCGACACTGTAGGACCGCCTGAGGGCACATACAAAGATGGCGCAAATCCTCTCAAGTAAGTGGAATGTTCGGGCAGCCAATACCCACTCATGAATCTGAACGAGCCTCGGCGCTAACAGGATGCAGAATAGCAAACTATGTTACCATTGATGCGTCACCAGAAAGGGACGAGTTGTACGAAAAGATGGGTCCATACTGCTCAGCGAAACTGAAAGATCTCAAGTGCAATTTGATGATGACTCTCATGATGGCCAAAGAGAGCACCGGGAAGGAATATCCCATTTTCCTCGTTTCTGTCGAGAAGCAAGTTGCAGAAGAAGCGAGGAAGAGGCTTGGTTGGGCACTCGACGGGGTGCCTATCATTATCGCAAAGGCCTCATTTTGGGGCGCCTTTAGGAATCAATATCCGGAGTCCAGCGACTCTGAGGATAAGGACGACGCTGTGTAAGTCTATGCAGCGTAGACTCACCAAGTCGCTGTGCGAAACGCCCGAAATTGTAGGTTTCCTCTTCTCGAATGTCAAATGTCAAAAGTCAACCCAGATAGATTGCCTAAGAGTCGTTGTGGTTCAAATACACATCACCCGGTGACACTAAATGGTCACGCAGTTGAATATTGTGTTGAAGGACGTCCCGAGCGCTGACCAGTTGCAGCAGCCACTGTGAGGTCAAGACATCTCGAGCAGGTGCCGAATGGACGATCCGCACAACAACTGATGCGAAAGATGCGATGCTGCAGCGTGATAGCCAAAATAGTATGCCAGCTGCTGTTTCCCAGACTCAGACGCCGCGTATGCTCTGGGCTACTTATTGGTCCGACAGCTGCAGCTGAGCGCGACGCGTCGATGTCGCCTGTTCAGACGCGTGAGAGAACTGGATGCTTTGGGCCCGCAGGATATGTACTCCACCTACGTTGACCTTGCAGCTGTGCCATCTGTTATTGATCCTGGTAGCTATAGCTAGGCACTTTCCGATCGATCAAGATCTATACTGTATCAATTGGAGCTTCTGACGAGCCTGACTGGGCATCGCCGCCGCATCGCCGAGTCTCGCTCAGAACCAGATGGATTCAGGCTAAATGCCCGGCCGCGACTCAGGATGCCCATGTGGTAAGGGTCCATACTCGCTAGGCACCAAGCAATAAAGCATCTCTCGCTGCTGTCTCTTTCTCAAGCTCGCTACAATCCTTGTCAACTCTGCTCCGAAAATTCAAGACATGCCAGACGCCCTGACCATATTGCGCCAGTCGACGCTCGTAGACCTTGACGCGCTTGACAGCTGTATCCCGCGCAAGTACAGCTTCAAATTTCGAGACTGCACCTCTAATCAAGCCATTGCTCTTGGTCAGCTTCTTCAACCTTCATCGGCTGTGCTGCTTGAGCGCGCAAAAGAAGCAGTCAAACACGATGCTGTGGTGCGAGCGTACTGTACGGATCACCAGGAAACGCTCAATGTAATCGCCGACTTGCTCGTCATCTATATGCAAGCAGAGATTCTGCCTCAGCTCCAACCCGGTGGACGTGTCCATATACAGTCTAGTCCCGCACTTGCCAACGATGTCGATCGAACAGTCGCCCATGCACGCCGCATCGTCAACCTCTTTACGCACGTCACAAACGCTGCAGTCGATCGGCTGTGCATCAAGGTCCCCTCTACGTGGGCAGGTCTCTATGCTTGTGCAACACTCGAGGCAGAGGGCATCCGCTGTCTCGCCACAATCTTATTTACCGAACGCCAAGCACTTCTTGCACATCAAGCACGCTGCACGTACATCGCACCCTACATCAATGAGCTGCGCGTCCACTTTGAAGAAGGTTATCGCGATCCCTCGCCCAATTTCGCCATGGTCAAGACGATTCATGCGCTCTATGAAAAGCTGAATTCACGAACAATGATCTTACCAGCTAGCTTGACCACAGTCGAAGAGGTCATGGCGCTGAACGGTGTCGAGCATATCACCATTTCACCCGCTCTAATCAGTTTGCTCGCTCAAGCCAATTGCGAGACGGGGAATACATGGCCGCGCGTGTATGCAGTAATAGACCGATCCAAACCAGCAGAGCAAGAAGCTATCCCGGCAAGTCAAGACCAAGTCGACATGCCTACCGACTTGCATCCCGACCCGGAACATGCTCGCAAGTTTGAAGAAGCCATGCAAATCTTCTTGAAGGCCGAAGCAGACATAATCGAGCTAATTGAGGCGAGCTGGTAATCATGACATCAAAGAAAGCGCATTCTTCTGAATTAAGTTGGTGCCCACAGGCGATAAACTTTTGCTGTCAAGCTCTATAGGTCCTTGCCTCAGCTGTGGCTGCTTAGTAAAATGATTGAATTAGAGTATACGGCTATGATTTTCAAAGGCAGCTTTGACACCTCGAAGAAAACCTCCGGGCGTTGCGTTTTACGCTTGTAAGGAAGATGCTTGCAAGCGAAGAATGCTGATCTTGAGGTTGCAATTTGTACATGTGAAATACAAGAGCTTGTCACATGGGCAAACAGTCAGAATTCGGGCGACTAACGACAAAGTGGACGCCAGCACAAGTACAACAAGCATCGCATTTAGATGCATATGTAGACTATTTATGTTCTTATAGATATACATGAATGCTTTATGAATTTGCAATTGGGTTCGAAGAACGTTATTAGTCTTGGAAGATAGTTTGAGTCAAACATACGGGAGGGTATCAATGATAGAGTTGCAGCAATGAAAGATGACAGTTGTAAATTGTAAGATAGTCAATCATGATTTGGACTGCAAAAAATTTGCTGACCCATGAGCATAGAAATTACTGTAGCGTTTTTCATCATTATAGTGAATGAGATATAACGCATATGCATAGCATATCTAACAGCAGTGGTATTGTTGACAAGAGGAAGATGATTGACACACGCTGAAAGGCAGGCATTTGGACAAGCAATAATTGACTGCAGCTGGTCAGTGGAGTTCTTACAGACATCTGGAGCTGGTCTTACTAGGATCTTGAGCAGTTGGGTCCCTGTGGGTCAGCATATGCCCATAAGGTGATCTGTAGACACAAACATACCTGCGCTGAAGGTTGACAACAGAAGCCATTACAGAAGCTGGGGTCATGAAAAGCACCAGCTCTGAGTGAATCATCAGTCCCAACATTGCAATAGTTTTGAAAAACATAGCGTTTGAGGTGAAATATTTCTGCTTTTATGCATCAGTCTCCCTCTTACATCTTCGTACAGTTCTAGAGTCTTACCTGAATATTTGACTGACTTACTATCTGCGATTGCAATGCGCTTGTCAAGGATGTGAGCAGAATGCGGCAGATGCAGCCCTTATAAAAGCATTCCAGATTACATGGGCGGCTTTCGTTGGAGAAGATCGCTTGCAGAGTTGCAGTTGTGATCGCCTTTTGATACTCGGATCGAGAGATTCCGGTCTAGGCCCACGAGACCCCAAGTCGTGTGCACAGAAAGGGTCCCATGTCGTATGCCCAGGATCTTTTGGACACCAAAGGAGTAGCAAAATTGCGCCAAAACAAAGTTCCAACCCTACGGGAAAATCACTGGTGCAGACGGGTGCACACTGTCAGAACTTATAGGTAGAAGGTTCTCTTATCTAGATGCCATCAGGCATGATCTTATAATGTCCGCAGTTCAGCATTGTCTGTTTGGTAAAACAGGACTGGCTTTGACACCCATCTCAACAGTGGCCCCGAAGAGCAGCACCCTTATTCTACCATAGCAACCCAATTGCTCGTGCCGCCCCAGCAAGAGCAACACTTCCCAGCACCTTTGTGAACATGTCGGACAGATTGATGCCAGATTTGATTTGTTCAACCATGATATGTCCGCTCTTGACACGATCACGCACATACTTCATACTGATGTCGGCATGCTTCAGGCTTTGTGATTGCACTGGGTCTTCTGTCAGCTCCGTAAACGTCGCGTGATTGTCAGTGAATGTTGAGACTGTATCCGGAATAGTTGATATGCACTGTTTCAGGACCTTGTGAAGCCACTCCGCCTTAGTCACCATTTTTCCGTACGCAACATACTCTGCGTGTTTGGTAGAACTCGTGACAGCTGATTGTTGCTTCGACTGCCACATAACAGGATTGCCAAAGACCTTGATGAGCATCCCGGATGTTGATCTTCGCGATGAGATGTCATTCGCAAAGTCCGAATCTGAGTACGCTACCAATGGTTGAGCATCTTTTTGTCGTTTGTACTGTAGGACTGTGTCGATACTGCCGTACAGGTAGCCAAGGACACGCATTGCACCTTGCCAGTGGTCTTGAGTAGGATTCTTGGCATATCGAGCAAGGAGCGCAACTGCGAAGCATACATCTGGCCTTGTCAATAGTGAGACAAAAAAGAGCCGACCGAGTAGCACGATGTATTCACGCTCCGGTACCGATGGCGCTGAACTCATAGCAAAAACTTGTAGTGAGTCCTTTGCCATTGGTGATGTAAAGCGATGGCGAGGTGTGTTGATCTCATAGTCCTCCAAGAGCTTGTTGATGTACACCGTTTGCGACATTGTCACAGAGTCCGCTGTTTGGTACACCGAGACACCCAACATACTGTTACCACCATCTTGGTGAAAGTAGCCTCGATCATCAATGTCCATTATCGACGAGATGTCTTTGAACACTGAATCAATGTCCTCTTGATTCCCGGCGACCACGAAATCATCGACATATAGCAGTAACAGCACCGACTCACCCTTGACCGACTTCTTGAACAGACAGTCTTCCCCGTCAATGACCTCGAAACCAATGTTTAAAAGCTGTTGCCTCATGTACTTGTAAAATGCCAAAGGAGATTGTTTGAGACCCCATAGCGCCTTCTTCAACCTCCACACCTTGTCAGCACCCTTTCTGTAGCCTTGCGGTATTTGCATGTAGACGACCTCTTCGAGAGGCGCGCGCAGAAAGGCATTCTTGACGTCCCCTTGACGCATCTGCCAACCATGGTGCACTGCTAGGCTGTACAAGGCTCGAAGTGCAGTTGGAGTAACGACCGGTGCAAACGTTGCAGCATAGTCGATTCCACCTCGCTGTGTATCCCCGCGAGCCACATATCGCGATTTGAACGCGGATAGCTGACCATCAGTGGCTTTGTGTTTGACAGCGTACAGCCATTGTCCTGGTATGGCCTCTTTTCCGGGAGGAAGACTGACTACCTCGAAGACGTCATTCATCTTGAATGATTCAATCTGCTCATCCATAGCAGCATTGAAGTACTCCGAATAAGGCGAGTATTGCACATCGTCAAAGCGACGCGGTATGTTTGCATCGTCAACCTTGTCAGGCCAATCAGCGTCTCCTGTCGCGCGAGCCAAGTAGAGCGACAGTCCAATGTTCCTCTCGAAACACTGTGAGGCCGCTGTCAGGTCTTGCGAGCCGAGCTTCCATACTGTTCTTGCAAGCAACGCACGCATTGGACGTGTTACCAAACCACCGCGTTCACTGACAATTTCCACAGGTGCCACTGACCCTGCCGACCTTCCTCGACGCAAGCTTGTTTCTGAAGCGGGAGGAGGCACAGGTTCAGTGAATTCATCCGCAGGTGCGGGAATATCAGCAACTGGCAAGGCATTGTCCGCGTCCAACCACAAGTCACTTCCTTCGTCTGTCACACCAGCTCCACCATCGTGAATACTATCAGAGTCAATGTCCAGCAGGCTTTGCCCTTCCGCCGGGTCGAGATTGTCTTCGACTACAGGTCTCACTGCATGTGGCTGTTCAAGCAGGTCCGGCAGTGGGAATTCAGCAAATGGACTGGCGGCATCACCGATGTCAAAGATGCTCCATTCCTCATGTGGCTGTATTACAGGCTCTTGGTCTTGTTGAGTAGGCTCTTGGTCACTCTGGTTTGTCGTATGCTGTTGCTGTTGCGTTCTTGTCACGTCTGGCAGAACTCCACGCGCGGCGGTGTCGTCACTGGCCGGCGGCAGAATTTGCCGGAGTTCTGGCTGCGGTGGTACAATCACCCGTTCAGGCGTGACCATCAACGGCGACGAAACAATTGGGACAGCCTGTGTGAGTGTTCCAGGTTCCTGGCCCGCGGGCAACGCAGGCGACGACAAACCGACAACCGCATGCTTTGATTCCTTGATACCTGGAAACTGCTCCACGAAAAAACTTTGCATTGTCCACTGTGCGCATCATACGCTTCTTGACATCCCAGACACGAAGGTGTGGACCTTCATCTGCGAAGCCAAGGAACACGCCCTCAGAACCAGAAGTCTCCCACTCGCCAGCCTTTGGATCCGGTATTATGACAGCACAGCCGAAAGGATACAACACTTGGGTTCGTGGCTGCTTTCCCAACAGCGCCTCAGAGGGTATGATACCGCGACTGTTGGGCGATAAGTTGATGGATCGGCAGACGAACTTTAGTGCGAGCTGCCAGTGCGTGTTGTCCAGATTGGCGTGGCTCAAGCAAGCAATTGTTAAGCGTTGAAGCGTCTGATTTGCTCGCTCCACTGTTCCATTTTGTTGAGGTGTTCGTGGTGCAGAGAACTCATGTCTTATTCCCAAGCTCGTCGTCCACCTTCGAAACCCTTCGCTCACAAATTCACCGCCATTGTCAGATCGAAATGCTTTGACAACGTGGTGAGGCATTTGTCTCGTTACCGACGCATACCAAGCGATCAACGTTTCCAGGACATCACTCTTGCGCTCTAGGAAATATACCCAGAAGAAACCAGTGCAGTCATCAACCAGAACCAGGATATTGGGGATCACATTGTCAGGGTCAACCTGCGTCATGAGATCCATGTGTACGAGGTCCAACGGTAAAGGTCGTTTGTCGTTGCCCTTGTGCACAGACGGGTGTGGTGTGGCTTTATATTTGGCCTTCGCACAGTCCTTACAGTCAATGATTTCCTTCTGGTGTTTCTTGATTGCCACTGTAGAGCAGGACAATTTCCCGTCGTTTGCCATTGTGAGCATGTTCCTCAACGACATATGTCCAAGCGCTTGATGTATACTGAATGGATTGAGCTTGGCCATTGCTGCTCTCATTGTTGGCTGAGTCTCATCAGACGAACCCTCCGAACGGAGGATGAAGAGATCGTCCTCGATTGGAACATGTATTTGCCAATTATCAGCAACTAATCGCATGAAAGATTCACTCTTGTTTGTAATCACCGTGAAGTGTGCCCTCAGTTTGGCCATGGAGACCAGCTTCCGTGCTGTCACGGCTTGACCTCCGAGCTCCCAGTGCTCCTACCTTTCCGTCGTCCCAGCCGCGTCCGTGCACCCCGAGCTCCCAGTGCTCATCCCTTTCCGTCTTCTCAGCCGCGTCTGTCTATCTCGAGCTCCCAGCGCTCCTACCCTTCCGCCATCACGCTGGCACCTGCAAGCTCTCAGCGCTACCTCACGTTCCGACGTACCCCTTCCTATTGGTTCTCCATGCCGCATGGCTTCTCTGTCGCAGGGTTCGTGCTCAGACACGTTTCGCTCGCTAGCATCACTCGGTCTTCGCCAAGACCTTCATCGGCAACTGCCAGTGTTCTTTTCAGGGTCTTTGCCATCGCCCACTTCTATCTCGTCTGTTCAGTTGCTTTAGGCTGACAGTGTATAAAAGGAGCGCTTCTCGCACCTTTGTAGCATTGTCAGCAACATCAGTTTATACTCATTACTATCCATTGTTCTCAGTCTCTGCCGCCAAACCCACTTCCACGCCTAAGCTTCCTGTCTCCGTCGGTACGTCCTGTCTCGCCAGGTCGTGAGCGTCACAGTTTGCTGACCATACGGCAGGGTTTACCAGAGACACCACCTCAGCCATGTCCAACGTCCCAACCCCCGAAGACTTCTTCAACCTGCATCAGCAGGTCAGTGGTCTCAGCACAGAGATGCAGCGCCTGGGTGAAGCCAACACCCAGCTCCGAGCCACAGTTGAGTCTCAGGCTGCTGCCATTGAGTATCAGCGTTCAGTGGCTGCTGAGTCCTCACTACCACCTCGCCAAGTGGTTACTCGCCATATGGGCAAGGTTCACCCCGACCCACGGACCTTCGACGGCTCCAGCACTTCCGAGCCGGTTCGGGACTTCATCGACTCATGCGGCCTCAAACTCTCTGCTGAAAGAGAGCGCATGACTACTGAGGGTGAGCGTATTCAGTATGTTGGCAACCTCCTTTCCGGCGCTGCTCTCAAGTGGCGCCGCGCTTTCGTCATGGCCGATCCCAACAGCCCTGGTCTTAGGACTTTGACCTTCGCCACGGTCAAAGAGTTCTTCGATGCTCTGGAAATTGCCTTCAGTCGAGGCGATGAAAACGTGGAGGCTCGCAACGAGCTGAAAAAATTGGACCAGGGAAAGACAACCGCATCTCGCCACATTGGCACCTTCAAGTTCATCATTGCTCCTTTGGATTTGACAGAAGAATCCAAAATTTTCGAGCTCCGACAAACCCTCAACGCAGTTTTGCGTTCGATCCTCGCCATCACCAGCCCCTCGAAGACGAACTTCGCAGAGTTCTGCGAACGGGTCATTCAGTGCGATGAGAACCTTCTTGAAAACGCTCACGAGGAAGGTTTGGATCACTATCTCTCAGCACAAAGCCCCATCGCCTCAGTCGTTCGTCAGGCGACTCCTCGTTCCACAGACAACGCCTTCGTTCGAAGTTCATCAACTGCCACTGCCCTGACCACGTCGCAGGGAGGCGATCGCATGGACTTATCTGCAACTACGGCTCGTGGCCCACTTACCGAGGCTGAACGTCAGCGCCGCTTCAAGTTGAAGTTGTGCAATTATTGCGCAAGCCCCGACCACAAAGTCTTGGAGTGTCCCGAGCGCTCAAAAGGTCAGGGCAACAGGAAGTAGTCCCGCTTGTCCTCTCTTCCGCCACGTCATACGCAACATCGGCCAGCGATCTCGAGTTCCCTAACGCGTGCGCTGTCCCCGCCAAGTATGACAAGTTTCTCTCTGTTTTTTCCGAGATGGGAGTTCCCCAGCTACCATCGTCCGCCCAGCACAATCACAATATATCCCTGATTCCCGGATCTTCGCTCCCATGCAACAATTCTCTCTACAACCTGTTCGACTCTTACCACGAATCCACCGGCGACGTTGCTGGTCCTGGTCAAGTTCAACTGTCTCCACCACCTTTCTTTGTCGGTCAATCTCGCTCGTGAGATCCACGAATCTCTTTCAGACTACGTTCGCGAGTTTCACCATGGTCAGCCCAACGCTGTGGTTCCATCCTTCCTCCACCTTCTAGGATTCGAGACGAATCCCTAGAGGGGGGGATTCTGTCACGGCTTGACCTCCGAGCTCCCAGTGCTCCTACCTTTCCGTCGTCCCAGCCGCGTCCGTGCACCCCGAGCTCCCAGTGCTCATCCCTTTCCGTCTTCTCAGCCGCGTCTGTCTATCTCGAGCTCCCAGCGCTCCTACCCTTCCGCCATCACGCTGGCACCTGCAAGCTCTCAGCGCTACCTCACGTTCCGACGTACCCCTTCCTATTGGTTCTCCATGCCGCATGGCTTCTCTGTCGCAGGGTTCGTGCTCAGACACGTTTCGCTCGCTAGCATCACTCGGTCTTCGCCAAGACCTTCATCGGCAACTGCCAGTGTTCTTTTCAGGGTCTTTGCCATCGCCCACTTCTATCTCGTCTGTTCAGTTGCTTTAGGCTGACAGTGTATAAAAGGAGCGCTTCTCGCACCTTTGTAGCATTGTCAGCAACATCAGTTTATACTCATTACTATCCATTGTTCTCAGTCTCTGCCGCCAAACCCACTTCCACGCCTAAGCTTCCTGTCTCCGTCGGTACGTCCTGTCTCGCCAGGTCGTGAGCTTCACACGTGCCCATGGAGCACAGAAGACCTGGTCAAGCGTGATGGTACGCGTCTGACCATCGCTGTCCCTTACCTTCATTGTCAATTTGCCATACCCTTCCGTGTATGCCGTCGAATGATCAGCGAACTGTACTTTGATGCGAGCATTGACAAACGATGTCAGATCTGCACGAGAGTCTGTGAGATGTTGATTGGCACCCGAGTCGATTGTGTATTCGTTCGTAAAAGGAGATTCGGGATCAACTGACAAGGAGTCTCTCATCAGGTTGATGTGAAGAGTGCGGCTCAAGCAATGTGCAGTCTTACTACGGTAGTTCGCGCCTTTTGGGTTGCTAAAGCACTCCTTCATGGAGTGACCTACCTCATCACAATAGCCACCCGCAACAGGATGCCACCAGCCGTGCTCAGGACTGAAGGGCCTACTTGGCTTGACCGCGTGCCTGCCAGCCATTGTCGTCAGATTTGCACTTTGCGTCGGATAGTGGTCTCTCAAGGCCACGGCCGATCCCACAATGTACTTGACGAAGGAACTGTACGTGGTGAAGCCGCCAATACGGTCCCTGACAAGCAGGATAATGTTCGAGGTCATCTCGTTCCTTGGTAGTCCTTGCAGGACCCAACTGATGAGCTGACCCAGCTCATTTGTTTTTGGGTCGTGGCCCGTTGCCAGCGCATCCTTGCACAGCTCGTCTACCTCCTTAAGGTATCGCTTCACATCCACCTCTGACCAAGTGCGGCACTTGATTGAGGCAAACTGCCTTCGAATTGCATCCCAGTGTGATGCATCAGGAGCAAAGCACTCCATACAGCCCCAAAGGGTGTCTTCGCCCACCACTGCCGTGCATTGCCATGCTGATGTAACGACGGCGGCGTGCCAGCGGTTGTGTAATTCAATCAGGCCTGGATTGTTGTCGAGCTTGCTGAAGAGCTCCACCCTTGAGCTGGTCGGGAACGCAATTGCGCTGTTGGTCCCGGAACTCCGCATGGTTTGAAGCACGCGAGTGACGAACTCATACCAATTGGACCCGTCACTCTCCAAGGTCAATTTTGCGACCGTCTCGAGAGACGACTTCATCAAGTCCCTTGATGGCATCAGTAGTGTGATGCTTGGTTCTGGCAATATAGACCAAAGTTGTTTTTGGACCAACGACTGTTGAGTGGAGGGTCCTCCGATGTGCTTAAGCAGGGTAGAGACCTGCTCACTCAGAAGCTTGTTGCTTTGCTCCATTTGTAGGAGCTTCTGCTGCATGTATGGCTCTAGGGCCGCTGTTGGTGGCTCTTGGCCAATTGGTGGCTCTTGGCCAAATGGTGGCTCTTGGCCAAGTGGTGGCTCATGGCCTGGCATGTCTGCCGACGAACCAGCTGGGCTTGACATAGAGCAATCGGAACTGTTAATCTGTCAGAACTTATAGGTAGAAGGTTATCTTATCTGGATGCCATCAGGCATGATCTTATAATGTCCGCAGTTCAGCATTGTCTGTTTGGTAAAACAGGACTGGCTTTGACACCCATCTCAACATCTAGGTCAAGACTCAAGAGTCTAGGCTTTGCACCAAACATCGCGATGTTGTATGTCAGGGATTCGTGATACCACATTGGTAATAGCGACGCATAAGAATTGGGCCACGTGGTAATGCAGGTGGCGGATGATCAGCCTTCCAGGTGAAGGTCCAGGTTATACTTTGCAGAACAGGGCTGCGTTGAGCCTACATTACAAGCTTTCACGTCCTACAAGGTGTGAGATCACGATTGAGAATATGCGTGTAAGAAAATTTAGCAGCTGCCCGGTGTCAGTCGAGCACAAATTCCGGAGAGAAGAGTTTTCGCATACGGATGAGCGGATCTTGCCGCTATAGGAGAAATTTATGAAGACGCATGCATTTTCATGTTGAGGAATCTGTGTGGTTTTGCCGCACGTCAGCATCGCCATATGGGTCTAGCAAATTGCAACGGTGTGCCACATCAGCTGCTAACAAGAGCGCTCTTCCGTCCTAGCAGGACGCACAGGCTTGATTCAAGATGTGCACGTCAATTGTACCGTTCATGGACCGTTGATTAAGAATTTAGAACGATCTCAGACAACTGTATTACGTTTGATTGGAGACTCATAGCAGTTCTCACCTCTACTCTCCTTTGGATTTCACGACCCCTGACTCTACACGAAAACTAAATCAGTCTGAGTTTCCTGGTCCTTAGTATCCATATGAGTACAACAGCTTCAATTCAGGAGACAAGATGGACATCAACACAAGCACAACGACTATCGCATATAAATGCACGGGTAGATGATCAATGTCTTGTAAATAGACATGAATGTTTCATGTTCTGGCGGTTGGTTTCGATGAAAGAGTTCAATTGTGGGAGGTAGTTTGAGCCAAACGTACTAGAAGGTATCAATGATAGAATTGTAGCTGTAAACGATAACAATTGTACGACATTTGCTGATGATTTGGACTGCATGAATTTTGCCGACCCCAATGCATACACATAGCATATCTAGTAGCAGCAGCCCCTCTTCTGGCAATAATCAAGGTCTTGGCATTTCTCCGGATATTGGCATGGTCCCCGGCAACGATAAGCTGCAGTTGGTTAGAGGAATCCTCACGGACTTTTGAAGCTGTTGCACTTACGAAGTTCCCGGTTCGGTGGGTCCCTGTGGGTTAGCATATGCCTATGAATTGATCTGTAGACACAAACATACCTGCGCTGAAGGTTGACAATAGAAGCAAGCACAGTAGCTGGGGTCATGAAAAACACCAGCGCCGCTTGAATCATCAATCCCAACATTGCGATACTTTTGCAGAGCATAGCGATTGAGTGGAAGAGTTTCTGCTTCTTTGCATTAGCTTCCTTATTACATCTTTGTGCAGGTGAAGAGACTTGCCTAGATATTGGACTGGCTTACAGCAGGTATGTTCTTGTAATGACTTGCAATTGCAATGCGTTTGTCAAGGATGGGAGCAGAATGCGATAGATGGGGCTCTTATAAACACGTTTGAGATTACAGGGGCTGCTTTCGTTGGAGAAGATCACTTGCGGTGGTGATCATCATTTGATACTCGGATCAAGAGATTCCGGTCTAGGCCCACGAGACCCCAAGTCGTGTGCACAGAAAGGGTCTCATGTCGTATGCCCAGGATCCTTTGGTCACCAAATGAGTAGCAAAATTGCGCCAAAACAAAGTTCCAAGCGCGTGGGATGAGAAAGTAAAATTTGCGCAGGACTCTAGGTCAAGACTCAAGAGTCTAGGCTTTGCACCAAACATCGCGCGATGTCGTATGTCAGGGATTCGTGATACCACATTGGGAATAGCGACGCATGAAATTTGGGCCACGTGGTAACGCAGGTGTCAGATGATTAGCCTTCCAGGCGAAGGTCCAGGTTATGTTTTGCAGAACAGAGCTGCGTTGAGCCTACATTACAAGCTTGGCCGAGTCCTAAAGTTGCAAGGTGTGAGATCACGATTAGCATATGCATGTAAGAAATTTTAGCAGTTGTCCGCTGTCCGCTGTCAGTCCAGCACCAATTCCGGGAGAAGAGTTTTCGAATACGGATGAGCGAATATTGCCGCTATAGGAGAAATTTATGAAGACGCATACATTTTCATGTTGTAAATCCTGTGTGATTTTGCTGCACGTCAGTATAGCCATATGGGTCTAGCAAATTGCAACGGTGTGCCACATCAGCTGCTAGTAACAGCCGAACCTCTGACAGATTTCAGTCTCGTTTACATTGCGCAAGGGTTCTCACGGCCATACAAGCAGCATAGCTGATCAACCACACGCCTCTTCACCTGGTCACCCGCAAATGATTCCGTGCTTCTCGATCCTAGCAGGATGAGCAGGCTTGTTTCAAAACCTTCAGGTCAGTGCACCGATCATGGACTGTTGGTTAAGAAAGTTCTTACACACCTATATCACATCTCCTCAGACTCCTACCAGCTATCACCTCTATTCTCCAATGAGACTGCGATACCTGACACTGCACTGAGTCTACAGCAGTCTACTGATCTTGTTAGTATTCAGAAGTGCAAATAGCTACAATCCGGGAGGCAAGATGGATGCCCATCATGCCAGCACAAGAACAACGACTATCGCATATAGACGCATAGGTAAATGATCCATATTTCTATAGATAGACATGACTGTTTTCTGTTCTGGTGGTTGGATTTGATCAAAGTTTTCGATTGTGGAAAGTAGTTTGAGCCAAACATACTGAAAGGTATCAATGATAGATTGCAGCTGTAGACGATGAGAACTGTCAGATAGCCAATTCTGATTTGGACAGCTCTAACTTTGCCGGACTCAACGCAAATACATAGCATATCTATTAGCAGCAGCCCCACTCGTGACAATAAGGCACGTCTGCAGAGCATGCGTCCGGATTTTGGCATAGTCCCGGCAATTCTTAGCTGCAGTTGGTTAGAGGAACTCTCACAGTCTTTTGTAGCTGTTGCACTTACGAAGTTTCCGATTCAGTGGGTCCCTGTAAATAAGCATATGCCTATGAGGTGATCTGTAGACACGAACATACCTGCGCTGAATGCTGGCAACAGAAGCACACACAGTAGCTGGGGTCATGAAAAACATCATCTCCGATTGCATCATCAATCCCAACATAGCAATAGTTTTGAAAAGCATAGCCTTTGAGTTGAGATGTTTCTCCTTCTCTGCGTTAGCTTTCCTATTACATCTTTGTGCAATTGAAGAGACTTGCCTAAATATTTGGTTGGCTTACAGCAGGTATGTTCTTGGAATGACTTGCAATTGCAGTGCGTTTGTCAAGGATGGGAGCAGAACGCGGCAGATGGGACCCTTATAAACACGTTCGATATTACAGGGGCTGCTGTCGTTGGAGTAGGTTACTTGTGGTTGTGATCGTCATTTGATATTCAGTTCGGGAACTTTCGGTCTAGACTGAAGAGACCCTTGATTCGTGTACACAGAAAGGGTCTTATGTCGTATGCCGAGACTGCGGCAAATAAAGTTCAAGGCGCGTGGGACGACGATGTAAGACTTGCGCAGGACTCTAGGAATCTAGATCAAGACTCAAGAGTCAAGAGTCTAGACTTTGCTCCATGCATAGCCCAATGTCGTATCTCAGGGGTTTTGAATACCAAATTGGAAATAGCGACGCATTGAAAATGGGCCACGCGGTAATGCGGGTGTGGGATGATGAGTCCAGATTCACAATCGTACATGTGAAGGTCCAGGTTATGTTCTGCAGTACAGAGCTGCAATGACTCTACATCACAAGCTTTCCAAAGTCCTGCAAGGTGTCAATTCACAATTGAGCATGTAAGGAAGTTCAGCAGCTGCGCGCTGCAGATGGAGCAAATTCGGGGGCAAAAATTGTGAATACGAATGAGGGAATATTGCCGCAAGAGGTGGAAAGATCTTTAGGGATGCACATCTTCATACTGGCGAACCTGAGTGATTTCACGCATGTTACCATACGCATGTGGGTCTAGCAAGTTGCAACGGTGAGCCGCATAGCGACTAGCAGCAGCTGGCCTTTGGGCAGTGCGCCCTGCATTGCTTGACAGTGTTCGCCATACAAGCAGGAATGCCGCACCAGTCGCACTCGTCTCCACCTTGTGATCCACAATGAGCGCGCTTCTGCATCCTAGAGGAGTCAACAGGATTCTTTCAATTTGGGACGGCCGTACATGAGGTTGCTCCTGACAACAGATGCAAAGACCACTGAAGGAGGCCAGAAGACAATCGTAATCAGCATCGTCTGAAACAAAATTCCGATGGTCGAGTAAATGGTGATTCGCATGGTGACAGGAATTCCTGGCGTTCCTTGGTGTGAGCATGGCTTGAAAGGAATTGGCTTGAGCATACCTTCTCTGAGCGAGCCTGGGAGGTTGCAAAGACTCATCACGAGAAGGCCGGATGAGGCTTCTAGAGACTTTTCGACAATTCAGGGGCAAACTATGTTGGGGCCAATGTCGAAATGCCATTGGCACGGTCAATGCGCAAAGAGATTCAGTTCTCAACCGCCAGTGGCAGTCCGTCTTTTGCTTCTGGTATACACGTACCACTCGGAGTCAACGATTAAAGTTGCCACCCAATGCCATCTGATATCATATCAGCAAACAAAGTGGAGTCTACAGCGTAGAAGGTGAAGCTCAACACGACAGACATGGCGTGCTTGAGACAGAAAACAGACTTGAGATAAAGCTTGTAGCTATTATTACTGCATCTACTAATAAGCAGGGACGTTCCCTGCGTGCGTCTACTGCCCTCCCCGTACTCAATCATCTCCCATGAGCCTCGTGTGTGTGCGACTGTGTCGGCATGACTTGAATCTTGACAAAAGTCACCCAACTATTGCTTAAAGCAACATGTATGCAGCAGCAGAGGCCACAGCGGCGACCGACAAGAAAGAAGCCCGAATGGTGGAGCCAGCGCCAGCAACACGCAAACAAGCCAAGTTGGCCTTACCATCCTCTGTCCGTGCAAAGACAGGGTAGGTCAACTCACGCGCTTCACGAACCAACGAGCTGTTGGAGTTGGCGGTGGAGTAATCCCAAGTAAGCCAGACTGCTGGGTTGGCAGGGGTGAAGGAAGCTTGGTTGACTTGTTTCACTTCAACGTTGAGGGTGCCACAGATCTCAGGGAGGCCTGAGAACATGGTGCCGTTGCAACCTGCCTGGATGGCCTGGAGGATGTGGTAGCTACATCCGTTACCCCCTGAGTTGTTAGTTTAGGTTTTGAAAATGAAACTTGACTTACAGATGGCATCACAACCGCCATTCTCGCCGTTGGGCGTGTCACCCTTGTTACCACCCGCGATACCCTGAATGATACCGACACAGGTGTTACCACCAGACAACTGCGCAGATGGGTAGTACGCCAAGATCTGCCTGGTGTCTTGGAAGGATCGGCCAAAGTTGTAGTAATTGAGGTACCACTTGCCTCCTTCATCGTTGTTGGCTGCAGGGAGGGCCGTCAAGACGGAAGCGCCAAAAGTACCGAAATCGTCTCCGGCGAAGGCGACCTGGGCCCCGGTCTGGACACTCGAGTACTTCTGGGCGGCAACGGATGCGACCATTGCAAGGGCGATACTGACTGTCTGCATCGTGGAAAGGGAAAGCGAGGGACTGACTGTGTTTGTAGCCGTAAGGGATGTGTGGTGTGGTGGGAGGAGGGCTGGCGGATGGAGGCCTCTTGCTTCTCTTTCTGCTCTCTGGCGCCAGGAAGGGAGAGAGGCTGTCTCGATGGCTGGCACAAGGCAGGCCAAACCCATCAGTCCGCGGAAAAGGGCCGCAGAAACGATGTCTATGCTAAGCCTATCTCTCATGCATCTACAGCTACTCTGGTCCTGCCTTCCCCCTAAGGCCCTTCTATCACTGCCATTCCCCCCGCTAGATCTTAACTTGATCTCGATGCGCTGCCAACGGTCAAATGACGCAGCATCCGGGGCAGCATTCTGATTGGCTGCTCAATTCCCGTTGTGAGATTGTCTCAAATAGCAGTCACTAATCAGGCGCCAAGGAAACAAGAGTCAAATAGATAGAAGAAAGACTACCGCACAGACTGCCCCTTTGAAGCCCGCCTCTCGCGATGCTCATCCACATCTGCATCCTCAATCCCTGAATCTTCATCATCCACCACAGCCTCCATCATCCGTACATCACCCGCCACACTACTCATCGTCCGTGGTCTGCCCTTCATCGATATGCTATTCGTCCGTTGCTGAGTGCGAACACCCTGTGCGGCATGTGCACCAGAAATATTCCCCTGTGCAGTATGTAGCCGTATAGTCTTTGCAGGTACAGGCACGGATTGTTGCAAACTTGCTGATTTCTCCCGCTGATATGCGGCGTTGCGTGATTCATGCGGATAAGGTCGATTCTCCTTACCATTTGTCAATGGTTGTGGTCCTGCGTGATACTTTTGTTCTATCGCATCGTGTCCGCTGAACGGTGCCGGTGAGTTGCGTGCAGACAAGTCGGAGACGCTGAGGGGTAAGGCTGCACCTGCTTCAATCTTTTCGACACGACGCTCACCCCGTGCCACGTCACCCTTGGCGCGATCATAAAGAAACAGGCCAAGTGCAGTGAGCGTGATGCCAAACGCTTGTGTGCGATTGGTGGGTTGTCCAAACCACAAAATGGCAACGACAATGACAAAGATGCGCTTGATGAGGGAGGCAATCGAGTAGGTGACCGGTGAAACCATACTGAGTAGTGTAAAGGCGAGCACATTCTGAGCTGCATGAGAAGCACCATTGAACACGAGCTGTGAGTAAATCTCCCAGGGAATTGAAGCTGCATGCACCATGCTGTACTCTTGCAAGAGCCAGATTGGAATCATCATGACGAACGCCATGAAGGAACTGTAAAACAATAGATTGAGCTTGTCGAGACGCTTGCTCGGTGGTTCGTCATTCTTTTCATGAAACAAGACATGCTTGCTAAAGATATTTTGAGAGACAAAGATGAGTGTACTGCCGAGTGCACAGACCAAACCCATGAGGTTGCCATTTGTTGAAAAGGAGCTAGAGCAGGCGAGCATAACGCCAATAGTGAGAGGCACCAGCGAGATGTAGGTCCCGATAGAGTAGCTAACGCGAAAGACGAGACAATACGCAAGCACTGTAAACATGGGTGACAGGGCCTTGATGGTATGCACCGTTGATACTGGAATCTTGCTTGTTGCAAAGCTAGAAAAGAGATGCCCGCCCAGCACAAATAGACTCATGGGCGCTGTTGCTCGCCAGACATGCATATCAATCCGCCGTATCGGCGAAGTTCCTAGGAATCCCAACCGAAAGATGAAGCCCAACTGGGCGAGCAAGGCTGTCCATGCCGCAACAAAGAAGAATTGCACCAATGTCAGCGTAACAGGCGCATCAAGCGCATTGAGGAATGTCTTGCTGGAGGTATTGGTCAAAGCAGATGAGGAATACCATAAGATGCAGAGACACACGAAGCGCAGCTCGCCGCCCTTGACCTCTTTATTGCTTCCGCGCATCCGTTATTGAGCACTGCCGCCGTGGAGCAGGTGCCAGAGCAGCCAAACCGAGATAGGGTTGGTGACTGGCTCTCAAAGCTACTGCTTTTCGTCTACGTGTCCCCTGTACTTTGTATCGTGTTTCAGAAATTGTTCTTGGCTGTATCTGTCTTGGCTCACTCGACGTCGCTTCTTGCTTTTGAGTCGCGCTTTCTCAACTCCAGATGGGCGACAACCACAATTCTTCCTACTGCAACCGGAACGACCAGTACAAGCATCAGCAGCAGAAGCCTGTCCCTGGTATCGCAGAGAATAGGGGGGTCATAGGGTAGCTAGTGTATGGTGGCATTCAAGAGCAAGAACGCCGCGCGCAGAACTGCCAAGAAACAACAAAAAGCAAGCGGCGATAAACTTGCACAAAAGGCCGAGGTGCAGGTAACATCAGACGAGCCGCGTGCAAATGGCAAGTCGTCACTGTTGGATGAAATTGCGAGTATGCCGCTGGACGGTGATTTATCAGATTTCAAAGCCGCGTTTCAGCGTATGGCAACAGAAGATGCTTCGACCTCCAGCGTGCGGCTCATTTCTAGCAACGAGAAAGGACAGCGCATCTACGACGACGATGCATACATCCCAGATGAAGGCTACGGTGATGATTCTGAGCCAGAAGAGAAGCAAGTCTCCAAATCTCGACAGAAAAAGGCATCGCGACTCAATGTGGCGGAACTGAAGCAACTCGTCAAGATGCCAGAGGTAGTGGAATGGTTTGATGTCTCTGCGCCAGATCCAAAGTTGCTCGTGACTCTCAAATCAGTCCGGAACGCAGTCCCTGTACCGGGGCATTGGTCACAGAAGCGCGAATACCTTGCAGGGAAGCGCGGCATGGAGCAGTCGCGATTTGAGCTACCAGACTTTATCAGAGCAACAGGCGTGGGTGAAATGCGCCAAGCTGCTCAAGACGAACGCGAAGGTGCTTCACTCAAACAACAAATGCGACAACGCGTGCAACCAAAGATGGGACGACTCGATATTGACTATCAAAAACTACATGACGCCTTCTTCCGCTTCCAAACCAAACCGCACATGACGCAGTTTGGTGAGACGTACTTTGAGGGCAAGGAAATGGAGACGAATACTCGGGAAAAACGACCAGGTCATCTCTCAGAAGAACTCAAAGACGCATTGAGTATACCGCCTGGTGCGCCACCGCCGTGGCTCATCAACATGCAACGCTTCGGTCCACCGCCGTCGTACCCATCACTCAAAATTGCCGGACTCAATGCACCGATTCCATCTGGCGCACAATGGGGTTACCATCCAGGTGGTTGGGGTAAACCACCTACAGACGAGTATAATCGGCCCTTGTATGGCGACGTTTTCGGTATGCTGCAACCGCCGCCAAGAGCGGATCTGGGCGTACGCAAGGAAATTGAACATTGGGGTGAGCTTGAAGAGGCTCCGGAGGAAGAGGCAGAAGATGAGGAGGAAGAGGAAGAAGAGGAGGAGGAAGAGGTGGAGGACAAGCAGTATACTGCGAGTGGTCTCGAAACACCTTCCGGGATGCAATCTGTGGCAAGCGCTGGCTTTAATGGTCTCGAAACACCAGACCACATTGAGCTGCGCAAGTCTCGCTATGAGGAGAATAAAGACCGTGCCCGCCGTGGTCGTCGCGAGCCTTCCCCGGAGCCAGAAGACGTCAATCGCCCAAAAACACTTTATCAAGTATTGCCAGAGAAGCAAGAAAAGGTCAAGGGCTTCTATGGCTCTTCACACGGCTATGCCATGCCTGATGACATGCCACCCGCGCCTGCGGCGACGCCCCGTGCGCCTTGGACGCAAAATGTGATACCGACACTCGGTGCGGATCAACCTACGAAGAAGCGTCATGTTGACGATGTCAATTTGGCAGTTGATCCCGAGCAACTTGAAAAAATGAGCAAAGAGGAGTTGTCGCAGGTATATGATCAAGCACGGTCCGATCGCATCAAACCCGCGAATTGGGATAATGACTTGAGCGACATGGTGAATGAGAATGTTCAAGCACAGCAAGCTAAGCGGCAAAAGCGGCCACCGCCTGCAGAGGCAAAGAAGAAGTTCAAGTTTTAAGCATTGCTATGTAGTGGTACAAAGTTAGGGCTACTCGCTGTGCATGCCAGGCAAGATCTCTGCATTCGAATTCTCCTTGTATTGCATGCTCCAAAGTCGCTGCATGAGATCAAGTGGCAGTGGCGATATTTCCTCAATCTTGTCCAGGAACGCACGGGTGAAGGCTTCCTGATTTATGGCCACAGCCTCAAACAGCTTGAAGCTCAAGAATGAAAACATGGTCGCCATGAAGGCGAGTTTTTTGGGATTCTGGCGACAGATTGAAAGATGCTCCTCATGACTGAAGGTCTCAAAAAAGTGAGTCAAAGCATAGCCCATGACCGTATCCATGCAGTCCGGACCCCAAGTCATAGCCATATTGAAGGGCGTGTATTGACCTTCTTCCAAATCACTCTTCAAACCTCTGCCATCATTGAGGTATTGCGTCAGAGCACCGAAATGTGCTGCAAATGATGCCTCCTCATCAGTCAAACGACCCTTAACAATATACGCATCAGATAGAATGCTGAGGGCACCTTTGCGGACTGTGACTTCCCACACGGCGACAAAGCTTGGAATAGGCAAGCCAAACTTATTGCCGCCAAATTGAACGCGACTGTCTGCTTGAGCCGTGAGCAAGTCGTTGAGGCTGCGGTACGTCAAGGGAAATCGCAGACGTGAGGTGTTCTTTTCGATCATCCTAAAGATGTTCCAGATGTCGCGTTCCTTTTGTGAGCCATCGTGCATACCCTTGCCGGTCGCTACGAGGTCGCCAAATCGACGCAAGAAAGAAGCTTTCTGTTCTTTGGAGAGCTTGGGATCATCAACGAGATCATCAGTGAGCGGATACAGCATGGACATGCCAACAATGGGGTCTGTCAGGTCTGGCTCCATGTCACACAGTAATTGGAAGCACAGACAAGGCCACACATTGGTAGCCGCTCGTTTAAGATCCTTGTCAGTCATACTTGGCATGATTTTTCTGGCCTTGTCGAGAAACAGCTTCATCTGGACGTCAATTCTTGCTTGGAGCCCAAGAATAGTATCGCCAATCGACTGAACATAATTTTCAGATTCGTCCCCCAGCACACGTCTCGTGAGATGTAGCGTGGAAGACTTGAGCACCTTTGTGAAAACTTCCTCTCGCAGTGTCTTTTCCACCTCCTCGCCAGACTCACCGCGTGCTTCAGCCTCGTCTAGCTTTTCAGATATCAGGTTGGCGAGTTTCTGCCGTTTTGCTTGATCGACTGGGTACGATGGCCAGTGGCTTCCATCGAATGGTGTTGTGATACTGGGCGCAGCAGGAAGGGGAATCGTCGTGATGCCTTGCCGAGTTTCTGTGGATAGTAAAGGCCTATCATCGCGCTTTCTGTGAAGATGCAAGCGGTCTTTGAAGCGAAAGGAATGAACGAACTGCTTGACTGCTCGCTTGGCTTTGCGATGTAGCTTTGGATGACGCTTGATTTGCGACTCCATAGCCTCGCTGTAGCTTGGCACAGTCATTGTAGTTTAAAGGTCAAGGGACCAGAGTGATGAAGCCCTTCTTTAACTTTCGTAACGAGTCGTCTATTCCAAACATGATGTGAGGCTAGCTCCACGTCGGGCGTGTCAAATTGAGTCAATCAAGGACATCGACCAGCAGATGACGTACAGCAATCATGAGAGGCAGAGTGGCAGTATTCAGAGAGAGTATCAGCAATGTGAGGGCCGTAGTACTAGTAGGCTTGAGCAGCAGGTTGAGCGTGTGGTGTTGTGACATGAAGGCGACAACGAGATTTCACACGTCGCGACTTGCACGACAAACAACTACCAGGTCTGCCATGTCTGAATCTAGAGGGGAGCTGCTGCAGTGGCTCAATCAGGTACTGCATCTCTTGAGAAACTCAATTCCATGCTAACTGAAGCTCACTGGGCTAGGACTCACTAAAGTGGAGCAATGCGGCAAAGGTATGCTCAACATGAGTGTTTTACGCGTCTTCAGCTTTTAGCTCGTGCTGACTGAATCCAAGGCTATGCATGTGCACAGATATTTGACTCCATCTACGGTACATCACCCATCACTCATCAGCAGCTGACCATCAGGCGACATGCCACTCAAGAAGATTGACTTTAATGCAAACGCCGAATTCAAGTATCTCGCCAATTGGAAGGTGATTCAGACGCACTTCAACAAGCACAAGATCGACAAGGTCATTCCTGTTGAGCGGCTCGCCAAGTGCAAGATGCAAGATAATCTAGAATTCCTTCAATGGTCAAAAAAGTACTGGGATCAGATGTTTCCTGGTGGCGATTATAATGCAATGGCACGACGTGGCGGACAGTCGTCTGGGAGCAATCTCAGTAACAGCACATCCTCGCATCATGCAGCTCCATCAGCAGCACGCGTGGTTTCGAGCACTGCACCTAAACGAGCGCCAGGTGCAGCAGGGCGGCCGGCAGTTGGCGCGGTTGCCAGGGCGCCTCCCGTCAACAGTGCACAGCTCGTGCAGCTCCAGGAGGAAGTGGAGGTGCTGCATGAAACTGTTGCTGGCTTGGAAAAGGAGCGTGACTTTTATTTCAATAAGGCAAGTTGCAGCTTACTTGTCGATGATGCTAATGGCAGTTGCGGGATATTGAAATCTTGATTCAAGGTGCAGGAGAGGCAGACTCAGCTGCAGAGGAAGGCGGTCTTTTGAAGCGTATTCAAGAAGTCCTCTACAGTACAGAAGACGGTTTCGAGGTGCCCGACAATGAAGGCGAAGATGGCTTGCAAGGGACTGAACAGGGACTGCAAGCACTGGATGTGAATGATGAAGTGCATGAGAACGACGACGAGGTCTTTTAGATATCAAATTCTTGTTCCTCGCACAATGTGAATTGGATCGCTGCCACGACCATCTGCTAGCTCGATGCTCGCAATGTCTTTGAAGACTTTGGGTGTGCCGTCCTCACCTGCAGTAAAATGAAGGTAGTCTGCGACCATCTGTCTTCGCTCCTCCTCACTGAGCTTGAGCCATCTTCCAACGACCTTTGTAGGAAAGCATCTGTTGGAGATGGCCAGATGAAGAACGCCACCGGGCCTCAGGACACGGCCAGCTTCGAGACAGACTTCGCGTGGCTTTGTGAGATAGTCGATCGATACATTACAAATGACATGGTCAACCGAGGCATCTTCCAAGGGTAGTTTTGTGTCCTTATTGAGATCTTGCACAATAGTCTTTGTCAGCAGGGAATTGGCCGCAAGCTCTTCATTGTTGAGTCCGAGTCCAATGACGCTGGCATATTTGACATTGGTAGGCAGGTGCGATACCCACGAGGAAGCAATGTCAAGAACATTTGAATCTTGTGGGATGGACTGGCGGTAGTAATCAGTCAAGCGACGAATTGCCTCATCGTCGATATGGTTGACAAAGCGCGGGAAAGCGTAGAATCGAGCATCACTGCTTTCGTCTGAGCGAACAAAGTCAGCTGCCTGATATGGCCAACGAGCTGCAAAGACAAAAGGCTTCAAGCGGGAAAGTGGTATTGCCATTGTTGAGTAGGTGTCGAGCTTTTTGCTCAATCTGAAACCTGAATGAGGCATCTATTGGCCGCAAGGTCCCTCTGGAGTCTCGACTATTATTCATACATTTACTACGTCTGCTTCTTGTACTGGAAGCGAGTCAAAAATGCTCGGGGCTTGCACTTCCTGACCGTTTGATTGCCAAGGCTTTAGCTTCGGCGCTATAGCAGACTTGCTCTCTGGCTCATCTGCGAGCTTGTCTGGGATATGCTGAATGCCTGCCGTTAGCAGCGCACAGAGATCTCGCGAACTTACCTGGTACTGGTTTGCCAGACTTGATGAGCTCCACAATATCGGCGAACGATGCTGGATACGACATTTCACTGGAGTCCCTCATTTCTTGCGTAGCATTGCTCGGGTCTGTGTCTGCCGGGAATGAATCGTAACTGAAGAGTGCTGAGGATTGTTCTTGCTTACGCAACGCAGCATCTACTTCCTCATCTGTCAGTGGATGTACAGGAGACTTCCAGGCCTTGTAGTCTTGTAGATTGATGGGCTCGATTTGTCTATGATATGAGCAAATCGAAGCATCGAAGAGACTCACTGATTGTAGAAAAAGGCCTTTGCCAGCAGAAGCATGTCATCAGGCAGCTTGCCTGACGCACTTTCTAGAATGGGTGCTAGACCAGCCTTCCATCAGTCTTGTGTAGTGAAATCGAAAGCTCACCTGAAAGTTGGCGTCCTGGTCAAAGTCGCACGCATCAAAGCGCTGAAAGACAGCAGTTGTATCGAGCTTAGTATCAGGCATAGGAGCTGTCGTCGTCATAATTTGCCGGTTTGGCGTCTCCTGAGCAAGCTTGAGCGCGTGATCAGAGGCGACCTTGCAGAACGGATCGAGCGGGCGTGATCGATGGACTCGACAAGCAGCGAGGAGATTAGTAGCAAGCTAACAGCAACTACAGTGAAGCAGCCAAGTGAAGACAAGACTATAAGAGAGCTGGTTCAGATCGAGGCCTGTTGTTTCAGAGCAAGTTGGTTGTCGCTGCTCTCAGGATGTCGGCCGGCGACTTATTTTGCGACATTTTCGACACCTTCACGGTCAAGCAAGAGCAGCAGTTCCCATCCGTGCTTTCGCCCTCGTCCTCTGGCAGCGAATCGCCGTTCGGCCTTGGTACGCCCTTGCCGACTCTTCCTGGTCTCAGTCTAGGGCCTGAGCAGACTAGCCTTGGCGACACTTTTAAGCAGCCCTATCTGCCAGCACGACAAAAGATGCCCGACAACACGGCGCTCTCTGTTGCGCATCCGTCCAATGCCAATGCGTCTCAAAAGAAGGAAGTCCCTGCCTTTCTACAAAAGTTGTTCAAGATGGTGGATGATCCCCTGACGGATTCGCTCATCAAGTGGAACGACGCAGGCGATTCCTTCCTGGTCATGCGGCATGAAGACTTTGCCAAGGAGCTGCTCCCTCGCTACTATAAGCACAAGCACTTTTCATCCTTCGTCAGGCAGCTCAATAGTACGTTTGCACATCGCTTGTCTTACTGCGGCTAACGTCAGTGTATGGCTTCCACAAGATCCCCCACATTGAGGACAACACCCTCAGCAAAGGTGAAATTTGGGAGTTTAGCAATCCAAACTTTCATCGCGACCAGCCTGATTTGCTGTGTCTTGTCACGCGCAAGAAGTCTGGCGAGACTGCCGACAAGGATGCTATTGATTTCATGTCTGTCATCAAGGAGATTCAGGCCATAAAACGACATCAGGTGACCATTTCGCAGGATCTTAAGCGCATTCAGGCAGACAATCAGGCTCTATGGCAGGAGCAGGCCGATACACGAGCGCGCCATTCAAAACACGAAGAGACGATTGAAAAGATTCTTGCCTTTCTCGGACACATCTACGGCAATCCTGGCCAGGAAGACAAGACGATTCGTCCTAAGAAGCGGAAGCTGCTACTGGAAGGGGATTCAAGTGAGCAAGTCGCTACACTCGCGAGTGTTGCTCATACATTACAAGACGAAAAAGCGCAAGAAACTTTTCAAGACATGTTCAAGTCTGCGCGCATTTCGCCACAGCTCAATGCAACACGTCCATCAACGACGAACTCGCATACCTCTCAATCGCCTTCGAGTCCTCATCGTCAGTCAACGCCTACGCATCATGCCAAGCGCGCAAGTGTTAGCCGCTTTGAGGTGGAGCCTGAAGTGCCCGAACAGCGATACACGCTTCCCAATCGCCGCAGTGGTCGTTCTAGTGGGCAGGTCAGTGATCATGTAGACAACTCGAATGACTTCGAGGCTACATCACCCGGTATACAACCACAGGCGGCGCCAGTACTGCCAAGAACAACGCTTGCGTTGACGCCGGCACAAATGCGGCCGCCGAGTATCGATGAATTCCAGATGGCTGCAGCGCCTAATGCAAATGCGCTCACGCCATCGATTGAGAATCGCTTGACATACAACAAGCAGAGGAGTTATGAACTCGAGCAAGATATCATGCAGCAAGATCAAAATCTAGACGCATTGGCAAATCTTCTGGGAATGGACCCAGCTGCTCTCGATATGGCGACTCTGGATCCTGCCTTGATGGACTCGATGATGATGGATGACCCAAACTTCAATCCAGCGGAATTTTCCCAGTTTCTTGAGGATTTCCCAGCGTCGGGCGAGCAACAGCCCTGCAACTGGTTGGACAATGATGGGTCATATACAGGTATGCCTGCTGCGTCTTCAAAAGCTGCGCCGTCGGCAGGCGGTCGATCTGAAGCGAGCACGCCAAAATTGGAGTCATTGACCTCGACGCCACCCAGCGTCGTAAGCAAGGACGACGAGGTCATTGAAGAGATAGATATGGACAAGGCACGTGGCAAAGGACGAAGTGGATAGAGAAAGGCAGTAGCTGTGGTCTTGTAAGCTTTATACTTGCAGCACTTGATCTCCTTCACCTTATTCCTGATTGAGGATTTATTCCTTAGTGAGACGGCCACGTATGTGACTTGTTATGTGCATGATTGTGCCTAGACTGATAGACATCCTTTTTTTTGGGCGTTGACAATGACACCTTCGAGGCAGTCAGCTCGCATGGCTAGGCAGATCTGGCGGAGAAAGTCTCTTGCACGGCACAGTGTGACTTTTCCATCTGAACTTCATCAAAGCCACGATCCTCGACGCCGCAATTGCAAGATCGCCGCCTATGGATTAACTCCTGCAGACTTGACCATTTGCAACTTCATCTAGCTCCTATACAAGCTTCATTGCATTTTCCATGGCCATGGCTCAAGATACACCGATTGCTGTATTGTCCCTGAAGGACAACGCTGCAGCTTCTCAAATCCGATTCCTAAGTCGCTTTTAGGAGTCGGTGCTCGTCAGGAAGCACCTTCTGGAATTTTGACCAATTTGGAGTCCCGAGGGATCTCAAAGGACATCTATATCTGACAATTGCGTGGGAACCATGCCCGCATTGCTCGATCATACAAGATCTGGTGGAGGCCTGGTCGAAGTGACTTTCACCTTGAAGCAGCTCCTGACTTGTTTCTATAAAAACTTGATTTGGTCTGAAGTCTGACTCTGGGCTTCAGGTACAGCCTATGAATACTATCTCCTGAAAGAAACGTGCAGTCCACGACTTCCCTTCTTGACTCCTTGTCGAGCCTTATTGCTACCGCTACCTCTGTCATTGCTTCATCAAAAATCTTATCAAAGCTTAAGCAAGTGGGCAGCCCGAACTCTGCTGGTGTGATCACCTCTCATCGCGTTCAAGCTATAGATGTCAAGGGCAGAGCAAATACTGTGCAGCAGCAAGCGATGCAGCATTCAATCAATTCCACTCTCAAGCACAATCACACTTCCTGGGATTCGCAGACTCGATCGACTTTGAAATAGCGCGAACTTGGTGATGCGATCTCATATATTGGCTGGAGTCTCGTTGGATTCAGCACCGGATCGACCAGTCAGTGTACTGATACTGTCATCAATCTCAACTCCAAAAGCATAGTCGTCACAGCCGCCCATTGCCTTAGAACGGCTCCAGGAAAGACTATTGTGGCGATTGTCTTCGCCCCTGGGGGTGATGCTGCGCGGCATCGTTGGCTTGCGTCCACCTGGTCCATCTCAGAAGGCTTTGACAGATACCTGAATACGCCGAATGCTCGCTCAAGAAGTGCCGCGAATGATGTTGCGTTTTGAGCTTGGACTTAAAGCTGCCGCACCAAAGGAGAAAATGTCTTTGGAAGAAGTGGTTGTGAAAGTGCCAGTTATGTGGCTACCAGAATTGCTTCCAAAATATTCACTGCCTAGCTTGCTACTGCATGCCTTCAGCTTGAGGAAAGACCTAAAGCCCCCATATTCAAGGCCGATGTTTGAATGCGATGGCCGTCCCGTTATACAAAAGTATGAGAGCGGGCCAGAATCCATTGGCATCCCAACTCTGAAACTTAAGGAGAGATCGTGCTACTTCGCCCCTGGTACTCCAGGTGGTCCTGTGCTTTATACACCAGACGAAAATCGGAGCATTGTCGGCGTTGTATCCACAGCACAAGCAGGACGCTTGGCTTTCTGCATGCTTGATAAGGCTGCACAGACAGCCTTCAACAAGCTCGACAATTTTGAGTGGTCTCAATGACCTGCAGAAATGCACAGTTCATCTTTTGTTTGAGCTCAGGTAGCCCATACTTCGCTCTTCTTGACATTGCACTGCAGCTCTTATGCTTGAGGTTGCCCATCTGAATTGAAAATCTGCGGGCACGTGAAAGTGGCAGTCACGCTCTCGCAAACTTCGCTTCCCACCCACACAGACGAGCAAAAGGCGAAACACTACACGCTACACTGCTCGTCGACGACAACAGTCAATCACGTATGTAGGCAGCAGCGTCGGATTGCAGGCATTGAAGAGGACAGGAGGAGAACCATGCGATACCAAAAGCCTACTCAATCCGTGTCGTTTTGCAAAATAGGGCACGATCTTTTCTGTCTGCATGTTTCCATCCCTTCTCTCTTGCTCGCAAACCTCTCGCGGTCTCTCCGAACCGAACAGCTTGACTAACGATCTTTACAGATATAAACAATGGCAAAGCGTACCAGAAAGGTCGGCATCACCGGAAAGTACGGTACCCGTTACGGAGCTTCGTTGCGTAAAGATGTGAAGAAGATGGAAATCACACAGCACGCGCGATACGTCTGCACATTTTGTGGAAAGAATGCTATTAAGCGTACCGTTGTCGGTATCTGGAAGTGCGGAGGTTGTCAAAAGACCATTGCTGGCGGTGCTTGGACTGTTTCCACAACTGTAAGTTCTTTCTCAAGGTGTTATTATGCATTTGTGCTGACTCGTTAGGCTGCGGCGACTGTGCGTTCTACTATCCGTCGTCTTCGCGAGATTCAAGAGGTGTAAATTGCATCTTCCTGCTCACGCGTTTTCCGTTCTGCATAAAACGTCTCAAGTTGACTTCAGTCACTCTCTTCATGAAGCAGAGATCGATTGCAGTACGTATCAATCTATGCATCCAATCATCTTGCCTTCCTGACTTGTTTCCTTGGGTGATTGTACTCTACTGTGCTCTGGGCCCACCACTGATCTTCCACAGCTCAATAGTAATTCTGGGCATGAAGCGGTCTGTATCTGCAAGCTCTAAGGGCTCTTCCAGCCATTCGAGCTCTCCTGTTTCTTCATCAAGCACCTCTGTACCTCTGTCTGCAAACTTCTTCTCCTTGCTGAGCGTTGATATATGCCCAAGCGGCTCTGTTGCTTGACGCTGTACAATCTCTGCAATTGTGATGCATTTTGAGATATTTTTGCCAATACCCGTGATACAAATAAGAGGATCTGTGTCGCCTCTAAGGAAGAGAAGGCTCTGTATCATGGTAACAGTCCCAGCGATGCTTGTTTTTGGCTTTATGAAGATTCTTGACGCACGACCTCGGGGTTTTGTAGCGTCTCTTGCTTCTTCTGGTGAAATGGAAGAGGTCATCTCTGCATACTCGAGCACACAGTCTGTTCTGACAGAGCGAGCAAGTGTGGTTATAGAGCGGTGCGATAGGCAGTCGTGGTGGTTAGATTTGGTCGTGCTGGTCAAAGTTTGAGTGGGAGAGCAGCGACATAGAGGGAAGACTGCGATGAGGGCTTGTCTATGCTTGGAGGGAATGGGGATCGTAGACGGTAGCAGTATATCAACATGCTTTGATTATGTATTGAGCCCTTGAGTAGACGACTGCCAGTAAGTGAGCATCTCATGTACATGTACTGCTGCTGTGTGACCCCTGAGGCGCATCTCCACAGACGACAACGACGACCAAGAACTCTCATCCCTTCTCTTCAGCAGCTTCTATCAGACGCTCTCCCTCTCTTTCAACGCTCTCTAGCTACCCCTACCCCTATCTCTGTAATCGAACGCGCACATACACTTCAACAGTTCACCGCGCAGAGTACCATGCCGGGACTTACTTTTGGCGCCCACACTGCCGTTGACCTCATCGAGGACAGTGATACAGTCATGCGTATCCCTACGAAGTCATCCACTCAACTAGACTCGACCTTATGCAACTCCACAGACCTCATCTACACGCATAAGCCACGATGCAGTACAGACACGTCTACATGCAACTTCTTTGTGAGACTCGTGCCAGATGCATCCGACAAGGACAAGGAGACCCCTTCTGATGCTGCTGAGGTTGATGAGGAGGAGTTTTCTGGTATCCATGCGAAAGCGCTCTTTGCATCACGGGTAGGTCCTTTGATTCCTTGATGCAACAAAGCAACGATACTGATGGATGTCAGGTCTTGGGCGATATGCTACGAAACGTTGAAGTCAACAGGCAAGAAGAAGTCACTATCCCCATGTATGGCGAAAACAAGGAATCTCTCAATCGCCTCCTTCGTTGGCTCTTTCGAAGTCAACTCGACAGCATCTTCACCTTTGATCGGAATATTTGGAAGTATGCTCGATTGGCGGATAAGTATGATATACCGTTGCTACGTGCGGAGATTGAACAGTTCTACACGAATACGTGGCCTCCTGGTTGTGATGACTTGCGCTCACAGTTTGTGATTTTCAATGAGTCTTGTCGGTATCATCTGGCTTGCAGGGATAGCTACCTCGATGTGATTAAGCGTCATCGCGTTGATTTCTTCAAGTATGTCGACATGTGTCTTGTTGCTCGCTAACATAGTAGGACGGGGTTCCTTGCCAAGTTGATGGACATTGATTTGCACATGGCACGTAAGCTGGCTCAGTGACGGAGAAGCGTGGACCTCTTGTACTTTAGATTTCTTATTTTGCATTGTAGACTATAGCGATGGCAGGTCATTGTGTTGCATCATGACCATTCATGAAGATGCTTTTTGCACCAAAAGAGTAGCTCGCGCATGGCCGTTTCATAGAGTGTGCCTGAGCCTGAACGAAAGAGCGCTGCCTTTGCATCAAGCGGTGTGTGCCGTATCGCAACGGGTTCTTCGACAATGACTTGTCTGCTTGTTGCCTTCAGTTGGAAGAGCACTGTGGGCAATTTGAGTGATGCAGGGACATGTGATGTGTCGAGTGCAAGAATGGCACACTTGAAGAGCTTCTCTGCTTCTTCTGCTGATGCACATGCGCAAGCGACCTCTGCACCGTTGCCAAAGAGACCCACCACTGCGACGTGTGTGACACTCATGGCATCTCGCAGGTGCGTAGCAAGTGTGTTGACAGAAGCTTCATTGAAGGGTGGACATGAGCTAGATGGGTCCTCAGCGGTGTCATGTTTCCGCTTAGCGTGACTCTGTGCATCAGGAGAGACGCAAGGGACAAGGACCGTGACATTGGCGCCACGAGCGATCTTATCAGCCAATAAACGGATGTGTGTATCTTGCCAGCTTGTGGCAGAGGAAGTGCCTGGTAGGAGGAGAACGGCAGAGGTCATATTGTCACCGGTTCCGTAGCAGAGTGTGCCTGCGAGGTCTAAGTCTAGACCTGCTGGGTGTGTGTGGTCGTGGTGAGAGAGACCACAGCAGTGGAGACGTGCTTTGGTGGCAGAGACCATGTCAGAGCTGTAGCAGTAGAGTACTAGCACTAGCACTAGCAGTAGTAGTAGTAGCAGTAGTAGTAGTAGTTTGAGTCTCCTGAGTCACGTGCCCTGATCGCCGTTCGATGCGCTGCCACTGAGCCAGCCAGCCTGAGCCAGGTGAGTTGAGTTGCAGCCAGACTGAGCCAGTAACTGTAACTCTTCACTTTACTTTCCCTTCTCTTCCTTCCCTACCGAGCACGCTGAAGCCCCTGCAGCACAGACACGAGCCACTGTATATCCTGTATATCTCATCAGGCGCAGCATCCAGCGATACACCTATACAGTACACTTCCAACGTCCATCCACTGGCGACCGGCCCTTCTCCGACGACGAGATCCACACGCGCCATTCGCATCTTCACCACATCACTCCATCAGCGCATCGGCCCAGCCCTCCACGCACTCTCTGACGAGATACATCAAGGACGATGAGCAGCCCGCCCAACTTCCTCTCCTTTGCAGACCTCAAGATGAACAACAACCGCATCGCATCCCCCATCCAGTCACCCTTCCTCTCTCCCTTCCCCTCCTCGCCCTCCAGCCCAGGTGTTGAACCGCGTCGTACAAAGAGCCGGCATATGGACGCCTTCTCCTTCTTTGACTCAAAGGCTCCCCCGCCCGGTCAACAGCAGCAGCAGCAGCAGCAGCAGCAGCAAGCGCCACCACTCTCCGCGGGGACAGGGATATCATCCTCCCAAGCGACGCAAGGGCTCGGTGAATGGCGCCCGGCTGCTAATATACAACCACCACGCAACTTGACGCCCTTGCAAGGAGGCTACCCAAGCTATGAACAATCGCCACAAGGTCTCGGTAGCAGTAGTAGCAGATGGGAGGCGCCTGGTGCGTTTTCAAGTGGTGCGCAGTCGCATGCACAGCAACAGCATGTGTATCCGATATCGCATCCTCAACAGCAGATGTATCCGCCACAGCAGCAGCAAAGTTATGGGCATCCTCAGTCAATGCCGCGTCATCATGGACATTATGGTCAGCCTGCCTATCCGCAGTACAACCACCCACAGCAATCCCCTCATCACGGCATGCCTTCCTCCATGACGAGCGGGTATCGTTCCTTGACGCCTACCGGACAACAGCAACAACAGGCTCCACGACCGATGATGGCGCGTCAATGGAGTAATGCCCAACACGACCCCTTTTCACGCGACCTCACGCCTCTTGCTTCACCTGGACCTGCAACACCGGGTATTGGTACTGTAATTGGTGATGATGGGGATGAAGTCATTTCAACTGCCGTCGTGGTGAAAAATATCCCCTTTTCTCTCAAAAAGGAAACTCTACTGGAACTATTCGATCAGTTGACATTGCCAAAACCCTACGCCTTCAACTATCACTTTGATAACGGCACATTTCGTGGACTGGCATTTGCAAATTTCCATTCACCGGAAGAGACACAGCATGTTATTGGCGCTTTGAATGGGTATGAGCTCATTGGTCGCAAACTACGCGTTGAGTATAAAAAAGTACTGCCTGCTGACCAGCGTGAACGGATTGAATTACAGAAACGACAAAAGGCAATTCAAGAAGAAGTCATGCTGGGCGGTATCATGCGACCTAGTAGTGCTGCTAGTTTCTCTTCTGCAAAAGGAACACTACCCTCCGTTGAGAAGGCAAAGCCAGAGATGGACTTGAATGATCCTGCCACACTCCAGATTTACTCGAGTTTGTTGTTGTTTAGGGATGACACGGCACCGACTGCTCAAAAGCAAATGGCCTTTCCACCAGAATTCACTCCACCCCAGCGCAGGACGGTGCATCTCATTGCACAAAAGTTGGGGCTGGCTCATGTATCGAGGGGTGAGGGTGAGGAGCGGTATGTGGTTGTTTCGAAGCCTATTGCAGATACTGCCCAAGGCCCTCTTGAGCAACAACAGCCACAACGTACCATGCAGCAACCCTACTCAGGCTACACTCCAGCCGTTGGCCCACAACAAGCTCTGCGTATTGATACGAAGCCCGACTTGAAGCCACGCGTAAGTTACAATAACAATGGCGTTTCCTCCCTCTCACACTTACAACCACCGGGTCTCAAGCAAATGAAATCATACAGTGACCTGCGACAACCCTCACCACTCCGTACAAGTGCCGCCTTATCAAGTGATGCATTCGGTCGTGTGGGTGAGGAGGAAGAGAGGTCTGGTAGTCCTGCACCGTTTGCATCTTTTGCAGGTGTTGCCTCGGGTACTGCATCACCCATGTTGTCGGATCGTTTTGGTGAGATGCAATTGAGTGCTGGTACCGGACCGGCCAGTGCGCCTGTTCGACAACCAAAAGGACCGGAACCGCAACGTGCCTTTTTGGGAAGAACTGCATCGTTGCGCAGTACGCATGCTCAACCACCTCAATGATACCCCTGCATTCTCGATTGGATGGATATTCCTTTTTGGCTTGACAAGAACAGAGAGAGCCCCCCTATGAATTAATGAAGAGCATTCATTGTTCCATGCTGCTAAGAAAAAATGACTCTTATGAGAGACGACGGCATGAACTGGAATGAACAACAAATACGCATATAAGAGTACTAATCGATTAATGAAGAAAAATAGGAAAGTAAGAAAAGATTATAGTATGAAATGACAAGAAGCTACGAATTGGAATTGCTCCATCTGATGTGACTTCATCTTGGGCCGCTACGTGTGCCGTCAAAGCCGCCAAGTCCGATCAGATGGGGATGTTGTATTTGCTGGGAACGCACTCGGAGCACTGTGTAGAAAGCCTTTAGCGGTGTTTTCTAGCCAGCAGAAGCCTTCACCTGGTTCACCGTGTAAATATTTGCCTGAACGGCCTTTCGGGAGGAACAGGAGCCTTCAAGTCTGCTTACAACATCTAAAGTGCAGATCTGTCCACCAGCCTTTTTTTTCTTCACCAACCAGTTGGCAGCGGGGTCAGCCAATGAGAAGCATAATAATTGCAGATTTTTGAAAAGAAGTTTGCAATTTTCCTAGCGAGCCAAACCAGCAGCGGGAATAGAGCATGAAATGTCAGATCTCGGCAGCTGGACGGCAAGCTCCGAGAGTGAATGATGCAGTCACAGATGTGTTTTAGCAGTAGGACATGGTACTTGTCTAGCAGGTGCATCATGAAGAGACGAGGACAGTCAAGGTTTTCACAAAACGAATCGGACCCATGACCAATATCAATGCTGTGAGAGCCTTATCAGTGCTGCTATTTGTCAAGACATGTGATCGGGTGCAACAGTGGAATCGAAGTCTTATTCATACGTAGCATCGCTGTTGTCGTGAAGATGCTTGGGAGTCAAGAACTTGGAAGGTGAAGGAAGACGATGATCAGCAAGCGTGACTGGCCTTGCCGTGGAGAAGTCAACTGCGTTCTGGGCCGAGAGCGACACGATAAAATCCCGGGGGGCGATGGGCAATGTTGCATGTGGATGCGCGCTCGGGAGGAGGAAAAAATTTGGAATTTCTGTTGGCCTGCTCTGCTGCTGCCTGCGCGCGCGTTTGTTGCTTGCTGACCTCGCTCTGTTGCCTATCTCCTCTTCTGCTACTCACCACCACCACCACCACCCCGCCTCATCACTACCTACAAGCCTCTTGCGCTCTCCCTCTGCTCGTGCACAGCTGCTAGTCACAGCTCATCAAGTCACAAGCTCTCACTTCAAAAGGTCCGTCCTCGTTTCCCTCGCGACAGGGAGATCAACAAGGAAAAAAAAAAGCTTTATAAGCACACCCCAAGCTAGCCATCAACGCACCAGATTCAGGTGCATAGCATGCCCAGGGACTCTGAACCATGTTATGAAGCAAACGACGAATTTGTTGACATGGGGCCCGTCGCCCCGGTCGGCAATTTCAAACAAGCGGTGAATTTTAGTGGGTTGCCTGCAAAGCAGGGCCTCTATGACCCAGAATATGAAAAGGACGCCTGCGGTGTTGGTATGTCTTCTTCCCGTGTTGATGTCCAGAGACTAACAAAACAGGATTTTCATGCCACATCAAGGGAAAGGTCTCTCACAAAATCGTCAGCGATGCTCGATCGCTTCTCTGCAACCTCTCTCACCGAGGTGCCGTGGGTGCCGACACACGCGACGGAGACGGTGCAGGTGTCATGACCTCCATGCCTCACAAATTTGTCGTCAAGGAATTCAACAGCCTCACCAAGTGTGTCATCCCTCCAATGGGCCAGTACGCCTTCGGCAATGTCTTCTTTTCCCCAGACGAGGCTATTCTCGCTGAGTCGAAGCAGGTCTTCACCCAGCTCGCCGAGTCACTCGACCTGCGCGTCCTTGGCTGGCGTGTCGTTCCCCGTGACTCGACCATTTTGGGTCCTGCTGCACTTTCGCGCGAGCCCATCATTCAGCAGCCTGTGGTTGTGTTGAAGCGTGCTTATGGCGAGGGTGAATCGCCAGAGACCACCGACGCTGATTCGTTTGATACCAAGTTCTTTGAGCGACAGCTGTATGTCTTGCGCAAGCAAGCCACACACAAGCTTGGTCTGGAGAAGTGGTTCTACATCTGCTCCCTCTCCAACATGAATGTCGTGTACAAGGGTCAGCTTGCTCCCGTGCAAGTCTACAACTACTACCTCGACCTGTGCAACTCTGACTACGAGGCGCACTTTGCCCTGGTTCACTCGCGTTTCTCCACCAACACCTTTCCCTCGTGGGATCGTGCTCAGCCCATGCGTCTCGCTGCTCACAACGGAGAAATCAATACCCTCCGTGGCAACAAGAATTGGATGCGTGCCCGTGAGGGTCTCCTCAACTCGAAGCTCTTTGGCGACGAGCTCGACTCGTTGTACCCAATTATCGAAGAAGGTGGCTCCGACTCTGCTGCGTTTGACAATTGTCTCGAGTTACTCGTCATCAACGGTGTTCTCAGCTTGCCCGAGGCTGTAATGCTCATGGTCCCTGAAGCCTGGCTCGACAATGACCACATGGAGGACGACAAGAAGGCTTTCTACGAATGGGCGTCCTGCATGATGGAGCCTTGGGATGGACCTGCATTGTTTACGTTTGCTGATGGCCGTTATTGTGGTGCGAACCTCGATCGTAACGGTCTGCGACCTTGTCGATTCTACGTCACGACAGACGACATTATGATTTGTGCTTCCGAGGTCGGTGCCATTCTCATTGAGCCTGAGAAGGTGCTCTCCAAGGGTCGATTGCAGCCTGGTAAGATGCTGCTTGTTGACACCAAAGAAGGTCGTATCGTCGATGACAAGGAACTCAAGCACAAGACTGCCAGCCGTTGTGACTTCCAAGGATGGGTCGACCAGCAAATCTTGTCACTTCCTCGCATCCACGAGAAGCTCAAGGCCAACAATGTCAAGTTGGCACCCACACTTGATGATGCTACGATCGCCGATGATCGTCGTTTGCTCGCCTTTGGATACACACTCGAGCAACTCAACTTGCTCGTGGCTCCCATGGCTTCAGATGGAAAAGAGGCTCTCGGCTCCATGGGTAATGATGGACCTCTTGCTTGTATGGCGCCTCAGCCGCGTCTCATGTACGACTACTTCCGTCAGCTCTTTGCTCAAGTCACCAACCCGCCCATCGATCCCATTCGAGAGAGCATCGTCATGAGTCTGCAGTGCTACGTTGGCCCTCAAGGTAACTTGCTCGAGATGAACGCCAAGCAGTGCGCACGTCTCAAGCTGCCATCGCCTGTTCTCAGCATGGAGGAACTCGAAGCCATCAAGCAAATGACCACCATCAACCCTAGCTGGCGCGTCAAGACACTCGACTTGACATTTGCCAAGTCGGAAGGTACGGCTGGCTACAAGAAGCACCTCGATGAAGTGTGCGCTCAAACTGAAGCTGCCATCGCCGAAGGTTACAAGGTTGTCGTCCTTTCCGACCGTGCCACCGCTGCTGACCGCGTTCCCGTCTCTGCACTCATTGCTTCCGGCTCGGTGCACCACCACTTGGTCAAGAACAAGCTGCGTTCGCGTGTTGCATTGCTCGTTGAGACTGGAGAAGCGCGTGAAGTACACCACCTCTGTGTCTTGCTCGGTTACGGTGCTGATGGTGTTTGCCCATACTTGACTTTTAAGGCCATTGCCAAGCTCGCTCGCGAGAACGCGCTCAAGGACTGCACGAACGCTGATAAGGCTGTGCGCAACTGGATCAAAGCTGCCGATGGCGGTATCCTGAAAGTCATGTCAAAGATGGGTATTTCGACGTTGCAGTCGTACAAGGGTGCTCAAATATTTGAAGCGCTTGGTGTTGATCAGTCTGTTATCGATGTTGCCTTTGTTGGTACAGCTTCACGAATCAAGGGTATCACCTTTGACTGGATTGCTCAAGATGCCTTTGCCTTCCATGAAAAGGGATGGGCGTCGCGCGAGACTGTACAAATTGCTGGTCTGCCCGAGTCTGGTGAGTACCACTGGCGAGATGGTGGCGACCCTCACATCAACAGTCCCGCTTCGATTGCCAACTTGCAGGATGCTGTCCGCTCCAAGAACGATGCCTCGTACGCAAAGTACTCTGCCTCTGCCTATGAGCAAATCAAGAATTGTACTTTGCGTGGTATGCTTGACTTTGATTACGACTCTGGACGTGCTATTCCACTCGAACAAGTTGAGCCATGGACTGAGATTGTGCGTCGTTTCTGCACAGGTGCCATGTCGTATGGATCTATCTCCATGGAGTCTCACTCTGCACTGGCTATCGCTATGAACAGACTTGGCGGCAAGTCCAACACGGGTGAAGGTGGTGAAGACCCAGAGCGATCCATGAAATTGGCTAATGGCGACACCATGCGTTCTGCCATCAAGCAAATCGCCTCTGGCCGATTCGGTGTGACATCCTACTACCTCTCCGATGCCGATGAGTTGCAAATCAAGATGGCACAGGGTGCCAAGCCTGGAGAAGGTGGTGAGCTGCCTGGCCACAAGGTGTCCCAGAGTATCGCTCGCACGCGTCACTCTACCCCCGGCGTTGGTCTCATTTCTCCACCTCCGCACCACGACATTTACTCCATTGAGGATTTGAAGCAGCTGATTTACGATCTCAAGTGCTCCAACCCTCGCGCACGCGTCTCTGTCAAGCTCGTGTCTGAAGTCGGTGTTGGTATTGTTGCCTCGGGTGTTGCCAAGGCCAAGGCTGATCACATCCTCATTTCTGGTCACGATGGTGGTACTGGTGCTTCTAG